CTACCTGCCACCTGCCGCCTAATTGTTTTAGTTGTTGTTCCATGAATATGCTAAATTGTCTGCTACAGTTTGCCCTCGTACAGAGCCCGGCGTATCCGTATCCGTGGCCTCGCGCTCAACAAATGTTTATAAATGCAAATTGGCCGAAAAGTGCAGCAGCGGCAGTTGTCGAGAATCAGGATGAGGAGCAGTAAGAGGAGGAGTACATGGACGTGGAGGAGGTAAAGTGCTCCGAATGACGGACGTGCTTGGCTGCATTTCGGTGTGCGTCAAGAACAGGCGATAACTGGAAGCGCTATTTCTTCTGGGCTATGGGCGCTGGGCTTTTCTGTTGTTGTTTGAGGACTACTTGCCCTGGGTCCCAGGGATAGCCCTGAATGAATGAGTGACACCGAAACAATGAGCCGCGATAGCCGCCGTCCGCCCGTCGCGTCTCACTTTCATTTTCTGGCCCTGACACCGCAATACGCCATAAAGTATATAGTACATACGAGTATATACAACAGCCCGGAGCTCCCGCAGATTGCCGCTGATTGGCAAGCAACCTTCACGCACATTTCAGTTCAAGTCAGCTGGGCGTAATCGAGCCACCAGTCATTCTCAGGCGGGGCATGTTGATTCAGGGGCAATGTGAGGCTTACAACCTCTTGTAATCTTTGGAATAATTAAAATGGAGGTTAAATAGCATTACGATGCGAGAAGCAACTTAATGGTGACCTATTTTAGTCTCGAATAGGTAGAGTATGTTGTCAAAGTCAGAAGAACAAAATCTTTAACATTTTGCCACTTAATCAACTTCAGTAAAATACAATACCAATATCTACCAAGTTTAACACTATGGAAATGACTAGTTTTGCGCTTTAAAGTCATATTGTTTAAGCCTAAAAGCCAGCATTCATTAAACTTTGATTTAAGTAAGGCAAAAACCCAAAAAGGTCAATCAATATTTTTTTAGAGAGCCCCCTGAATGGAATATTTTATGCATGCGCCTCTGACATTCTGAATGCGTGTGTTTGTGTAACGTAAACAGCGGCAGCAACAGCAACAATTAATATTGCTTTTATTTTTATTGTAAGCTGTAAAATTTTTGAAACAACGTTGCTGACATCGTTCGACGCTGACCTTCTCAAGTTTGTTTGTTTGCCTTGTTGGCGCAGCCATTCAGCCTCAGCTTTTGCATTTGCTTTTTCATTTTTACTGCATGCGAGAGAATGGAAAATGAACTGGGGCCAAAGTTTCATTTGTTTGCTCAACTTGCCTGGGGCGGACCTGCCCTTGTCCCCCTGCTCTCTCTCGAAAAGCTGCGTGCAATGCTCTCGAAATAGAAATCCATTGGGGGACGCCTTGTGGAAAATCAATTTCAATTGTCTCGCACTTATCGAAAAAATGGAAACAAAAACTGGCCATCGCTTTTGCTTTGTTTTCGGTTTTTCATTTGCACTTAGCAATTGAAAATTTCAATTGTAAATAATTGTTTAATTATCGACAATTGCAGCTGACTGACTGAGAACCGTTCAGTCGAGAGACAACAAAGCATTCATTTAGCCCAGCCTGCGTCATATTTACCCACCCACCCAACTAACCCCCTTTCTACCAAACCAACCTGACACCCATTAAAAGGCCATAAACCGAAATCTGAGTCATGGCCTATGGCTATGGAGAAATATGTGCATGCTTTTCTATATATATATATGAATGGGATAATTAAAGACCCGCAGCTAAATGCCAAATGCGATGTAATTACCATGTATTTCACTCGATGCGTATGTCTAATTAACCACACGGCGTATACGCAATCCATATTACGTACACGCCGTGTTGTCTACAAGCCCATTATGTACATAAATTATACATCAATCAGCAATGGCAGGCCTAATCCGATTGCATTTGCTTCCCCACGAAAGCATTTCTTTTCCTCTTTCTCTCTGACCAATAGATGGTATCGAATGTCAGGAATTTAGTTAGCTATTCAGCCGGGAATATGCACTGGAAAAACTCTCTAAGATCGGTACAAAAAGTAATATATCTTTAACTTTTAACATTTCTCAGTGTACACCGAAAAGACTTGGGCAATCTCTGTATGGATACTCAAAACTAGTTATGTCTGCAACTGCAATTGTCTGCCGTCCGTCAGCTTCTCTGCTCCACTTAGCATTATTTTCCAGCTTCAACTTTCCAATCGTAGCCACTAAAACACTCAAACTTTGTCGGTTACTACCGCTGCACCCCCTTTGGTTATCCACACTATACTTCATTTTATGAATATACCAAGACGACATCATAATTTGCAGGCCCAACCTCGAGCGCATGACAGGTTGCGCCTGCCAGCCGATACGATGGCCATGTTCAATCCAACTACATTGACTGACAGCCGCTTTGTCTAGCTCTGGCCATGGAGACTTTCACCAAAAAGACCAAATGGCAAGAAAGAGAGAGAGAGAGGGTGAAGAAGAGGAATGGCCAGCAAGCAGAGAAAGATAAACAGAAAGAAACGGAAAATCCCTAACCTACCACACCTCGAAAGCTCAGATCTCGAAAGAAAGGCAGTTAAGGCGACAGCATAAAATGGCCGTAATCAAAACAAATCAGCTAACGTAGACCTCATCATGCTGGCCCATCAATCATGGCCAAAAACGAAACCCGCGATGGTCGAGTTGAATGTGCCAAGCGAGTCGTCGCAGACAAGACGCGCACAAATAAAGAAATCCAAAACAGTTGCCAAACCAAATCCCCGATACCTCTATATCCCCATGTCCAAAAGTTATGGCCAACACAGAGAGAGCACACACACACACACTCGCACGTACGACTTGCGGTCAGAAAATGTGGGAATGGCCAGGAGAAAGAGACGGCGGGGAAAAGAGTAAAAGAGTCGGGACTATCGGTGGCACAATGAAGTGTTTAGTAAACAAATTGCGGTTGCCTTTTGATAATACGCAGCTCAGCTTAGCACTCAAATGGAAGCTGTGGGGCGATGCTTGTGGTGGGAGCTAAACGATGCACAGCCAAGAGGGCGTGGCAGGGTAGGGAACGGTGGGTTGGCACTGAGGCAGGGATGAGCTAAGTTATAAGTGCATTGCACCGAAATATCGATTGACGGAACGGAGCAGCTGGAGCAGCAGCAGCAGCAACAAAAGACGACAATCAACGCTGGCGGGTTCAGACATTCAACTTAAAATGTGCGTGTGTGTGCACTGAGATTTATTTTGCATAAAGAAATCAAAGAAATAATGAATATTTCTTGAAGGGTAATTAAGGTTGTTCTCAATAAATGAAGCTTGCTTATCCTTGGCTGAGGTTAACCAAACAAATTTTAAGAATGGAACATCTTGAAAAGACCTGAAATCTGTAATTTATGGGTCATCAAAAAGCTTATAAATTTAAACATAAACACTGAAAGTTCTTTACTAAAAGAAAAAGCTTTTAAATTAGATAATTTGCATGATTAAGCTGCTTAAGACCAAGAAATTATAAGATTTGGGGAACTATTTTAGCTAACTCGTAATTTTTCCCTAATGAAAAACGTTTTATGATAGTAAACCCCTATATCTAGAGCAATTTCCATGAAGAATCCCTCGAATTCAGGTCATCTTTTTCCCTCTGTGCACTGCTCAAAGTTTGTTGGAGCATATTAAAAGGACATTGAATGTGCGCGGGTGAGTTGGTGGCCTAAAGCTAAAAAAAAGGAGAGGGGTTCCAGTTCGTTCGGTTGGACGGGCGTTGGCGTTGGCGCTTGACGGCATCAACGTCACGCAAAAAACCAAAGGGAAACCATAAACTCAAATTAATGACCTCAGCAGGGGGAGGTAGAGTGAGGGAATCCGGGAGGGAGGAGGAATGTGACTGAGACTACGACTGAAACGGAGACAACGGACAAATGCTGAAAGGAGACAGAAGCCAATAAGACCTGCAAGAACAACAATGCCAGGGAGCGCGGACCAAAAAATAATAATAACAAAAAGTATATTAAGACCAAGACCACGACGGCCAAGACAGCGACGAAAAAGAGCCAACAGAAGTCCAAGTCTGGGCGTGATTTACCGTTAACAGTTTTTTGTTGTTGAAAATTAATCTTATTGCAAGCGATTTCACTGCGATTTTCACCGCACTGCACTCACATACAGCCCCCCTCCCCCTTAGCATTCTGAAAAATATATAGATGGTAGATATATACTCGTATACAAATTGGAGCTGCTCCAGAGCAAAAGCGGCAGATGGTCATGGAGAATCGGCTCAGTTGGCTCCGTGATTATGCAGTCGACGTCGCTGCTGCTTGCCATCGTCGTCGTCGTCGTCGTCACAGTCGATTTGTTGTCAAACTGGTTTTACAAATATTTTGCGTTAATCTGGAAGCCCCAGCGATGAGGAGGCTTATAGAAGGGGGGTACAGCAGCAGCAACAGCAGTTACATTGCAGTCGAGTAAAGCTCAGTGAAAGTCGACAGCAGAAACCCCGTCGCCGAAAACCCCCTCCAATAGCTGCTAGCAACTTCCCCCTTCTTTTGCCAGACCATGTAGTTAGCTGGCAGCAGCACATTCAATTAGATTTAGTATAGGTATAGCCGTAGCTATAGACATAGCTTTGGCGTTGGCTTCCCCCGTTTGTTGGATCAGCTCATTCATGGCTCGGTATTTACAGCCAATTATGAGACAAACAAGTCCAACTCCAGCGAGTTTGGCGATGTTGCCGTGACACGGACAGGAATCGTGGGATTAGAACTAATATATGGAATATGATATCCAATTATTTACATGAAAAAGATGTTACTAATTTCAAAGTCAAGTTAAAGGATTAGCCTGTGGCCTAATGAAATCTAATATGATCCTTTTGGAACTTCTGACAGCTTAAAACTTGATTATATCTTCTGCAAAATTAGAAGCTAACCATTTCATGATAGCAAGATTTAATTGTCTTGTAATGTATAGCATTTACAAGCTTGTAAATAGTATATATTTTAACCACAATTATCACCCCATATAAGTTGTTTTTACTTGACTTACCTGGGCATTAAAGTCGAATAGATATTCCGGGCGCAGCGGACACGGCAGGCCGCACTTGCAGGTACCCTGAGTGAGCAGATAGTCCTTGATCTGGAACTGCGTGCGCAGCGTTTTGCCCGAGGGGCTGTGTATAAAGGGTTAAAAAGATAAATGCATTAGTCGATGTGCCAGAGAGAGATTAATTAAGTGAAGTTCCCGCCCTGCCTTCAGTCATGCCGTTATTCACCCAGCTAAACGCACAATTTGTTTTATGGAAATTATGCAATTACCCAAGGCCAGGCAAGTTTTAAGCAAAAACACAACCCAACAGTCACCCACCCACACTCACTATACCAATATCCCAGGGGCAATTAGCCGCAGTTAAGTGACTACAGAGGCCAATGGATAATGGTCGAGTGCTTGATTAACAGCTCATTAACATAATGGGCATTAACATGACAATGTAAAGTGATTCGACCGATCGCTTGGCAAATAAGTGCGCATCGAGTCGATCTACGTATAATTTAAACTGGTTTTCAACCTTTCTGCGTTTTATATAGTTATTTACGAGAACCTTTTGGGAAACTGCGTAATGATACAGTTGGCATTCTTGAGGGTTTTAAATGAATCTGTGACTGGAATTTCAAGGGTGTCTTGGGATGGAGTCTTGAGAAAATGCGCAACAGATATACGCCACAAAGGGGAAACTCAACATCTGCAAGAACAAAGGCGATCTCATACATATGCACATATTTAGCAAACCAAAAATAAGAAGAAGAAAAAACGCGCCTATGCGCCATAAAATTATGAAAAGGCAAAAAATTGATTTAAATTTCGGTCATTTAATGCCTAAAAAGGAATGAAAGAAACCCGGTGAATCCAGTTTTAATAATGCCAAGCCCCTTCTGCCAAATCGAACGGGCGGTTTTTCCCTTCGCAACACAAGTTAACCCTTTAAAAAAAAAAGTAAACCAGCTCACCTCCGCCCTTCCGTCCCTACCAATCAAGCCACGCATGACCGCAAATCTGCCGACATAAATGTGTTGTTGTGTCGCCTGAACTGGGGTTACTTCAATATATATAAAAAACAGCATACACTCATACGCAAAATAAAGAACGCAAAAAACAAGAGGGGAAAAAATCGGAGCTGCTTATTAATTGTTAAGTGTGAGCACGTTGAAGGAATCAAGGGCGCTGATGATGACGCTGACGCCGTCCAAGGAAAATGGGAACGGGAGCTGAAGCTGAAGCACTCGTACTCGAGAGACTGATGCCAGGTCTCAAGTTCACCGCAGCTCCTCACTTCCTCTGACCCTGGGCCTCTGTCCCGGTTCACACAGAGCAAAACTAGGTACACAATGTATTATCTTTAAAGATTTAAAAAGGGAATATTGTTCAATATTTTCTCACCAAACTAAGCTATGCTACGCACATCTTTCCCTCAATTTTCAAAAGTTCATTATTATTGGTCAGTTAAGGAGATACTTTAAGCATTTATCAACCACATTTCACTGATTAAATCCATAAAAACTTCTAAAACTCGACTCTAAAAACCACTTTTACTTTTAATTTCAAATAAAAACAAAGTCCATGTAAATTTTAAAGCCTAAAAAACTTAATTTAAACCGATTTGAATTATGTTATTATTATTATTAATAGGTCAGAACTTCGTTTTATATTTTTCTCAACGTGTTGATGTTTGAAGCCCGTATGGGAAATCTGAATAATGCATGAAGTGTGAAAGCGGCAAGGGCATTAAATGAAACGACGACGACAGCAACAGGAGCTGTGAGCTCTGAGCTCGAAGCTGGGATCTGGAAGCAGGAGGAAGGGAGCAGAACAGCAGAGACAACAATATAATTGAGCGACAGCAACATACAACAGCAACAGCACAGGAACGACAGCAACATCAACATCAACGAGAATCGTGTTACGGGTTAAACGAGTATGCGAATTGTCAATTGAGTAGCCCTTTTAGCTGGCCAAACAGGAGATGCCTCCCCATCGGATCGCATCTCATCTTCAAACCAAGACCAAGTCCCAGTTTCCACTTCCCAGTTGCAGGACCCAAACCCACAGCATCAGCATCATCATCAATGGGGGGAAAATGGTAAAGGGAAACTGGTTCTGGTTTGTTTTATTAATTATTTTTAACTACTTACGAGGGCCAGAGCTTTATGAGCGACTGAGCCACGTTCGAGATTGGAAAAATCGATGGCGAGTCGATTGCCAGACATCACGAAGGACTTTAAGAGAAAGAGAGAGAGAGAGACAAAGAAAGAGAATCATCGATTGAACGAGACGGAGAATCATCAACGCCAAAAGCTTATGGCTCAATTTGTATGCAGCTGGCGTGGCGAGAGGCTTAAGAGCCCACCGCTTACCACTTACCACCGCAGTTGAGGCACCAGGGCAAACACGCAGCAGGAATCATGCACAGCGAAAAAATTAAAAATGTTAAAAAGGCAGTTAAAAACACATCGTTGCTAGCACTTAACTGCATTCCCTTTGGCCCAAATTATTAAAATTGTAAAACCATAAACTGGTTCTAGCTGGCAGCCCAAAAGGCCTTAAATTTGCAATGATTTTTCTTCTAGTAAAAGTAGGTAAAGTTTCTACTAATAAATACCTGATTTTTATTCTCTCTGTGGCAGACGCAGAAGTCAATGGCGACTCATTAAATTTGTTCTTTACCTCGTTCTTTATTTTCGATGTGGTATTTGCACAAAATGCGCTAATAACGTGAGTGGATGCAGGAACCTTGTTCAGCCCTTCAATCCCTTCTGGCAACCCTATTTCCCGCTCTGTGGCCACATGAAAGGCGTTTGGCTAACGAGTTAAAATAATTTAATAAATTACACACACAAAACGCCAAGTGCCAAAGAGTTGTGTTGTCGAGAGGCCATCGCCCATCGCCCATCAGCCATCAACCAAAGTCTTGTCTAAAAAGGTGGAAAAGTTTTACGCCCCTGTGACCTTGAGTGCACCCTCGAGTCCAGGGAAAACGAGTTGAGAGTGCAGACAGCTGAGACGGTAAATGGGATTTGGATTGGGATTGGGTGTTGGCTGGCTGGCCCCCAGCAGAGACTAAGACTGAGACTGAGCCTATTACTAAATTAATAATCCCAAACAGGGCAAACACAGAACCGACAGCAACAGCAAACAGCAATTTGGCCCAAAGGCAGTGGGCCAGCTCGTAACGCCGTGGCGCATGAAACTGTAAAAAATTATCGCACAAAGCCAGTCAGACAGTGGCGGAGGCAGAGGCCACTTGCCTGTGGAGGGGTTTCACCAGTCGCCGACAGATAGACAAACAGACAGAAGGGCCATCCTTTGGGCCGGGTCTCTATCCGTTGTCCTTGTGCCGTCATGTCCTTGACAACGCGAAAAGAAAGCGAAGAGCGAACAGCCCACAAAAAACGGACGAATGCAGCCAATCGCAAAATGAATCATGCCCACGCTGGAAAAAATATGATCCCAAAAAGTAGTTTTCTTTTTTGGAAATCGACCCATTAAATACCCTTTCGGGGTACAGATATGGGAAGTTTCTTCAAGTATGGTTGAGCAGTTAAGTTACTTTGGTAACGCCTTTAAGGCTTATTAAACATTTAAATGTAAATTCAAATAATTACGCGGCATTTTAATGTTAGGATAATAAGCAATTACATTACATTTATACAAATTAAGGAAACATTTGAGGTAATTACGATAAGACAAACAGTTAGTCAGCCGAATTTAATGTGCCATTTAATTCCCAGCTCTCTGTCCCTCATTATCGCCAACTCCCATGAGTCAAACAAGGCTTTTGGGGCAAAAGTTTCCTGGGTTTTCCCACGATATCAGCAAACGACAAATTTCGCATGGTGGGCGTTGACCAAAGTCAACAAGTCAGAGAGCCAGAATTGCTAGCTAGCTAGCTTGGCTTAGCGTCGGATTCGCAACAAATGCCTAAATGTGAGTAAAATAAACACATTTCAAAGGTCTGTCCGTCTTTTTATCTGTCTGCCACTCTGGCTGAATGACTGCCTGGCGGCCGGGCTGGCTAACTGACTGACGGACAATAGAGCGGAGCGGAGGTGGCCTAGACAAACAGAGGAGAGACGACGGACCAACTGCTGATGCAACCTACGCGCCCGCTGAAAGGTTCATCCCGAGGTAGGAGAGGTACAAAAACAGGCCTCGTGGCAGGGTGCACATGCATACTTACACCTTCATACTTAGCTGTGTATGTATGTATGTGAGGGAAAATTGAAAACTGCTTGAAACGTTGGCCAAACTATTCCGCATTCTTTGCAGTTTACAGGCTGGCGGCGGGACGCTTCGAACAGTTTTCGTTTTTTCCACTCGATTCGATCGGCGATCTCCAGCTGCCGTTTTGGATTTATGATTTATGCGCCCGTTGCCGCACAGTGGGCGTCCCACTCTGACTTCGTTTGGCTTTGACCCGGTCACAGTCTTTATTTCGCCCTCAGCTGATGTCACGTTGCGCTAAACCATTTAGCACTTGAGCAAACAGCAAAAGCAGCGGCAAGATTTAAATGCTTGCGCAACAATTATTGATTTAGTACACAAATTGTGCAACATTCTTTCCGAGAAATAGCCGAAACGAAGTCAACGAGCTAACTACCATTCGCGGCAAGGACGGAAGCTAAACAAAAAGAGGTATTCATGCTGCTAGAGCAGCCGGTTTAGCTGTCTTTTTTGGGGGCTTAGGGAAACTATACCAAATTTTTACCTCTTAATATTTACCCCTTATAGATATTTATATAACTCCTGGAAAATAACAAATTTAAGGAAAATGTAGGTAATTTAAAACTTGTATTTCAGGACCTTTTTGATATTTATCTGAAAATTGGTTTTTATCTTTTATATCTTTAATCGCTGAACAATTACTTTTTTTTTACCTATTTTGAGTGACCGGTTTGACTACAACAAAAGGACTAATAACTACCCTTGTTTTGCCCCTTTTTTTATTCTATATAGTTACTTTTATATTAAACATTTTTTGCGAATTTAAGCAATTTTTGTCACCCAAATTCTGACAACACCGCTTGCCAAACGGCGGGTTATCTGGCTTACTGAAAGACGAAAAAAAAAAAAATGGAATGCTCAACTCGAAAATTTGCAAGGGGGCCATGGCGACCGTCCATCCGCTTGGGCAAACAGCAAATAGCAACCGGCAACACGCAACGTGGAAATGAGCAGCAGCTGCTGCTGCTGTTGCTGTAGTTGCTTCTGTTGGTGGTGGACAATGACAGCGCTTGACACACGATGTCATGTCGTCGCCGGGCACAAGTAAATACCAGTGGGCAAAGGACAAGGATGTACGCAAACGTGGCAGTCAGCGGTGCCCTCAAAGTGTGTCCTAGAAGGGTAATGTCCCAGAGAGTGACTGACTGACTGACTGGTTGGCTGAGTGAAATGTGACATTGCCGGTAAATGGACTGCGTCGGATAAGCTGCAACTTCTCGACGCTCCTTGGGCTACGACTACGTGAGTCGAGTTCTAAAACCCCAGAACCATAATGATGCCTGTCATAATGAGAATCTCGGCTAGAAAATCGAAAAAAAAAAACAAACAGTATTGCCCCCTTAAAGCTTTCAATGTGGCAATTGAGCGAGGTATTCGCTAACCCGTAATCCGTTCAAGTGGTTCGAATAGCAGTTATCCCAGAGTCAGTCAGCCAACCCTTTCTGGGCAAATGAGCCCGGGGCAACAGCTGCGAGGGAAACTATCCCAACGACGAGCCAAGCACTCAGAAGTGCCAGCCACTTATAAAATCAACAATTACCCAACATCGGCAACGGCCACAAACTCGCAAACTGTTTGTGTAGAGCCCAAAAAAAAAAGAAACGTAAAGAAATAGAAATACACTACACCGCTCAGAGCCCCCTTTTTGGCCCTGAGGCAATTGGACAGCCAGAACAATTACAAGTACCCAGGCAAGCAGATATATCCACATACTCGATGCTTTTCAACATATCTGAGTAAACATTTTATTTGAGTTTGTAATTATGTGTGCTTGATGATAACTCGCAGATAATGCCAGGTAAATATTTACCCCCGAGTCGTTGATGGTTTGGTTGTTAGTTGATGTTGTTGTTGTTTCATGGTTGCAAAAACATTTCTGACACGACTACTGCAAACCCCCACAGACGCCCACTATACAACAACCGCCCCTTCTCTGTTACCCTCTTGGGCAGTGGCATTTCCTGTACCGAGAGAGGGGATCGCTGAACATTTTTATGGCTTCTCGAATGCGTTTGCGTTTTCCAGACAATAACCAGATTGACTTTTAGCCCGGGCCCCCAAAGCGCTGTAAATGTCATGTCCGTACAACGGACCCCGAGACCAGCGACAGAATCAACAAGGTATTTTCCCCTTGAAGAGTGCTCAGCCGGGAGATATATCCTGTAACCGCAGATGTTCCCCAGATATTTCCCCCCCAACTGGCTACTCACCTTATATAGGCCACCTCATTGTTGTTGGTCAAGCGACGCCAGCCAGGAGCCAAATTTCCATTGTAGCCAGTAATAGTAGTTGCTTTCCTGTTGGTGTTGTTGTTGCTGTTGCTGTTACTGTTGCTACTGGCATTGTTGGCTTTGGCAACATTCTTGGCATAGAGCTGATTGTTCTGACTCATTTGACGCGATGCAATTGTTGTCGGCATATGCGTTGCCGTTGACTTTATTGGCAACTTTATTTGCGCCTGGCGCTGTTTGGTTTGTTGCTGTTGCTGTTGCTGCTGTTGATGTTGCAAATGCAGATTGGCCACTTGCATCATGTTGCCGCTACCATTGCCATTTACCAAGCCAGCTGGTAATATCTGTTGCGTATGCTGCTGCTGTTGCACCGTTGCACTTGTAACGACCCGCGATACAAATTTTGTCTGCTCCTGCTGGAAAAACTGATGATGCTGCTGCTGGTGATGGTGATGCATCTCGCTGGCAACTGTCTCAGCACTCCCAGCAATATTCAGTTTGTGCTGGTGCTGATGTTGCTGCTGTTGCTGGCCAGCAGAAGCGGCTGCCATAGCGATAACAGCAGCTCCGTTTAAGAGCTCCTTGTCGGTTCAGGGCCTGCAATGATTTCAGGGGAATTCCCGCATTAATCACTGCTAATTATAGAAATGAAGTATACATAACTATGATTAAAAATTAAGTAAGTGAGTAACTTGTCCAGATTAACGTAATTAAATCAACTTATAGTAATATACAAATGACTTTAGTCTGTATAGTAAAGTATGACGAATGACTTTGATAACGTTAAATTAAAAAATATATTTGAAGTCCACATAATTATATTCAAATAACCGTAATTAGCCAGTATTGTTATTCTCAGTGCAGACCTTTTTGACATGACACAACCCATAGGGCTTTGTCTCTGGGTTTTCGGTTAACTCAGGGGCCTCGAATTTAATCGATTGGAATTGCGTTGCGGGCTTTGTTTTGCCCCGCAAGTTGACCACTTACAAAAATAGCAGAAATTGAAAGCTCAATCAACGTTTATGCGGCGTGCGTGTAATGAACAGGGAAGTGGTTTAAATCTGGTTTATCAGCCATCTCACGTACATCTCCACAGCAGAACACAAGGCCGTAAACCCGTACTCGCACTTAAATAGATACTGCTAACTGGACGATCGTATAAACGACAAATCGTAGGCCGCACCTTTCGTTATTTATGCGTTGTTAAGTTTTGCCCCCTTATTTTGCTATCCGCTCACCTTTTAGCTTGCTTTTCGCTTTGCTCATTTGCCAGCATATTAAATTAATTTTGAGTTATTGTGTAAACGAGACGCGGCCATGTCATGTTCATGTTTTTTATGGTTTCTTTTCTTTTTTTAAAACACTTAATTTCACTTTTTTCGCTTTATTATTATTTTGTATGCCACTCTGCTTCTTTTGGCTGTAATAATGCGACAACGACTTTTGTATTTTGCTGCGTGTTGTGTTGTTTGTACACTGTAAGAAAAAATCGCGGGATGTTTAATTTCTAAATCCTAAGTTGAAGAACTGCCGAAATTTTAATGACAACGCTTTAAGAGATAAGCGCTAATAGCTATAGAATATATTTTCGACTACTTTAAAGTAATCTGAAGATATTATCAGGGTAATTTTACTACTGAACGAACTCAGGTAAAATCAAGGTGTTATTTATATCCTTAATTGCAACGTTGTTTATTAATATTTCTTTTTGTGTACAATCTGCTCATGACTTCATTTGGAATTCAGAAAACGAACGTCAGCAGTGGCGAATGAAGAGTGGAGAGCAGAGAGCACGGAGCGCGTAAAAGTAGGTGAATGGAGCATGAAGACACCAAAGGCGGAGAGCGAGGAGAGAGCGAGAGGGGGAGGTTGTGGGAGTTGGAGGGGGTCAGAGGCATCACCCACACCAGTGCTATCCCACTCTCTTATCTCTCTCACTCTCTCTTTTGCCTATGTGTTTCCTTTTAGTTTAGCACAATTTGCAGACCGTTTTTAAGTAGTATAATTAATGCGTGCCTTTTTTCCGTTTTGTGTTGCACAGCGGACAATACAGTGGGCAATGGTCACCACCTGCCCTGCGGTTCTGCTCCGGCGATCAACAGCACAAACAACACAAATAGCAGCAGCGGAGAGCAGCTGTTCGCCTTGGGCAGTGGGATGAAAACGAATATTGGTGGCTATCTTGCTGCATTGGTATGGGTATTGGGCAATCGCACACAACACTTATATACATTTATATATATATATATATATAATACGCGTGCCTATGCTGCGGTTTACTGCTGCTATAATATGTACAAAGTGACCTCAATACGCATTACGCTACAAAACACACAACAAACTCACAACGCACACACAACTGACAACTGACGACTGCACTTTGTTTTGGGCTTTATTATGCACAGACTCGGATTACGCCAAATGCCAATTAAATATGAATTAATTACAACAATTTTGTGTCGCTCGATTCGATTCACGCAATATTATGGCCCTCTCGCACTCGCTCTCTTTTTGGCCCGCTCTCTCTCTTGCTCTAAACGCGCACACGAAAAATTTCTTAAACTTCTCGATTTTTTGACTTTTTTTCACTTTTTCTTGTGACCAATTGGGCCTTTAACACACCTTATTAGGTTGCTTTTTACACGGCGGTAAGTGCGCGCATTTGTTTTGGAATTTTTTGCTGTATTTAACGGAAAATCGACGAAATCGACGACTGTGCCTCCGTGCGCTTTTCCGACCGCGACAACAACAAAATGTGATGTGACCGTAGCTTGAAAACTGAAAAATGTAAAAGTTAAATCGATGCTTACTCGATATTACAGTGCTGCCAGAACCTAAGCATCGATGCTTTTCTTATAACCATCGATTACGAACTTATCGAATATTTCATAATTTTTTTTTCAATTTTCATTTTAAAGTTAACTCTGAAGTTGTAGCAAGTTAATATTTCTGTAAAACGTTATATTGTCATTTTGGGTCTAGCTAACTTATTTATAGGTAGGAACTAAGAATCAGGAATAAATCAAAATATACAACATTTTAGGGTAATAATATCATAAAGCTTTTAATTCAAATAGACAACATACACGTATCAGAGTGGCTACGCTTGACTGGTAGCCGTTTCTAACCGTTATTTAAAATTAAAGAGAAAGTAAAAGTTTATTTAAATTCGTCAGTAAGGGAAAAATAGAGCTTAAAACATGTTCGAAATATTCAGCTTACCATATGCGGACTCCATACAATTGCCGTTGGCCAGTGGGCCAGGACCTATCTTGGTTATTATCACTGGTTATCTACTGGTTGTTTTTAAGGCCGGAAGAAAGTTCATGGAGCACCGAGATCCTTATAATCTTCAAGGAGTACTCAAGTGCTACAATATGTTTCAGATTTGCTACAACATAATATTGCTGTTTCCCGTAAGTCGATGATTTTTAGGTTTTAGATGAAATACAAAAGATCCTCCCACAGGGGTTTTACTTCCTGTTCGTGTTCCAACCATACAATTTTCGCTGTATGGAAGTCCTTCCGCAGGATCATCCGCTAAAGAATTGGGAGCGCAGTATTAGCTACGCTTACTACATAAACAAGATCATTGACCTGCTAGACACCGTGTTCTGTGTGCTGCGCAAGAAGTACGTGCAAATAACGTTTCTGCACGTGTTTCACCATGTGCTGATGCCATCGGTCGGATATTTAATAATTCGCTTCCAGGGCTATGGAGGTCATCTCTTTTTCTTGTGCTCCTTCAACGTTATTGTGCATGTCTTCATGTACGGTTACTACTATTCGACGATCGACGGAAAAACTGTGCACTGGAAACGATACCTAACCCTTTTGCAAATGATGCAGTTCGTCTTCATGTTTGGCCACTGTGCCTTCACTGCCATGCAGGATGAATGTAAGGCCTCGCAGGGCACCCTCTTCCTAGTTAGCTGCTCCTCCGCTGCTATGTTCACCATGTTTGCCAATTTCTACTTCCAGTGCTATATGAAAAAGCAAAATTAATTAAAAAGACGTTAATAAAAAGCTCAACCTAAAATTGAGTGTTTTGGAAATTTAAAATTGATTTCAAATATTAACGGTAGCGACTACCAGTGCATATTAGGGTTACTCACTGCTTGAATTTCTGATGTCAATTGAGTTATCGATTTATGTCCAGCTTTTCTTAAAGCATACGGTCACACTAGCAAGTGCAACAAAACGCGCGCGTTGCCGGCAACCGTCCGATATTGCAATTATTTGCAAAATTTTGTTTAAAAATTGTTTAGCTAAACTAAATTATTGTTAATCGATCGATGTTTTTACAACTGTGATTGGAAACATGTCCGCCAGTTCCACCAGCAACGCGTGCAAACTTTTGCTTCTAGGGCGATGTCTGCGGGCCGTGCTTCTCAGCGTGGCCATCCAGTTCTTTCTGCTTACAGTCTTCCTGCTGTCTGTAAACTTCCAAATACTGCATCCACTTGCATGGGTGACGGGAACACTGCGATTGGTGGCCAGCTGGTACACCTGGTTCGCTAGCATTCCTCTGTTGGCGTCGGTCGTCCTATATGGGATCTCACTAAGTCAGCAGCACCTGTCGGAGCGTCCCTACTGCCCTACTCGATATAACTGGCTTCTGCACTACGGTGTACGCAAGCTGTTTTTTCTAGGCGCTCATATAATGGTGGGATTCCTTACCGCTTGGCTATACACCGGGTATCTACAAGCTGACTATCAGTAAGTATAGCTAAATAGGCGTAAATTTGAGACATTGAAGACTCTCTGGATCTTATAGCTCTTGAGGATTTTCATGTTTGCAAATACTAGTTTTTTAACAAATAATCAATACTAATATTTATTCCTTCATCTCCAGGCATCTGCGATACAAGTGCATTGATCAGGAATGCGTGAGTGCTTACCATGTATATCTGCTGGGCATGGGCATCACAGCCGGCTGCTATTACTTCGTTTCCGTGCACATGAGACAGGAGATCACAATTGAATTCCCCGTATTAGACCAATCCCGCGCAGAAAAATTCCGAGAACTAATCTACTCCAGTTTGGCAAGATCTCTGTATAGATCCATACTGCCCGCCCTGAGCTACACCGCATTCTTTTGGCTTTTTGGACGCACGATATGCCATCAACTCAGTAGTATTTTCTCTGTGGGTTTGGACGAGCGACTGGAGGGTTTCTTCGGAGTAGCCATCAATATACGGCTGCTTTTCTACGGTTATTTCTTAACCGCTCAAATTTGGAGTAATATGCACCTCATGCGCTGCTTCTATGACATTCTGCTAACGGAAGATCTGCCTCTGGTGGTGACCAAGCAGCGAGCAGCCTTTGCTCAGGAACAAGAGGTGACTATGGTTGCGGGTCTCGGAGTCTTCAACGTATATGTGGTCCAGTGCCTGGCTGCTCATTTTTTTTACAAGTTGGCATTGCGAAAGGATTCAACCCAGCGAGCAGAGATATTCCAGCTTACGCAGCCGGGCAACCGGCCTGCAAACTGGCGCGCCCTGTGCGATCAGTGCTTGAGCCTGCTAGGCAGCTTCACCGATGAACTTACCGAGTCTATGCAAAAGATCAGTGTTCTTAAGGGCGCCCAAAGTCTACCAATGCCTAAGATCAGCGAGACCGTTTCAGCCAATCTGATGGCCGAGAAGCTGTTGCTTCGACAATACAACCAAATGCACGGCATCCGACCGATTGTGCCCCCCAGCCGCGAGGAGACAGTGGATCGTCCAGCGGATGGTATCCGTCATGTGCCCAACTGGTGTGACCGCGTTTCCAAGCAGTTGGAGCAGTCATATCACCGTTTGGTTCAGCGAATTCCCGGCATTGTGTACTTCTTTAAAGAACCCGAAGGGGCCAAGACCACATTTCTGCTGTCAAACTCCCTGCCTTTGGTGTACATGACACAAGGGCTAGCGCAGATTTGCGTGGCTTCGCTAAAGGAGGATCCATACGGTGTAGTGCAAAACGATTTATCCGCTATCATTAAGGCGTTAAACAAGCTGCGGAACGAGTTGGATAAGCTAAGTAGCGTAATTGGCAATATTAAAGCACCCTGTTCCAGTTTCAATGTTCTTCGATGCGCTGTGCGACGCAGCCTGTATGCCGTCTGCACCTCTTTCTGCGACTACCTCAGCGAACTCCTCCCTCCCGGGGAAGAATTGAGGCAGTTACAGGACCTCGTCAGCCAGGATTAAAACCCATCCATCACATAACACACTCATCTTGTACACTGTTTTGCATCTCTTTCTTTAGTTGTTGTCTGCGGTAACAATAAAAATTAATAAATATAACTACAAACGTACAATAGTTATACAAAACTATTGACTTTTTTACTTAGAGTACGAAATGGTAACACGCGATTTGATCATAACTAGCACTGATGAAATGGTTTGTAGGGTGAATGTGTACAAGCCGGCAGCATCACTGCTCCTCCATGGCCACTGCCATCATGAGCAAAGCCACATCCTGCTCCAGGCGTCGATTGGGTCATAGCTCTGTTTTTGTTGGCAGTGAGCTGGCGACGGAGACGGTGGCTGCCTCTCCTAACGACTGCTCCAGCTGCTCAGCCACCTGATCCAGGTGCCTGAGTGCCTCTTTGGCCTTGCGGTTACGACCGTCTACAAAGATCTGCGTATCCAAGAAGTGCAGGGCTCGGAATGCCATTCCGCCTAGCGGATCATATAAGCTATCCGAATTTTTTGGGTTTCTCGCGCTGGCGCTCTGATCTGGTGTGTTGGGATCGAAGGGAACATACTCCTGTATGGGCTCCTTGTGCCACCGGAAGATATTCCGCGAATCTGGAAGTAGATGTTACGTGATTATCTGATATATTTATAAGCTTGGGTGGATACGGAACCTAGATCAGCCCGGACTCTTGTCATTTCTCGAATTTGAGCATCTTGACGCTCTAGCCGGAAACTCATCTCCGTCAGCGTGTTGGTCAGTTCCATTTTTTCCGATTGCGCCAATTCGTTCTTCTTGTTCTCTTTAATGGTTTGACTGGAAGTTGGAAATTATTACAGCTCTCATATGACTTAAAAATTAGGTTGGTGTACCGTGAATACTCGAAGATCAGAAGACCGGCTCCGATCGAGAAGATAATAAACTCGCCAAGCAGATTGGCTCCTAGCTCAATGGCCATTGCCTCGTTCAGCGGAGGAACATTAACCCGGCCTCCCATATTCAAGGCCCACATCTTAGTCTTCACCTCCACCCAGTTGTAGACTAAAAATGTGGAATTATAATCGTAATCTCATCTAATCACAACTAATACCCCTTACATTGCGCCGGCGGCATGCAGATGTACTTCCTAAAAAAGGGACTTGACTTGGCGTTGGACTTTATCACGTTGGCTATCGGCTTGCTGATCTGCTTGATGGCCAAGATGCCGAGCTTGGCCGCCGGGAAGACGCCAATAACCATTGTTTAAGTTTTTAATAATAACTATTACAAAATAAAATATTCGTGCAAAATTAGAGATGTGTAGAAGTTAGCGGTGTGCACAGTAAGGGACGATGCACGATAGTGTGCTTTTTAGTGATGACAAATTGAAAGTTTGAATTTAACCGGAACGGTTAACCCTGCACGGAACCCTGCACGGTAATCAGAAAAACAATAAAAGTTTGATCTTTGGAATTATAATGAATATTAAATGGAAAAAATTCATTAAAATTAATATTTATTTAAAATGATTTACTAAAAAATGTATTCTTTGCATTCAAATTAAATTATCTTTTAGTATAACAGTTTTTACAGTCAAAACAGAAATGTTTATGATAATTTTTTAGCCTTTTAGAACGGCACTAATCCAATTGATGTCCTGTTGTTGCCGCTCCACGTCTACACTTATACGGTCCAAGAGTTCGTCTAGAACTTTTTCCTGATTCTCAATCTCCAGAATTTTCTTTTGATTCTTTTTGTATGTCCTAAAAATAAATATATTTATAAAAAACTTTTCTATAATTGTAAATTTAATCATACTTTGAAAGCTCGTAGTATATGAGACCAATACCAATTCCAAATACAATGGCCTCGCTCAGCATGTTGGCGCCCAGACTAGTGGCGATTGCTGGTGAAAGGGGTGGAATCCGCTTGGGCTGTTTCAATCGTAGCATCCGCATCTTTGAACGGACCTCAAAAGTATTATAAAGCTGGGCTGGCGGCATAATGACATACTGCCGGATAAAAGGATTATGTTTGCCCATCCACATTAAAACATCACCAACTGGTTTGCTAATTCGCTTCAAGCTAAACATTAATACTTTTCCCACTGGGAAACTGCCGATCACCATTTTCCTTAACTATAAATTTTACGTTACGTAAGTCACACTAGTGACTAGATTTTCAAAGCCAGTTTAGTTACATTTCGAGTCGTTATACCCTTCATACAAATCTTTGCGTCCCAGCATCCCCTTTAGATGTTTAATTTCATTGGTCTGCCGGGAGACCTTGCTGGTAAGGTCACTAATTCTTTGCTCCAGTTGTTCTCTATTAATCTTGTGTTTTTCGTTCTTTAATCTGTCTTTCTTTGCCTGTCTGCAGTATATATAAATTAACTAATATGCAGATTAATTTGTGATATACAAATCAACCAACCGTAAAAACTCTCCTATGATAAGGGAAGCGCCAATTAAAAATAGGACTAACTCGCCTAAGATATCACTGCCCATTTGAATGGTCATGGCGTCCGTTAAGGGGGGAATTATACGAGGTTGTCCCAGTCCCAGCATCCACATTTTGGACCGCACATCGATAACGTGGTATACTGAATGAAGTAATCTTATCAAAAGATTTTAACTTAAAGAGGCCACTTACATCTTGCGGGAGGAGTGACAACCATGGTTTTAAATGATTTATTCTTTTGAGCTGTTCGCTTGATGAGATTGCCAATGGGTTTGCTAATATGCTTCATGGCAAGCATTGATAGTTTCGCCAGAGGAAAGGCTCCCACAACCATAATGCAATATCCTTCTTTTGACTTAACTTTCGGAGCCCACTATAACTGAAAATTTTCAAATTCAAAATGTGTCAGTGGAGTCAAGTATTACCTAAATAACAGAGTGGCTGAAAATAGGTTTTCATTGACGATGTTTTTCCTTTTTTTTAAATTCAAAAATTCGTTAATAATATTATGGGCTCATTCTCTATAAAAACTGGTAATTTTTGGCATTAAAAAGCCGGTCACACCAGTTGTCAGAAGTGCTGGTTTCGTTTGTTATGAACTGTTTATTATTAATATTCAGGCTATAAACAATGTCGGCTTCAGCCAGTTCTGATGAGGAATCTGACTTCAAAGAGATCAGCTCAACAAATTATCAACGCGTCCAAGATAAAGTTGCAAAGGTGCGTTTAAAAATACTATTGGCATGGTCAGCTTCCATGGTGAAATCAGCTGGTTGAATATTATTGTTGAAATTTATATGAACTATAAATACTCTTTCTTAAAGATAAGCTATGCAGATGGCATTGCTGATGGGAGAGAAAAAGTATTCCAAGACAGTTTCGACGAAGGTTTTGAGAATGGTTTTAAAACGGGATTCGAATTGGCCAAACTAAGCGCCTTTTATGAAACCATGAAAAATGCGGGAACGGAAAACGTGGCGTTCAACATAGAACAGGAGACTTATGAACAACTAAAACTAGCAGATGCTACAGATAAAACACACTTTAAATATTTGGATCATCAGGGGGCTCCACTTAACATTATATCGGATAAACAGAGGACCTATGTGGATAACCTTCTTGAATCACTAGGACAGAAAATCCCAACGACTACGAATTTATTCAAATCAAGCAAAGATTCTAGAGTTAATGTAGTTTAATGCATGTGTTTGGGAATTATCAAAAATAACTGAAAATATATCTGCTTGCGACTTATAAATAAAGGCCCTCGGGCGTGCCTTCCTTCTTCCGGTACAGGACGCTTTCCTTTGATTTTTTAAAGTCCTCGTTGGTCACCTTCATGCGGCGTTCTCGCAGCGCCATTAAACCGGCCTCTGTGCAAATTGCCTTAATGTCGGCGCCGGAGAGATCATCCTTGGCCATGATCAGTTCGCTGAGGTTCACATCCTCGGCCAGCGTCATGCGTGACGTGTGGATGGTAAAGATGCGACGTTTGGTCTTTTCATCCGGGAGCGGGAACTCAATCTTACGGTCAATACGGCCCGGACGAATAAGTGCCGGGTCCAGGGTTTCAATACGATTCGTGGCCATGATCACCTTGACATCGCCTCGTGAATCAAAACCATCCAGCTGGTTAAGCAACTCCAACATGGTACGTTGAATCTCACGCTCACCACCAGAGTTAGAGTCGTACCGCTTTGTGCCCACAGCATCAATTTCGTCGATGAACACAATGGATGGAGCATGCTCCTCGGCCACCCGGAAAAGCTCACGCACCAGCTTGGGTCCGTCGCCCAAATACTTTTGAATGAGCTCTGAGCCAACAACGCGGAGGAAGGTGGCAGAAGTCTGGTTGGCTACCGCCTTGGCAAGCAAAGTCTTGCCCGTTCCTGGCGGACCGTAAAGGATGACACCCTTGGGTGGCTTAATACCCATCTCTTCGTAGTACTCAGGATGGGTCAGTGGCAGTTCAACGGACTCTTTGATCTCCTGGATCTGAGTGTCCAAACCACCGATATCTGCGTAAGTCTCTTGTGGAGCCTTCTCCAGCTTCATCACCGTGACCATGGGATCAGTGTCGTCGCTGAGGACTCCGACCACGGCATGTACTTTGTGGTTGAGCAGTACGGAGCAGCCCGGCTCCAGCTGGTCCTTGTCTACGAAGGATAGAATGCTCACATAGTGTTCGGAACCCACAGATGTAGACACGATTGCGTGGTTGTCGTCAATGATCTCTTCCAAGTTGCCCACAGACATGGGGGTACCGCGCAGATCGTCCACCTTCGAACGCTCCTCCTCGTTCTTCTCGTCCTGGGGCTTCAGACGCTCCTGGTTCCGGATGAACTCATCCTCCATCATTAGATAATCCTTGATCCGCTCCAGCTTGAGCAGCTTAAGACGGCAGCGAGTGTGGGGCGTGACCTGGGGCAGCTTCATGGCTGCATCTGGACCCTTTGCACGGCGCTTCTTTTTGCCAACGCGCGTCGGGATTGGGGGTTCGTACTTCTTCTTTTTGTCCTTGTCATCCTTCTTGTCGCCAGCTCCCCCTTGGGCCGATTGGTTTTGTCCCTGTAAAGAAATAGGTTCACTTCTTAAAACTGTTTGCGGATGCATTGGGAGTTGCATATTACCATTTTGCTAATGTGCTGCTTTTTTCCTCAAGCTATAATGAACTTTTTGACTCTTTATTGTCGGCAACAAAATTTCTACTAGTCATAAGCAACAATGTTACCAGATTTTACTAGTCATACCGTGAGATACCGTACTTTCGAAACACAACAGTTTGGCAACCCTATAAGTAGAGCTGTGAACAAATATTTTTAAAATTTTTTTAGAAGTTCGAAAGGTAAATAAAGCATAGTAGATCTAGTCAGTAACAAATATGATATTTTATAATTGACAGAAGAGAAATATTTTTCTAAGTCACGGTTTTTATATTGATCGATAACAGTAAACAATCATTAAGAATAGTATGGCAACGCCTTAAATTTGTTTATAGTTAGGGTTCTACCGCGCATTGTCGAAATTGTTCAAATTTGTTTTGTTGCAGCATATTAATGGATCAAAATGTCAAGAATGTCGATCTTAAACTTGACAATATTGAGGTTTTGACCACCGGCACAGCAGCGGAGTTTGTGAACGGTATTCTAGACTTCCTACTTTTCCAACGCCGCCAAATTCCCTTCGTTTACAAAACATATAAATATTATGTTGATAAGTGGTCAGACGCTGAGGATTCGAGGGAATCGGCGGATCAGAATTCGTTTGCCCACTATCAGCTTAACGTGCAGCGCTCCAAGGCAAAGGCAACCAAGCAATCCATTAGTGACATGAGAGAGGTACGTTTTCCTTGCTGTACATGCCTTTTTTATTGTTAGTTTTTTACCTGCTTTTACAATACAGCTCATACGACAAGCCTTCAGAACCTCTGCAGTAAAGAGCCTGCGTTTTCTGTTTGGAAACAATACATTTATGCCATCGGAAGCATATACCCTGCACATACCCCATGGTTCCATATCTAGGAATCACTATTACGAGCATCATGCCCTGCCTGAAGGTCGTATAAACCAGGCTCTGCTTCGCCTTCTCACCTGCGAGGAGCTGTACACCCTTTTCTCTACAGAACTGAATGCAACCAATGTGTTCCTGGAAATGGAGCTCCTTGCAGACTCGAAGAAAACTGAGGTATCCGATGGAGAATCTGTTAATCTGACTCCAAAGGTCGTGTTGAGTCAACTACCACGTAGTTGCAAAAATATACACCTGCACCTACTGCATTGCAGCGAGAACCCAATGACTGAGTTGCGCTGCTGCAAGGAGATGTCAATTTACCAAGATCTTGGTCTTCTGAATCTGAATAAATCCGAAGATGACGGTAGCAGGACTAACGACACTTTGGAGATAGCTATTGAAAGCAGCGGTTGGTGGCAGGCCGAAGTTATCGTGCGTGGTTTCAGGGTTCCTCCCAACCAAAAGTCTAGTGATTTGTGGTCAAGCTAACATTTGCAAATTTTTTATTTTAGGTCTATCTGGAATGTTATCGAAAGTGTGAAAAATAAATTGTCAAATCATGAACTTTATTTTTTGTATTGTAATTGTAAACAGGGTTACGTGTTATTATATTATAAGGATTTAGTTACAGGTTGTGGAAAAATGTATGTGAAGTTCAAATGTATGTTCGAGGGTATTAGAAAGTGTAATTGTTATGATGTTTTAAACTTGTTAGAAGTTACAAAAGTGTTTAAAGTATTATTAAAATGCAGCATCAATTTTGTATATGAGTAAAATGTTTGCGAAAGTGAGGTTAGGATTTAAAATGGCGTTCAGTTTCATGTTATGTAGTGATAATTACTGAAGGATGGGTGATTGCTTCACGCTGTTTGGCAACAATCCGGTTGGCAATTCGATCTAAATCACGTTGGCCAACCGCAGTCAACTTACGACCACCAGCCGGATGCTTCTCCACGAAGCGAGCAGATTCCAAGGCTTGAAGGGCCTGTTTTGGATATATGTATTTAGGTTCTAAATAATACTCTAAAATTATAGCCACTACCTACTCACCTTGCGAATGCAGCCGACCGAGGAGCGGCAGTACTTGGACGGATGAACTCCGTTGCGCTTGCGACCTCCGTAGATCTTAGTGAAGGCCGAAACTCCGGAGGGACTACGGAGGTACAAGTGCCTCATGATAGAGGCACAGCGAATGTAGAACCAATCTGCGTCGGTAGGCCCATCCTCTTTGAACTTGGCAGTTTTTATATAGTCGGCCTGCTCAGGCACTACAACTTTTCCCGATTTTTTGAGAAACATTGCCAAAGATTTGGTCAGAACCCGCTGATCTACATCCTTAACTGTAACTCCAGGCATCTCGCAGTTCCCGTCTTTAAAAATTTATTTTTGGAAGTTATAGGTAATATGCATAAAAAATAGTTCTACCTTTCAATGAATAAAAATTCTTGTTCCGGTCCTCTTGCCGATTTTGGCCAAAATGGACGTTTAAAAAATGGCACTTACCAATGTGACCAAATTATTGACCCGGAAAGGTAATTTAAAAAGTTTGTGGTGTGCTTATGGTGAGCTTGGCAATTCTATTCCAACAAATAGTTTTCGTTGAAATAATCATTCGAAATTTGCGTAGAGATTATTTCAATGCTTAATATTTATTTGAATGCTATTTTATTCTAAACATAACATTTCCACATTTTAATTTCCTTAATTCCATGGCTTGATAGCAAAAATAATTAAAATAAAAATAACCTATGTTCCGTATTCCAACGTTCCACACTTCTGCTACGGCTTGAATTTTAGCGCCATAGTGAGACCAAAACTTAACAACATTGTTTGATTTCGAAAGAGGTGTGCTTGGGTCACACTATCGAATCAACAGCCAAACAAAAAAAAAAAACCGTTCCGACCGCTAACAAATCTCACGACTTGACTCATTCCCATTCCAGTTGACTGTGTCGCGCTTGCAGCATGTCAGAGAAGCCGACTGTTTTGATTTTGGGAGGTAAGTGGATCCGCGTACTCCGCATCACTTTGCCCTCAACTTCCGCTTATCACGAAAATGCATCGCATTTGTTCCCGCAGGCTGCGGCTTCATTGGACGCAACTTGGCCACTTATCTGCTGGACAATGAACTAACGCAGGAAATACGACTGGCCGATAAGACCCCTCCTCAGATGGCCTGGCTGAATGAAGAGCAGGGGAAGGTCTTCGAGAGCGATCTAGTGGAGTTCTGCAGCGCCAACCTTATAAACGCCGGTAGGTAATCACATTGGGGTGGCTCGCTCATGTGGATGTGAAAAATATGGTGAAATAACGGGATAAAGTAAAAGTTAAATGAATCATCTAAGAAATTTAATCATTTTAACGCCCGCCTCAGTAAATTCCAAATAACTGGGAGTGATGTTTTGTTTCTGGCGAACTGTTGATCTAGCCAAGTAGCGTTAAAGAATTCCCCAACATTTACCTTGATATATATTTCCAAAGCGAGCCACCTTAATGTAGTTGCACTTAAACTGGTTCTGGAACGATCCCCTTTGTGATTTTAGCCTCTTGCAAGGCGGCCTTTGCGCCACACCCTACGACCGGAAGGGCCTGGGACATCGTCATCAACTGCGCTGCTGAGACGCGTGCCAACCAGGACGATGCCGTCTACAAGGAGGGCATCCTGAAGCTCAGCTTGAACTGCGCCAATGAAGCAGCTAACCAACGTGTCAAACGTTACGTGGAACTTAGCTCCGGATGCATGAATAGCAGTGAGAAAACTCCGCTTAAAGAGGATTGCAAGCTAGATCCATGGACGGGCGTGGCAAGGCAGAAACTCAAGGTGGAGAAAGAGCTTGGAAACATCGACAATCTCAGCTATACGGTCGTCCGTTTGCCAGTGGTCTATGGCATTGGCGATAAGCGCTATTTGAGTGAGTCCCCTCCTGGCAGATATCCGATAATTGATGTAATTGACAAACTCGGGGACCAAAACCCGACCCCACCACCCATTGCTTACCGTTCACAGTGCCGCGCATTATAATCGCTGCCATTTACAAATACCTCAACGAGACAATGAAGCTGCTGTGGAACGATGCCATGCGTTTGAATACGGTGCACGTATCGGACGTGTGCGCTGCTGTTTGGCAATTGGCTCAGAGTCCCAAAACCGCCGGGCAGATCTACAATATCTCCGATGATTCAGCATCGACGCAGGGCAGCATTAGTAATCTATTGGTGGATATTTTCGACATAAACTTGGACTTTTTTGGTCTTGTCATGTCGAATTTGGCTAAGGTAAGCTAACTTAAATACTGAGCATTAAAATTGAGTTCGTAAATTTGATATTTTTCTGTACATTTGCATAAACCTTACGTTAATTTATAGATCTTCCAAAAAATGACCAGTTTAAAGCAAAATGCACTTACTTGATGATCAATGTTATGATCAGAGGGAAATTGTTTTAGGTGTATAAGTTTTGGTTTATAAATATTAATAATTCATTCATTAATTCATAACCGCAAAGTGCACTGCATACCGAAATAAGCTATAGTTTTTTAATCATACACTTCGTTTTTCAGCTTTATCCCACGGACACTGTTGGTGAAATAAACGACAAGCACATGGCACCCTGGGCTGAAATTTGCCAGCGCAATGGCATAGACAACACCCCTCTAACACCCTACCTTGATGAGGAGCAGCTCCAGCATAAGCATCTCTATTTGGATAACACGAAACTTAAAGACTTTGGGTACGTGCTGCAGCATCCGAAAGTAACTCGCGAACTGCTCATGGAGATGATTAACGACTATGTAAAGCAGCAATTGTTTCCCAAATCGCTGGTTCTTTGATTCGTCAGATCTATCAAAAGATTGCACAACGTTGATATGCACTCAGATCCGGACACTTTTATACCCTGTAGATTGTAAGCCAAGAGTTTTATATTGAAATTCGCAATAGTTTTATAACGATTATTGACCTCTCTTCCAATCTGTATACGGACTCGATACTCTCAGAGCGTAGTGCAGTATCTCAGTTTTTTGCCACAAAAGTGTACTTATAGTATTTTAGGACCCATATATTTTTGATACATTCCAATCGATCCAACGATATATACGTTATTACGTACTAGTAGTTTATCATTGAGACTAACAATTGTATTCTATTGTGATCTGCTAAGTGGCCAACACCCATTGACAATTAAAATGCACTTGTTTAGAGTTTAGTTTTTGTGTATATTTGATTATTTTAATGTTACGGCAACGGAGCGATCGTACGATAAACGTGACTTTGACGGTACGAGACGTTGCGATACATAATTGAAAATGCAATTGCTTCACTTTGACGCTCATTAACTTAAAAATTACAGAAAATCAACAATAATAAGCTCGCAACTTGTTCAACTTAATACGAAACACGGGCGAAAGTTGGCTTTTGTTTTTGTTTTTTAAAAAGAGTAATTCCGGCCAGCTCCAATTGCCATAGATATAAATTACGTTTCTTGCATTTCGGTTTTTGTGACATTTTCATCTAAGACGGCGGTGCATGGAGCAATAGCAATAGTTATGCTCTTGAGTTCGATTGCTTAATTAACTAGTTAAGAGTCTGGGGGCTAATCAGCACACTCAGCGCGCTTAGAAGGCCAGGCCGGCATCGCGGTATGTGGTGAAGATCTTCTCAATGGAGTTGACGTAGGCAGCGGTTCTGAGATCCAGGCCCAGGTTATACTTCATGGCCGTCTTCATGATGGCGCGGGCAGACCGCTCCATGGTGTAGTCCAGGCCGGAGTGTACGATGTCCTTCTCTGAGGCACCAGAGATGCGCTTCTGGAACGACTCGGAGGGGGTCACGGGGATGCGACCGCCAACACGGCCGAAGCGACGCTCCAGGGACTCTTGCACGGATTCTGTTGGAAGACAGCGATTGGGGATACAAAAAGGACAAAGCAATTAGTAAAAAGTGCCACATGCTTATGGGGAAACATATACATATATGACAAGGATTTAAGCCACCAAATATTACAGATACTGAATTTGAGAATTTTTGGAGCATTAAACTGGATGGTTCCTTAGATATTAGTGTGATTATGACATAAAAATGAATCTCAGATGCTGAAGGATAATGCAAAAGTAACAAACTAGGTACAGATATAAAACAAAACTAACTACAGAACAAATAAGGTTTACATGAGGAAAAAAGTTGTTGTTTTTTTGTTGGGTTTAAGGATGGATAGGTGGAAACGAAAAGAATTAATAATTAGAATGTACCGTCATTAATGATTCTTTCAATTGACTGTTGGACTGAGGCTACATTGTTGATAGAGAAACGGAAAAAAGAAGAAGAATAAACAACGAATTACTTAGGTGATACTTCAAAATTAAATTACGTTCTTAAAGTCTCTTGTTTGTGGTTTGGATTTCGGTGTTTGGTGGATAGTATCGAAAGTAAAGTAAAGTCAAACGAAATTTGGATGGAGGAGAAACAAGTTTCAATCTTAACCAATTTGGGAAGAGCAAATGCTGACAGAGCAAGCGCTATTCTGTACAGGTTTTTTTTTTATATTTTCTTAATTATAGCATAAATAATCCGTTCAATGAGATGGCATGATCAATGAACCGAAATAGATAGATTGATAGAGAGATGAGGAGCAAGTGCCTTCAAGAGCCTATTGTCTTAGAATTAAATAGTGATATAACTTACCGAGCAGATGGTAGTTGGACTCGCGTTCGTACTTGAAGGTCAGGCGACCGTACGAGACGTGGTTCAGGTTCTTCAGCCACTCGAAGAAGGAGACAGTGACACCACCGGCGTTGATGTACAGATCGGGGATGACCAGGATGTTGCGATCGATCAGGATCTTGTCGGCAGCAGGGGTGGTGGGGCCGTTGGCAGCCTCGGCAATGATCTAAAAGAAAAAATTAATAGTTTAGGTAAGGTTTAACTTTCCTTAATTGAGAAAGTTTCCTACCTTAGCTTGGATACGGTTGGCATTCTCGCTGGTGATGACCTTCTCGACGGCAGCTGGAATGAAGATGTCGCACTTCTCGAACATCAAGTTCTCGCCCTCGTAGGGCTTGGCGTTCTGGTATCCCACAATGGTGCCGTGCTCGTTCTTGTAGTCCTCCAGCAGTTTGGGGTCAATACCCTCTGGGTTGTACAGAGTACCATCGTGCTCAATGACACCGATGCAGGTGGCTCCGGCGCGGGTCAGGTAGCGGGTGGTGTGCAGGCCCACGTTACCGAAGCCCTGGACAATGAAGGTCTTGCCGCCCCAGCCGGGAGTGGTGCCTAAGAATACGAATTTAACCAATTAAAAACCACTTTCATCACTAGAAAGACTCAAAAATAAAACACCTACCGATTTGGCTCATGTAGTTGGCTTCGTTGATGAAGTTCTCCAGACCGTGGAAGACACCGCGACCAGTAGCCGAGACACGTCCGTGGATACCGCCCTGGTTGATGGGCTTTCCGGTGACACAGGCATGGGCATTGATGTCCAGGTGACCGATGGTCTTGGCATAGGTATCGGCAATCCAGGACATTTCACGCTCACCAGTTCCCATATCGGGGGCTGGGACATCGACGCCGGGTCCAATGAATCCCTTCTTGGCCAACTCAAGGGTGAAGCGACGGGTGATCTTCTCCAGTTCATGCTCGGAGTACTCCTTGGGGTTGATCTTCAGACCAGCCTTGGCACCTCCGAATGGGACATCGACGCAGGCGCACTTGAAGGTCATCAGGGCAGACAGGGCTTTAACCTCATCGCGTGACACATCCAACGAGAAGCGGATACCTGCAAAAAGGGAAAACAATTGCATAAGAACATTACGTATACGACAGGTGTACTCAGAACTTAGCGACCTTGATGCAGCTTTCATTTTTGGCCTACATCCAACAGACAAATCCAAAAATAAACGACAAACTACACGAATTCCTCGCGGAAAGCAAAAGTTTTCCTCAAATCGATGATACAACCGAACATTTTTTGGCTGGTTCTTATTTTTTCTAGCACGTGCCCTAAAGGAAAATCATTGCATCTGGCAGACGTGGGGAAACCTTTCGACGATGGCGCAACAGTCCCAAGAACAAAACCCATACAAAGTCATGGGTCTTATCTTTATTTGCTTGGCACATTTAATTTTGATATCTTTAGGAAGGCGACGATTAGATAAGCCAGAGTTTCCTGCTTGTAATTCGAATTTAATAAGCGTGTTCAATTGTAAAGACTTGAAAGAGCAAAGTGCTCGCTTTATGGATCGATAAAAATATAAATGACACTTTATGGGCCAGAGCAAGTTCCATTGAATGGCCCCTCAAAGTAGCGACCAGCTGCATTAATTACTTCCCATTAAAACCACGGGACGAGCCCCCAAAAAACAAGACTATAAAATCCAAAATTAGCTTAGTTCTTTGGATTAAGTTAAATGCCGTGTTGCCACGCCGATAGTGACCATGAATCAAGCAAACTTTAGGTTTCTCAAAAAAAGAAAAACAAAAAAAACAATTCATGGTTCGGTTTTCGCACTCGAAATGGGTTCTTGGCATTATCAGCTGTGGGAATTCGTTGGGGCCCGGCAACTGGAACTTATAAACAAAAATACGATGAGTACACGGATTTGCAAATTACAAATCATTATGTACTCGTGGACCCTATTTGTATATCAATGTTTTTGAAGAGCCAGTCTGGCTTTTACAGTACATTTCCATTTCTCGACTGAAGGCAGCAAATTATGTGGTCTTGTACTTGTAAACAAACTAAAAATAGACTCTTCAAAGGTCCTACTGTGTTTTGTAATCTTTCAAAGCGAATAATCTTTGGTGTTAAGTATAATAAACTTTAAGATAATTAGCATATATAGGATTTTACTGAGCTCTTGACAGATGTAATTTGAGAGTCATGAGAAAAGGTAGAGTATTAATTTCCTGAAATATTTTGCTATTAATTCAGAGAGTTTGTTATCCATTCGGACATAACATATTTCAAACGTAAAAACAAATATTTTTGTGGCCAATCACCAGTTTGTTAAAGAAACTTTTAAGATTTTTACTGGTGATAATTCTGAGTTTAGAGACCTTTTCTTCCGCTCTTCAGTTATTTTTTTCCCCGTTTTGCCTTTCTGCTGAGTGAGCTAAGTCGTCATATCGAACCGAACCTCGGAGTCGAGCTGAGAATGGTGCTGACTGTACCCTCTGCGCTTGACGACAGCGACGCCCTCTCTATTTGCCGAAGCCCCAGTCTTCGCCTTTCTTTTCGCTTATGTATGTTTACCATAAAAAAACAAAAACCAAAAAATCAGCAGAGGCAAAAATATGAAATGTCAGAAGACCAGCGGTAACCGGCTTTATCAAGCGACTTGTTTTCGTTTTTTACCAAAATGTTTTTTAAAAACAATAAAAAAAATGAATCTATTAATGTATCGACGACAGCTAGCCTAGCCTAGGTGTATAATACTTATACAATATGTGCGATAACACATTTGGGGGGCTCGATCTTGGCGCTGTGTAAGTGTGTGTTTGGCATGTGCCATATAGCCACGTCTATTTGCCTATATGTATCCCCCATTGGCAACAGGCGACGATCTTTTGAATAGACCAAACCGGTTGCCTCAGCTGGTCAGCTGACTAGAATTCTGCGCCATATGATTAAAAAGCCGAGTGCAAAAAATTCTTTTGTTAGGGGGCCTTGGGGCCTGCCAAAAAGATCTTCTATGCTCGAGATTAGATATGGGCTAAGGAGCGGAAGTGACGCATATATATAGACGCACCCCCAGCAAAGTTAGCGCTAAGAAATCATGCCATTTCGATTTAAATTCCTTCGTGATTAGTTACTTAGCTATGGAATTAGATCTTGCGACAGGTTTGTTTGTTTTCCAGGGGGGTAGGTTCTATAGGCCATTTCAATGTTACACGTTTTGACACCGATTTGCATACGAAACTTCAAGTGCAACTTTCGAGGGTGTGAATTATATCGGAACTTGTTTGTCAATAAGATAACTGGCCAAGTACTTGTGGGAAATGCTATTTACTTGAACTAATCTGTGCGATGTGCATGTGTACATACACTTGTGCCGACAACTGTAGCCTTATATTGTAAATATGTATATAGTGGTGATAGTGACATTTTACATTATCAGTTTTGGTTGAACTGTCCACAAGTTTTTTTTTTTTTACATATTTTTATATGCCTTCGTTTCGATTGGGTTTGACAGAATGCATCAGACTTGTGGTTGGGTAATTACAGAGCAGACCCCCTTAATTGTCTAGACAATTGAGATCGGTTCATCGACTTGCCTAGAAAGTAACATCATAGACCAGATAAAATCAGTTTTGAATGGACCCCCATACGTTGAACCTCTCAATAGCTGGTACAGTGGTACAGCATATGACGCATTCGTTAAATTCTCTCAGTTTTTTGGCACAACGTGACCATCACGTGAACAAAGTTGATCCAACAGACACCCCGGGCAAATTGAAACCAGTTTTCCAAATACCCATACATACACAGAAGACGGTATTCGGCAGATGGAGGGTAAAAAATGAAACGAAATTCACAAGCCGGCTTTTTAAAAGGCAATTTCGCCGAAATTCGAGATCGTACTCAATGTGCGCGGATCGTATTAAATAATTAACATCTAAATGGCAGATGCATCAGCAGGAATTAGCATTAATTAGAGCATGGACAGCACAAAATGGTAGGCATTAAACACTGTCCATTGATCTAGTACTAAGTAAATAAATATACAAGCAACTTTTAGCACCTCGAACTGAAATAGCATAGCCATATTTAAGTGAATCATTAACAATACATAAGGTGCAGTCACTTAGTAACAGTTTGTTTACAACTTTGAGACCACATGATCGATTTTTAGGATCGAAAAAACAAGATCATAAAGTACTAAGAAGCGTGGCCATAATCGTAAACAACAAATTGTAGGGACATAGAATTTTCGGTTGTTTTTTTTATTTTCTATTTTTGCGCATAGCCAAGGTCAGATAAGATTCCCTTGTCAAGTTTTTTTTCACTATTATTTTGTTATTTTTCTTTTTGGCATTTGATAAGCACACTGAACTGATTCTATAATTAATTATGCGAGAAAAACAACAGAATTCGGAACAAACAATTTACAATTTGGGTTGACAACAGAAGAGGGCTTTTTTGGGTGGTCTTCTCTGCCCAGTACTTGACACACTGTGCAGCCCGCTGTGTTCTTATTTCAATTAGAAAGCAAAACACAAGCAAAAGTTCATTATAAATAGCAACCAGCTAAAGGAAAAACAAACATCGAAAGAAACGAAATAAGTTTGCCAGCTCGAAAATAATAAAATGTGCGAAAAAAATAGGTTGGGGGACTATAGAATTCATCGTACATCTGTTTTTGAATGGTGGTACACTTGAAGGGTTTGGAAATCTAATGAAAACACGTGTACCCACGCCTGAACCTTATGCAATTTTCTCTAAAAAAAACCCTACAAAAAACAAAAAATAGGGGGTGGTGTCGGCTAAAACGTAAACAAAACTGGCGGCGGAACATGCGCAGAACCCGGGGAAAAGGGGGCCTGTGTGGCTCATACTGTGTTACATAACTCGAAAATTCAAGACATAATGCCAGAAATGCCGAAGGAAAAATCGATTTTGCATCCAGCAACAAATGCTGTTATTTGGGTTTCATAAATACACTTTAAGAAGACATATTTTAGCTTTAAGGGCTATAGGAAATTGTCTTTTTAGATTAGAATTATGAGTATTTAAAAGACTCTTTCCAAACAAGCCTTTATGTGAACGTTTAGGGTGTATTAGGTCATATGAGCAGATCCCCGGCTACAGAATTTTATCTTTTAAAAAATATAGAACACTCCCACCGACTATTGAGACACCCTTTTGGGACGAACCCATCACAGTTATAGATAATAAATCATTGATAAACACTTGCCTCCCTTGGTTGGCGTCTTGTGGGTGCTGTGCTGGGCACGGTAACCGGTGATCATCTCGTAATTGCCGGCATCACGACGCAGGGGGAAGGCGATCTCAATGATGTGGTCACAGGGCTGCATCAGCATAAGGATGCCCTTAACCTTTTGCTTCTTCTCGTCACGGGTCATCTTGCCCTTCATGTCATCGACCAGAGATTCTTCGGCGATTTGGCAACCGCGATGGAAGAAGTACTCGACCATGTCGAAGAAACGTGGATCCTTGGCGGTGGGCACATCCTTAAGACGGTCGGGAATCTGGTGCTCGGTGGCATAGCCACGGGTGGAGTGCATCACAGCCGTGGGCAGTGCCTTGGCCAGCGTGCTCAGCTCCTGCTGACGCAGGGCACCCTGGCGGGCAAGACTCTTCAGGTGATACATGCTGCTTATTATTTGGACTGGGTTCCTCCTCCTCTTCTTTTCTGCTTTCTGCTCTACACTGCTGTTGGCTCCGCTGCTCAACAACCGCTCGCTATTCGACGCCGCACCAAACTGACCGAGAAACTTTCATGGATATATATATATATACGTTCTCTTTGAAACTTAACGATTTTTGGCTTGGCGGCTAAAGCTTTCGGCTCTCGCGAGAGAGCATTGGAAAGCTTTTGTGAGTGCCCGCTAGGAACTCTGGCTAGTGGATTATTCGTTTCGTTGCCAGGGAGAGATTAGGTTGCTATATGTTATCGGTTTCACGTTCACGTTTTTCTTTGACTCCGAGATTAAGCTATGATTTATTATCTTCGACTGAGTGTTGATTTCAGTTGGGGATATGATGTACTCAATTTTGTTATAAACACTTCAAAAATTTAATCATAGGGAAGGAAGAATGAATTTTTCAAACTTGAAAATAAATTAAGATTGGCGGGGTTTGAAAATTTTATTTTAGTTGTACTTTCGATAATATTTGCTGTTAAATTTGAAATAAATGTTTAGTTTCTCTTATCTCTTATTCTCTTATCTGGATTGAAAAGTGATTTTGAGTAAGAAAAAGACAACAAAAAAAGCATATAAAAGGTTAAAAGTCAAAAATCATTATGTTCTTATATTGATAAAAGATAACCTTTTAATTTATTGCTTTTAAACTTTTATGATTTTATCCTATCTTTTTTCCTATTACTCTTTTGACCATTTCCACTTGTCACCTTCTAAATTAACCAAATGAAAGAAAACTCCATCACGTTGACTTAAAAATAAACAAAATCTTGTGGACTATATTTGAAGTACATAATTAGAAAAGAACTTAAGCATGTATGGTGTTGTTTCGCTCATGGTAAATATTGCTGAGCGAAGATCGGATGAAGGCATCTCCCCTCTCCACGAAGCCATCCAGATGGGTCCACAAGAACCAGAAGCTCAGGAAACAAAACAGCACCTTGCTGACCCAGTCGAGGATGTAAAGACGTCGCAGGACTTTGCGAGCCTGAGGTAAAGTAGCCTCGCTCTCGCCCAGGATATAGGTCCTCATGCCCACGATGTAGTTGCTGATGTACGTCTCCCAGTTAACTTGGCCCACCGACGTGTCAAAGAGATCCTGATCTACGGTATTTAGTTGACTACTCATTTCCTGGAACCGTTCGTTGCGGAACTCCCAGTCTTTCGTTGTATAGTACTGCAGGAGTTTCAGACCCACCGATACTTTGCGTTGGACATTCAGTAAGCTGAACAGAATAAACCATTAGTTAGTGAAAATTGATGAAGTCTGTAAAGCGGTAACTTACAAGGGCTTCTGGCCAAAGACGAGCAGCCAAAAGTCGATGAAGTAGGCGGGCAGATAGTGGAAGAAGATGACGCAGAAGAGGTGGTGGTAGTAGTTCTTCTTGATGGATCCTCCTGGATACCAAAGCGCAAAGCTGAGAGGTGTTTCGTAGAAGAATCGTCGACCTGTCTCGATGCTGTCGCCCCAGGACATCAGAGCTTTGCTGGAGATGCACAGATTGCAGAACTCCACGCCTCTCTGCTGACCACCTTTCTCCTGACTGGCCTTGCCACGTTGATAGCCACACAGGATCATACCATTGATGGCCTTGTCCACGGGGATTACAGTGGAGGCGTAGTCCGGATTGCAGTGCATCGATCGGATGACTCCGCGAGCAGCACCTATCATAAGACCAGTAGGTCCATTGACGCCCTCGATCCAGCCGGGCAACGGTTCGTGAATAGCGGCCGTCACTGCAATGGATTTAATAAAGCAATTAACCAGGAGGTAACCACAAAGAGTAGGCACTCCGATACCCACCAATCGAGGGCCTTGTGATGATTATGGGCAGCTTATTGTTGTATCTGCAAATTAAATCTTCCGACAGCGCCTTGCTGTAAGCGTACGTGTTCGGCAAGCCGTTTAATAATCTGAAAATAAGTCAACGAAACTAGTTATTAGGTGCCAAGGTACTGGTGTAAAGGAGTATGAAACGCCAAGCATTTTACTGCCGTTAACTATTATTTTAAAACGAGTTTCTTTTTAATGTTTATATCTTTATAAGCGTTTGTTTACTATGATTAGTTTTGAGGAGGATCGTCTGCATCTACTAAAATATAAAATATTCGAAGTAGGAATATCTCAAAATAACGATATTTTTTGTATAATTAAAAACCACCTACTTGGGTGTGATTTCCGCCAGGGCGACGTCATCCATCGTCTCCACCATTTCAATGATAGAGAAGGGATTCTGTGGTGCCGGGTAGGCTCTCTCCTCCAGCACACTCTCGTTGCACTGGCAGTAGGAGGTGGACACATGAACCAGGGCCTGCAGGTGGCTCATCTTCTCAGCCAGACGAAGGACTTTCAAGGTACCGACCACATTCATCATGACCATGGGACGCAGAGGCTGGTCAAAGCGCACATTGGCTGCACAGTGGAACACCACCTCGACGTTGGAGGCGAGAGTGTTGGTGTCATTGGCGCTCAGGCCAAGGTCCGGTTCCAGCAGATCGCCCTTTACCACGCGCACCTTGTCCACGATGCCGGGATTCTTCTCCAGCAGTTTGTTAAAGATCTAAAAGGCAAAAATAAGAGGCGGTCGGTCATTAGTAAAGTGTCATGGCGTTGAAATTGCAATTCGGATTCAAAGTTTGCTTCTGTCTACTGGCTAGAATCGCCTAATGGGCCATGTCGCTGGTTTTAGCGCCGTCTTAACGTCTAACAATTAAGAGTCATTGTAAGTTTTTGGATTTTTTCTACCAATAATGATCACCTTGACTTATAAACGCCGTGGATGTGTTTGAGTGGGTCGCCTCTGTGGGCTCTACGTAACACTAGATTTCTGTGTCTTTGAACGGTGCGATAATTTGGTAATTTGCGGGAGTCGCGTTGGAGTTTGGAGGTTTTCCCTCTGACGGAGGGCAAATGGAATATTAGTTCAGCTGCGTTGGTACCAGTTATGGCATATAATTATATAGAATTTTTAACTGAGTTCACGTGCGAGTGCGTTGCGATTCGGAATTGTCAGGCAGCCTGAAGTGGAAATGATGGCTATCGGCAGGTGGACAAGGTCAGCCATAGCGATCACTTTGGATTTTGTAAGATTTCTATTATAACTTGGACTGACTGCAAATGGTGTGTCTTAGGCTGTGACTCATTCGCAAATAATGTGTAATTTTGAATAACAGTAGATTGAAGGACAAAGAGTTATTTCAAAATTTTAAACCACAATTAATTGGCTAACGTTAGAATTTTGCAAAATCAATAAATTAAATCAATTGGTAACTTATGAAATTCACTTGAGTCACTTATTCTCAGTGGTTTCCCTTACAATCCAACTTAATTCATTTAATTGCTGTAATTGAGTATTGCTACATTTTTTGGAGAAGCCCCGGAAATGTAATTTTTCCGTTAGAACTATTGATTTCAATAAATTTCCAAATACCAACTAATTATAGTTATTATTTTTAATAAGCAACATGACAAATCCGAAGATTCCCAAGAAATATTATGAGCTTCGTTGCAATTTGTATTTCCATTAAGCATACGTCACGTGGTACGGCTTTAAGTGGCTATCTAAGTAGACGCTAATTAAGCTGTTTAAAGCAAGAGGGCTGGGCTTTATTTACGATCCATAAATTATCTAATTTACAGCATTTAATAATGGAATGTATCGATTTCCGGCTATGCGAGGCAATTGGATAAACTTACCACACATTTGAAGTACTGCTCCTTGCGAACACTGGGATCGACCCCCTTTTTGGTGCGTATCAATAGATATATGACATTCAGATCGGAGCAGCTGCGCAGTAGTTTCTCTACTAAGACTTTGCCCATAAATCCAGTGGCACCGGTTATCAGGATGGTCTTGTTTGCATAGAAATTGGCAATATCAGACTCGCCGCATTCGGCATCGCTCCTCAATATGTCCATGGTTAAGCAGGGATCTATATTCTGTAGAAAAATTTAATTGAAATTAAAAATGAATTCACATAAACTAATATTATTGTCATATTCCCTGCTAAAAATAACTTATGATTTTGACATTTAGCTTGCCAAATTGAGCAAAGGAAGTGACGATGAGGTCGCATTACAACCATATGTATGTATTTCTTTTTTCAAGATCAAATTGTTGGCCATTTGTTTGTCTAACCTACTCCGGGCAAGATTCTTGTTCAATGTCACCGGCGGATACTGATGAAATACGATCATGCAGAGACAACTGCTGTGTTGACCAACCGCGTGTAATTGCCGTGGCCAATTGGGATTTTCGGGTTTCGTTCCCTTGGAGGCCCCTTTCCCATCACACCTCGCGTATCATCTGTTTATGTTGGTAAATAGCGACAAGTTTAAAGACCTGTTAGCGGCCACCGTTTGTTTGTTTATCATGTTTGGAAAGTATCCGTCCCGCAATGGGTTAATGTTTGGCTCATTGCTTTATTTTGGGTTTTTATTTTTAGGTTTTTTATTGTACTTTTTAGTGTGTGCATTACGCTCTTGGGCAATGAGTGTGCGGGTGGAAGTCCAAGCAATTAGCCAGATTTTGGATTTCTTCGTGACGGGGTTAGACTTTAGCGTTTTTAGAGCATTACAACCTCTGCGTTTTAATCTACTTTTATGTGTGAACTAATTAAGTTAAGTAAATTAAAGTTTCTTGCTTAATTACACAGAAAGTTAACCACTCATGTAATGGTAAAGTTAATGCACTTTGTAGGAATCATAAAAAATCTAGCATTATAAGATTTCTTTTATGAAATATGATGTTTTTCCTGCCTTTAGGTATCGAAATCCACCCTTTTTAGTATAAACTTCAATTACCAATTTTATTGATTGATTACAAAATTATAAAATACAGCACTTGTTAATTGTATTTAATTGCATTTGTATTGTAATTATGCAAACACAATTGTGTTCGTTTATAAATAAATAACAAGCTTATAAATCAATCTGTAAGTTATACACTTTTTAATAGTTATAGTATCGCCTTGGAACTTTTTTCGACTTTAATTTCCTTTAACTTTGTTTAATACAAATATAGGTAAAGTTATAATTTCAATAATTTTTTAGACATCAAATATTATATTTTTTTGAACCTTTCATAATTTGGTAATGTAATATTCCAATGATTCAAAAAAAATATAAAAGTTAAACACCTAGAAATGGTTACCACTACGTTAAAGGAAATCTTTATATGCAGATTACAAAATTTAAAACTAATATGATTTTCAGAAAATCCACTTCCTAAGTATGCACATTTCGAAATCGTTTGCCCGTTCCAAATAATGAATGCTTCCTTTTGGAGTCCGTTCCCTTTCTTTGTTTTTCCTTTCGCGACCTAAACAAAAGACTTAAGACACAAACTAATGCATTTGCTCTTTGCCGTTCTAAATGCATTAGTTTCCATTGAAATTTATTTCCATTGTTTAGTCTGCTCTAGTCGAAGTGACTTTTTTCCTAAGCCACCACACACTTTACTGAGTAATTTACGCCTCCTTTTTGGCCGGACGGGTGGATTCACGTAACTCAAGGCACGCAAATTATGACATTTGTACACTTTTCGCTTACAATTGTTAGATTGACTTTTGTTTTCTTTGGGACTTTTGCGTGTCAATTGTAAGGGCAAACACACACAACGGGCCAAAGTTCACGGGGGGAATGCTATGCCCAACGATTATTGGGCCAAGTTATTAGCACCTTAACTTCATCTGAAACTCACTTCTCAGGCTTGTGACAACGACGACGACGACGACGACTACGGTGACTTGGCGAATCTTTGAGTTATGTTGGCGGTCTCGAATTGAATCGGTTGAAAACTCAGCGGCAACTGAATTGAAAGCGGGCAATTGGCTTGAAGTTATACTCGGCTCAAAGGAAACTCGACTCTGCTGGCGTCGCTGCCTGGCCAACGCCGTACACAAATACAAATACTTGGCCAGTGAACGTGTGCGCAGACAGGTGTGTTAGCCAGGTGAGTAGTAGTTGTAGTGCCTGCTTTCCGGGTTATACTACCCGTAAGATGAGCTTGCCCTCAGCCAGACGATAAAACCGAAAAACACACAAACCGAATCGAAACACTCGAATTAAAGCCAATTAAACGGCACTTAAAGATCTTCAAGTCGAGCAAGGGCAATTGCTAATGGAGCTCCCGTCTTTCCAAGTTTCGGAGCATCATAACTGCAATGGCCTGACAACTCTGGCCGGAGTCCAAAACAAAATTCCCCTCGACCGCAAAAAAAGGAACCACACCAAACCAAGGCCAGCCACTTGAGTTGGCCCTAAAAAATCGCATGTCATCCATGGCAGCGAAACAGATGCATATATACAGTAGGACTTCTGTAAAGGGAACATTCTTTAGGCCACGTTCTTATATACTAATCAGTTCAATAAGCAATTCCTTAACAAATCCCAGTTTTGGAAACTATGTTACCCACTATATATCCTAGTACCAAACATAATAGACTTAATTATTATTTAATTTATATTACCACCAGTTTAATATAAGTTATTTCAAATGATAATAAAATCAGTATATTGCCAATTGTTCCCTTAAACACTTCAATAACCGCCAGCACAATTGTTTGCTTTAAATGTAATGTTATGAGTCAGCTATGAAAGCTATTTATGGATTGTACTTTACAAAACTTAACAATCTGAACATCTGAGTCCCCACTGTAGTTGTATATGCACAAATTCAGGCAACTCATACTAGTGAATTTCCGCGCTAAAATGCATTCATGCAATTTTCGGCTGTAGAAGAGATTTTTTCCTCTTGGGGGAACCTGATCCACGGCTGCAAGCTGTGATAATGGCCAGGTAAGAAAAAAAGTTGACCCGTCAGGTGGGTTAGTTAGTGAGTCGAGGAGTTGTGTGTGGGGAGGACGAGTAGACGTGTTGGACAGCCACAGGATCGCTGGGGATTTCACAATCTGGTACCAACCAAACAGAAGATGTCGTGATGAGACGACCTTGAAATTGTGATTCAGCAACGTCTCCGTTACGTTTTTAATATATATTTTTTTTCCACCCAGTTTGTTGGCCTACGGGCCTTGCGGTTAATAACAGGCTTCGCAGCTCATCAATTGTATTCCATTTCCCTTTCCTTTGATGACATAATTTGTTTTGGCAGCCCAAGTCGTTGGACGCCCCTGGTCCAGCCCAATTCGTAGTTCCACTCTAATTGGTTCTGTAAACGCGAGAGAACCGAGGAAACTGTCTCGTCACCGGGTTGCGAATTGCACGACTTAGCCAAATCTCAACTTCCATGTTCCCAGTGGGGTTTCGTCTCTAATCAAGCGGAAGTGATTTCAACACACGTGCCTCCAAACTCCAAGAAACTCCTTGGCTATTGCTATTTGTATTTGTCTTATGGCCTTTCCGTTTTCTATGTGGCAAATGTTTTGTAATCGTGCATATCAGCTGGATCCTATTTGATTTTCATCTGGTCACTAACTAGCTAATATTTATCTTTCGCACTTCTTTTGTTTATAAGCCATAGATGACTTATAGCATTAGTAACTTTCAATCCCAGCTTACAAGTTACATTTTGCCGCTTACTACTATATATTTGAGCGTTTCTTCGCTAACCATTTTTTGGTTGACTCATGGACAAATATTTCCTATTTTTGATTGGCTTTAAAACTGCTGATTTACGCCAAATAATTCCATAAATAATAAAACGCAATATGTTTTTGTTTTTAATAAAGAAATCTAAAATAATGTGAGAATTATAAGAATTTTTGGAACCTGGAAGACGATAAATTTGATTAGGATAATATTGCTAGATTTCAAAGAGCGTCATATGAGATTTTTCCACGTCTAGATCTTCATTCCTGTTTTGAGTTTAAAACGTGATAGATTACGAAACTGCTTTTAATAACTCTAAAAAATATATAAAAATATTTGAGCTTAGTCTCTAACATTTGACATTTAGGAACTGCCCTTTGCTATTCTTTAAGCACTTCCCTGAATCCCCAAGACTATAACTCCCCATTACAATTTTTGATTGTACATTACCGATGAATAATCCGGCAATTATAAACAGGTTGCTTGAGTAGATACATATGTACCATGCATTCAATCAGCCGCGGCCATCATTATGCAATTTATTGCAATTGATTACTCCGAGTGGGCTGGAGTTAAGAGGTAAAGCTGGAGCTACGGATGGAATAAATGGGATTTCTAAGAGTTAACCCAACGAATCGGGACCGACGCCATAAATCAAACATAATTGCAAATCTCAGTTGCTTTCGCGGCTGCTGAATGTATACTAAATAACACTAAATATTTGCTATTTGTTCGAGATTTGATTAACGTCTAAGTAGAACACATTAAGGCTTGACCTGAGTCAACAAAGCAGCTTTGTATAGTGGTTATGGGGTGCATATATGCCTATATTGAAACTTCATTTCGCAACTTGTGCTGTGAACATTTTAGAAAAGGATTAATAGCCACTATAAATAACACTTATAACTTGTTCTGGAATTGTATTTAAATTTCAGTCTAGTTTTTGTCTTGTTTTTATCGGAATTAGATGGAGAATAAATGTTTAATGATTTAAATTACATTTAATTATTTGTTAATAAGTCATTTAATTCTTAAGCTATTACTGACTGCTTGTATTTTTAGATTTCATCATGTTGACTACTCCCAGGGGAAACCTGTTAAAAATCGTGGTAATGCAATGGAAATACACACAATCACAGTTTGAGTAAGTCTTCTTGCCTTTTGTTGTTATTGATGTTTACGCATATCGGCACGCAATATTGTCCAGGTCTGGGCCTTTTCCACATTCCCCATCCGCAGTGTGGGCTCGGCCATAAGTTTTCCATTTAAAACAAGTAGACACCGGCTGCTGACACAAAGCGGCAAGATATGAATCTAATTAGCTGGACTCACTCTCACCTAGCTTAAAGTACATTCCTAAACCACTTTCCGCCTCCCGATCAAAGCCATATACGAGTGTAAATATGTCAATTATATTATTTATCACAATGTTAATAATTGTACAGACCGGGAGAATCGAATTGGTGAGCGGCGCAAAGAAAAAAGTGGGCCTTGGGCAAGCTGGATCGGCTTAGTTGATATTGATAGCAGTTCCTATATCTGGTAGTGTGCTCTACCCACCTCCAAAGAGTTTAAGATGGAATCCACTGATTGTAAATACTGAAAAATTATCCATTTATTGAAATAGAGCTGCTAAGTGACTTTTAATTGGTGTTATAAACGGACTTAAGAGGTATGAGGGATATGATAGGTTTGTTGGTAATGGTAACTAGTTTAAAATAAAACATAGAATTAGTAAATTAAAATGTATGTTGCTTTCTACTTTGCTTTTTAGGTAAGTTAAAGAATAAGTAATACGTATCAATGGGTAATGAAAGGTCCATAGCGTATACGAAAATTAATTTGTTTGATGTAGGGTGGTTGACAAGTAATTACACATTTAATTGGATGGCGATAGGATTGATACCTTTTTAAAAAGTCTAGTGTTCCATATCGAAATGAAGTTTATAAATAATTTATGCTGAATAAACGGAACTAAACAAAGAAAAGAAATAATTCGCTTCGTGCAGGTGGAAGGAGCTACTAAGGTTAAATAGTTTGACAGCTTAATTCTCATTCAAAATTGGTCTTGTTAGATATTCTACTCTAGGTTAAAAGGTTCGTTATCCCTCTAATTAAGGCCTTGATAGAAACAAATTGTTTTGTCAATTTAAACTTTTAGCATTTAATCAATTTAAAAGAATATTAAGGTGGTTGAAAATCAGAGTACATATAGGTCAATCGATTCCATCCAATCGATTTATTTTGCCTGTTAAGATTATGATTTGGAGAAACAACGAAGCCTGGCTTCCATCCAGCTCCCTTTCATTTAGTAGCTACGACCGAAGAGCGTGTAGAACTTGGGCTTGTTTGTGCAGCTGGGGTTGATGCACTTGTCGCTGGCCGCGATGGGAGCTGGCTGGTCGAAGGGGATGCATAGCGACTTGGCGCCCATGGCAGGAGCTCCAGGCTCGGCCTCTTCGCCGCGGGCACTATCCGCCTTGATCTTGTCTTCGCAGCTGATCTCGCCGCAGAATGGAGCCAGCAGTATGTTCTTCTGCTCAAGGAAACCGCAGAAGTCGTTCCAGTTGCTAACCTTCTTAGTGTGACTTGTCATATCCTCTTGTGCCTTGCTAAGCATGGTCTCATGGATTGTCTCCAGCAGTGCGGGAATCTTCTTCTCCACATCGGCCAGTGGGATGGTGATCTTCTCACCTGTGTCACGGCGCACGGCCACTAGCTGCTTAGCCTTCAGGTCCTTAGGACCAACCTCCAAGCGCAGCGGCACTCCCTTCAGTTCCCAGTGGTTGAACTTCCATCCGGGCGAATAATTATCTCGGTAGTCACCTTCGCATCGCACTCCACCGCCAACAAGTCGCTTTTCAAGTTCCTTGCACGCGTCCAACAGCTGCGCACGCTCGTCATCCTTGGTGTTCACAGTGATACCGCAGGGCACCACAATAGCCTGAATGCAGGCAACATGTGGTGGCAGCACCAGACCTTGGTTGTCCGCATGCACCATAATCATCACGCCAATGGTGCGGGTAGTTATGCCCCAAGAGTTCTGGTAAGCGTACTTCTTCTGCTGAGTTTCAGGGTCCTCGTACACAATCTCGAACATCTTGGAGAAGTTCTGCCCCAAATGGTGACTGGTTGCTCCCTGAATAGCTCGACCGGAAGCTGAGATGAATGCCTCCACGGTGGTAGTGTAATCACCGCCCGCGAACTTCTCCTTCTCTGTCTTACGACCCTTCACAACGGGAATAGCCAGCAGGTGGGTGTAGACCAGGGCGTACAGGTCGAGGATTTCCAGCACTTCCTTGTCGGCTTCCTCTTTTCCGGCAAACGCAGTGTGTCCCTCCTGCCACAAGAACTCGCGGGTACGTAGGAAAGGAGTTGGCTGCTTAAATTCCCAGCGCTTTATAAAAAAAATATTCGTTAAACAACAATGAGATTGACTTAACCAAATAGATACTTACCACAACGTTGTTCCACTGATTAAGACGGATTGGAAGATCCCTGTAGGACTGAACCCACTTGGCGTAAGCGGGATACATGACGGTCTCGGAGGTAGGGCGCACAGCGATTGGCTCGGCCAAATCGGAGTCACCCGACTTCGTTACCCATGCTACTTCCGGAGCAAAGTCCGCAATATGCGTCTTTTCCTTTTCCAGCACCGCCTTCGAAACAAAGATGGGGAAGTAACACTCCTTGACACCCATGCGCGTAATCTCAGCATCGAACCAGTTCTTGATGGCTTTCCAAATGGCAAAGGACCAGTGGCGGAGGATGTAGCATCCGGACACGTCATAATATTCGATCATTTCACCCTTGGTGATTACCTGTGAGTACCAGTCCGGTAGATTGTCCTCCTTAGTGGCCTCCAGTCCCAGACGGGTTTGTTTTTTCACAGCGCCGGAAGCGTCGGCCGCTGGCTCCTTTTTCACAGGCTTGGCTGGCTTTGGTTGAGTCTCCTTTGGTGCTTTCTTGGCCGATCCACCACCACCGCCGCCTCCTCGTCCAGCTACAGGGAAATCGGTGCCTGTAACCTCCTTGTACTTAGCCTTGAGAGCCAACAACTTGGCCACTTCAGCATCGATAACATCCTTGGCTGCTTTGTTGGACTTTGCCGCACGTACCTTCTCTCCCTGGGCATTGATCTCCTGGGTAAGTTCATCCTTAGCTGGCGATGCCATGTTAACCGGACTGGCTTCTTTTTTAACTACAGCGGGTTCAACTTTAGCGTCAGGGGTCCAGTCCTTACCACTCAGCGTCTTATATTCAGCTTTAAGGGCAAGAAGATTCTTAACCTCAGGTTCAATAACGTTCTTGGCTGCCTTCTCCGACTTCAGCTTTCTGATCTTATCACCTTGCTCCTGAATTTTGCCCAAGACACTGGCAACGTCGCTACCTGTATCTCCAGCAGTGAGATCTACAACGGCGACGGTTGCGGGAGTGGGAGCCACAGTACCTGGTTTCCACTCTTGGCCGGTTAGAGATTTGTAGTCCGTTTTCAGAGCCAGCAAAAGCTTTACCTCGGCATCCACCAGGGATTTTTCCGATTTAGCCGACTTCAGTTGGCGGATTTTATCACCCTGCTGGGCGATCTTATCCAACAATGTGTTTACGGCAAGGTTTGAAGCGGGTTCGGGATTCTTCTCCTGTTTGACCTTTACTGCAGCTGCTGCTGGGGCTGGGGCGGTGGTACCTGGTTTCCAGTCACTACCGGTCGCAGCTTTGAAGTCAGCCTTTAAACTGAGCAACGTCTTCACTGCAGCATCAACAGTTGCCTTATCGGCTTTAGCTGCCTTCAGCTCTCGCACCTTATCGCCTTGGGCAGTGATTTGGTTTAGAATCTGCGCGACCGAATCGTTGGCAGCGGCAGCTGGAGCAGGTGATGCAGCTGGAGCGGCAGTGGGAGGAACAGTGCCTGGTTTCCAATCTTGACCGGTGAGAGTCTTGTACTGAGCTTTCAGTTCGAGCAGCGTCTTTACAGCAGCGTCAATCTCTGGTTTGCCAGCCTTCTTACCCTTCAGATCTCTAACCAAATCACCCTGCTTCACAATGCTGGCGTTAACAGACGCGGCGTCGTTGGAGGAGGAAGAAGCGGCAGCAGGTGGAGAAGCAGCAGGAGCAGTAGTTTGTCCTGGTTTCCAATCGTTTCCTGTAGCTGTTTTGTAATCAGCTTTTAGGGCAAGAAGCTTTTTCACCGCAACATCGATTTGATCCTTAGCTGCTTTCTTCGATTTCAGGTCACGCACAAGATCGCCCTGCTTGGTTATTTGACTGTCCAAGTCGGAAGCTTGGCCGGAAGATTTCACAGGAGAGGATGCCTTTTTCTGAAAGAAAGCACATTTTTAATGTTTTTTATATAAAAGTTAGATAGCTGCAACGTCTTCATGTTTTTAAAAACTTTTCTGCAACGTCAGCAAGGGCCACATGAATTATTCAGCGAGCCCCTCTTTTAATTTGTTGCGTATGTCTTACACAGGTTGACGATAACGATCCACACGCTACGTTGTTCAGCGTTCAACTGGTTTTGGCTGAAGAAGAAGACTGCGCCGAACCAACGCGGCACATAATTAAGAGAAAGTGAAAGAGCTTCAGAGAGCCAAAGTTAGAGAGTGAACATGATTTTAGAGTTACGAACAGCTGATATTGCAGATTGAGAGAAAATAAGATTGACTACCAGACGAATATGAAATACTCTATTTTCTATTTTACTAATAATTTGTGAAATAATGTGCTTGAACTCACCGTTGTCTTGGCATCTGGGGCATTGATTTTCAGACCAGAGGTGGGCACATCCTTCGTATGACCATCGGGAATTGAGAACAAAACTATGGGTGAGGGTACACTTGTGAAGCCACTGGGAGGAGCATAAGCGTTGTCCACCTTGAAGAAGCCACGTCTTTGCAACTGGATGATATCGCCCTTTTTACACTTCTTCAGTTCAGGATCACCCAACATGGCCACTTCGTCTCGGGTCTTGTGACCAATAAACTGCTTAAAGTCCTCGTCCTTGCCCAAAACAGGTTTGCTGATGATGTTATCGAAGTAAACGCAGAAAGTGGGTGGATAGGCACTAGCATCATCTTCCACAGCCAACCAGGTGAGTTTAAGGGTTTTCTTGAAGTCCTTGTTATCCAGGTTAAGAGCAGCATCGACGGAAATGATAGTACCGGATGCATCCTTGTTTACCTTCTTGATCAAGATGTTGCCCCAGTTGATAAATGTGGCATTTTCACCCTCCTTCAAAGCTTCAGCATCAACGTAGTCGATGTAAATGCGGGGACCCAACGAGACGGTCTTCTTGCCAAGCGACTCATCCTTTGGATGCACGGAAACCTGGATCTTTTCGACCTTAGCTCCAGCCACATTTACAATGATGCGTTTCTCTTTCTCTAAAGCCGTGTAACGAGGAGCAATCGGATCGATAACCTTCTTGTTAAACGCCCAGATCTTATCCCAGTTCATGAAGACCACGGATTTGCTGCTGCCCTGGGCAATGATGAATTCCTTCAAACCTTCCACAGTCATACCCCGACGGATGATACCACGCACTGTTGGGAAACGAGGATCATCCCATCCGTCAACCAGACCGGAGTCCACAAACCAGGTAAGCTTCCTCTTGGACAACACTGTGTTGGTCATGTTCAATCGACTATATTCCCAGATGTAGGGTTTCCTTAGCTTGAGGGCATCAATAAACCAGTAGAACTGGTCATCTCGATCGTGGTACTCAGTGGTGCGCAGGGTGTGGGTGACATTCTCGATAGCATCCACAATGGGGCAAGCAAAGTCGTAGGTGGGATACACCCTGTAACTCATAATGGTTAAAAATCTATTGAAATCCCACTTTGTAAAATACCCACTTGTATTTGGTTCCTGTGCGAGGATGTGGCTCGTTCTTACAGCGATAGATAGTGGGATCGCGCATGCAGCCGTTGGCAGAGGTCATGTCGATCTTGGCGCGTACACAGTACTTCTGACCCTTCTCAGATCCCTTAAGCATCTCCTCCCACAGGGAAAGATTCTTCTCAACGGCTGAAAAAGAGAATGAGAAATATTAAAACTCTCCAATATCCAAAGATCAACAAACACTCACAGTTAGATCGATTAGCGGACTCCACTCGTTGCTCGCGCTCCAGCTTCATTTGCTCTGGTGGCGTGTCGTCCACGTAGGCTTTGCTCTCCTTGATCAGCTGGACACAGTAATCTAGCATCAGGTCGAAATAGTTAGAGGTGTGCGTAAACACGTCAGGCTTGATCTGCAGCTGTTCAAGATCGCCGAGAATGACGTTTTCGAACTCAACGGTTTCCTTGGCGGGATTCGTGTCATCAAATCTCATGATCAGCGTTCCCTGGAACGCCAGTGCATAGTATTGATTCAGCAGCGCCGCCTTAGCATGACCGATATGCAGATAGCCCGACGCCTCTGGCGGGAATCGCACCACGACCTTGCCCATCTCGGCACCTGGAAGGTCCACGAACTTTCCTTCCTGTTTGCGCTCTCCCGTTTTGGCGGGTGTCTGCTCTTTGGAGGCCTGCGGGCTTCTCTTGACCCTCGCTCCCTCTGGCAGACTCTGAAGCACCTTTTGGATCAAGGGCTGGGCAGTGATGAGGTCATACCAACGCTGCACGTGCTGCGGGATGCCTTTAGCGGCAAGGAACTCATAACGTAAATGCATCTCGTTGAACAACGCAAAATCAGCGATGGTCAGCTTGTTGGCCACCAGATAAGTAACCGGGGCAATGGATTTGTCCAGGAAGGACAGGGCCCACGAGATGTCATCCTCACAGGTCAGCGAAAAGGACAGCCAGTGATCTATCTGTGTCCGTTCGATGGCCGTCTCTCCGTACAGTTTATAGTCGGGAGCAGCGCGGGCCAAGGCGCGAAGTACATCGTTGTTGGAGTGGCACACCAGAACTCGATTATCCGGGAACTGCAGTGAGGTCTCCTCCTTGCTCCACACAATCTCCACGGGCACGGTGCCATTGATAAGGTGCGCCGTCGCCAAACCACCTATTCGAATGAGTCAATTAATATCACCCGACACGACGTTAAACTGATGCAATAAAAGGGGAATTGAATGGAATGCCCAACATATTGTGTACATAAATAGACCATATCCGTTTATAACCTCACTAAGTGCACATCTTCCGGCCCCTGAAGGTCACTGCAGCCGGCTTTTTTAAACTTACTTATCGGCGGATTGTTGAGGTTCGCTTTGAGCTTTATTGACATCGTCGTAGTTTGTTCGCTTGCAATCTAAATTCAAATGACGAAATTTCTCGGCTTAATATACGGCACGAGTACGGCCAGCTGCTAACGTCTACACAGCCTAATAGAGATGGCCAAAGAGGGCTGCAGTTGCCGTGCGATAGTTCTCTGTGAATGCTACACACCGAGCAGTTCCGATACAGTAAAACCTAAAGTTAACAATTTATAAATTATTTATAATCAACGGTATGTTTTATACGACTAAAAGAATTAGTGAGCTTAATATTTATATATTTTAACTATATTTTATCAAAAGTACTAAACTTAACTTAACATTTCTTCGTTTGGTTATTGTCTCTAGTTTTATGACACACAGTGTTTTTTGTTATTCTCTTGTAAGCGTCGACAGGTGCATTGTGAATGGCAACACTGCATGAAGGAGAATTTTCTATGTGTGTTTTGTTCGGTGGCTGCATGGAAAAATAAAATTTTTCCATATATTTTGTACAACCAGCACACGGAAAAACTCAACCACGCAGAGGAAAAACATAATAAATGGTGAGACTAATGGAAAAACAAGTGGAACAGTAAAATAACTCGTTATGGTAACGATGCGGTGGCTCCAGTTATAAATGAGATGTGTGTGTGTTGGTGTGGGTGCTTGATGACTGTGTCAGTGGGAATTGGGAGCTTCGCTGGCCTAAAAAGATATGAAAAATAATGAAAACATAACAATTCAATAAAAGTTATATGCTAATGAAGAGGCACCTCGTTTTTAGATGCTTTTCATGCTGCTGTTCAGCCGGCAGGGCAAACTGCGGTTACAGAAGTGGTACATGGCCTATCCGGATAAGGTAAAAAAGAAGATCACCAGAGAACTGGTGACCACGATATTGGCTCGAAAGCCCAAGATGTGTTCCTTTCTGGAGTGGAAAGACTGTAAAATTGTCTACAAGAGGTGAGTAATTTAAGGAATTTAAGTGGTCAAGATATAATAGATATTACTTCAGTTTTCTAAGAAAAACTAAAGTTTCTTACTTTGCTCTATTAAGTTTTCAAACCCTAGAAATGTATCAGATACCAGCACTGATTAGATATGTATTCCTAAGAACAAGTGCTCTTACATTATATCTGATATTTTACAAGATAATTACTATTATAGAAGGACTAACAACTGTAATCAGACAAGCTTTAAATGTATTTTTTCATTGTCAATAAACTGTCACTAATGTTTGTTGCTTTATAGGTATGCCAGCTTGTATTTCTGTTGCGCCATCGAGCAGAACGACAACGAACTGCTGACACTGGAGATCATTCATCGCTATGTAGAGTTGTTGGATAAGTACTTCGGCAGCGTAAGTTATTAACACCAGTTTTGCGACAAAAAACCTAAAAGGATTTATATTACCACTTTTGTTAACAGGTCTGCGAGCTGGATATAATCTTTAACTTTGAAAAAGCCTACTTTATCCTGGATGAGCTGCTTATTGGCGGCGAGATCCAGGAGACGTCCAAAAAGAATGTACTTAAGGCAATTGCCTCGCAGGATTTGCTCCAAGAGGTCAGTACACCCGAGACATATGATCTGTAATGCGTAAAACGGTTGTGTCACTCTCTACCTATGCCGGATATTGTTAATTGTTTTACATATTTATTCAACTTACTGGTTTTTAGTTTCGTTACCTCGTTAGTGTTTGTTTGCATCTTTATATTATATGCCTATCTATAACGTTTACAATGTCATACCTCATGCATATCACGGTTTTCTCTTTTTACTATACTCTTACTTACTTCTCGTTCTGTTTCTCTAATTTGTGCAATCGAAACTAATTACTATACTACTCCTACTGTAAACTGAACACCTCTAACCACTCGAAGCAAGAAGAGTTCTTTTACTCGCTGCAATAGATCCTAAGTCCAGTGTGCGTGTGTACTCTTGCCGCAGCAATGTCATTAACTTTAAGTTCAGAATCTGATGTAAACCACCTTAGCAGACACACACGCACCCAATCGATTTGTTTTATTTATCATTGCATGCCGTCTTGAGTTCCGAAACTTGCCTACTCGAAAGCGAATTGTGAATTGTGAGAATTTACCAGGAATTATTTGATCGCCACAGTATTGAACTTGCCATAGATGTTTCTGTGCAGTAAAACTATAACCTTTGTTTGCCATTCGTAGTACAATTTTTGCTTGTGTTTATTTTGTGACCGTAACTCCGTTAGTCTCCTAACCCGAATTGTAGTAAGACATAGATCTTAGTTGGCTTGATTATTTTGCATGACCTTTGTAGTTGAATTACTAACTAGATACGATGTTAAACTATACATATTCTTGCCATACCATATGCCATATATAAATGTGTAACCCATGTACCCTCTCTCTTGTTATTATTAACGCTTACCCTACCCGCCACTGCATAAATCGATGTTAACACAACTACTACTACTACCACCACCAACAACCACCACAGGACTTCAATGAGTATCTCAACTAATCAATGAAAAGAAAAAAATATATAAATATATCTAGAAGAAAAGAAAAGCCCATCCCAAAGAACCAGTGTAAAGAACATAAATTTATAATCCCGATCTGCGAAGAGTTTTAGTGGAGAGTCGATAGGTCAGATCAGTCAAAACCTTCGTCCAGCTGTAAATATATGTGTATATTGCCCAGCTTCCATTCCCCTGCCTTCCCCGCGCTGCGCTGTGATGTTCATCCATATAATATGCATTACATGTTTCCAAGTTGTGCCGTAAATGAAAGAAAAGCAAAACAAGATCGAAATTGGTTTCTTTTTCTGGACACATTCTACTCACATTTACACCTACTACTCGTACTACCACTACTACTACTCTCTTTCCTTCTACTCTTCTCGTTCTTATTGTTCTTATTCTCTGTACTCCAGGACGAAGCCGTTGAGGGCACTTTAAGAGATATTGGACTCCTCTAAAGAACTAGAACACCCTAGAACTTATGTAGTTGATATTACACGCACACCCAGACACAGCAAGCACACAATAACATAAAAACACACACACACATTGATACACCCCCAGCGACAATGTGTGCTGCACTTGGCACTTTTCAACACTGCTCCAACCACTTCTCAACACTAGTGTGTGTTTTGGCTGTTGTACAGCACTGAAGCGCTAATAATGAATAATAAGAAGCAAGAGGACGCCATGCAGCGTGAGGCTACCAAAAGCAATAAATCCCACAAAGCTAAATACTAGATAGTAACATCAGAGCATCTGGCATGTGGTTTTCCATACACCTTCTCTCGTAAATTTTACACGCACACACACAAACACACAGATATTATAGACCCAGCAAAGTTCATGCAAAACAAGCCAACCTCACGTAGTTCCATCTGGGGTTCCTCAACTGAATTAATATTCTTCTTCCTATCTACATTATATAATCGAAAGATCATTCCAATCAATCACCAAATGGGCAATAACTAATTTAGTGGGGAAATATATGCAATACTATTCTTACAATAGAAACAAGTAAGCTTTAATGTTGAAAATATGAGAACGATATATAATTGAAAATTGTAATAATCATCCCTTAGTGGTAACCGAATAAAGTCTAGTTTATGTATATCTACAAATATATATATGTTTATGTATGTGTGTTGTACGTTTTAGCCAAATTTTCTGTGTTTTGTAACTGAAAAAAAAAACAAGTTAAAATAAAAACCAAGTATTTTTCAAAAATAAATCCTAAATGTACTCGTATGCTATATGATAATGGTAAGAACTGGTGATCCTCAGTTTGTTTTTAATGTAATTGTTTATTTATAATTTTGGTTGTTGTTTTTGCTGTTGTCACTGACCCATTTGACTGCTCTGACCTCTTGCCGCCCGCTTTGATCTACTCTCCACTGATCTGATCTCTGAACTCCACTCTCTCCAAAACTGTCTATCTCCCCATCTGTCTGGCTTAGTGCACCCGTTTGGTGTCCTTTTAGTTGTTTTTAGTTGTTATTTCTTATTACCCGTTTTCCATAGCCTATTTATGAGGGGTACACCTAGCTTAGAAACTATTATTTGATTGCCTTTTATCCCGAGCGATGTAAAGTATATAGATCACGTAACTGAAGCTAAGCATTCTCCCATTCCAGGATGAGACCCCGCAGAGTTTCTTCGACGATCATGGCCTTGGCTAAGTTGGCTCTTTGAAAAAAAGAAAACCCAAAAAAGACAGTATCTATATCTTGAACCCATTTAAAGTCGCCTTAAATGTATGCGTGTATCTGTATTCAACGTAACCCAAAAGTATATCGGTTCTATTATTATTTAACCATCCTGTGTCAGCATAAAGGATTGTCTACAAAAGTGCTGTTAAACTTACTCCTAATTTCGCTTGGCAAATGCAATTTGCAACACATTTTACTCTACTAAGGCAGCAATATCGGTTGCTCACACACACATTCATACTTGTAAAGATTAACTTAGAGATAAGCAAGCTAAATCGAAGCGATTAATCGACGGTGTGCTCAACTCTATAGTTGTAAGTTAAAAGCCCTATAAATATATGAAAATTGCTGTATCCAAAGTAACAAATCAAAGCTCTGTTTACTTTAACATTCCTTGCAACAAATAAAAATCGTATCGAGTGTGAGAGTTTCTATATTTCAGATGTTGTATGCTCAGTGGTGTACCTACATTCGTGGGAGAATACGTATCTGAATATTAATTCATTATTTTGTTCAAAGTATTGCAAAATTTGGTAAGGATTTCTGCAATCGTGAAAGACAATAGTGTAGGATAGGAGTGATATTACCCACAAAAATATTTAACTAGGCACAAAAAGGTTGACGGTGATATTTTTAAAACTAATTAAAAACCCATTTGGGTAAATTTACAAGCCTAAATCATTTAATGGATTGAAATAAATAAATTTAATACATCACCAAGTAAAACCTCTTTGGCCTAAAATAAAGCCCCTATTTGGAATAATTGTTGTACTTGTGGCCATTTTACTTTCCCAATTTGGCCACATTTATTTTGGGGCTAGGTTGGCAGCTCTACGACCAACAAATTGTTGATTTCATTTTTATTTGAAGGGGGCGGGCAAAAGAGAGAGCTAGAGAATAGAGAGACGGAGAGCAAGAGAGCGCTGGCATCCTGCCTGCGAGAGAGAGCTAGCTCTCCATTTATCTCTCTAACGGGAGCTCCCCAAAATTTCCCCCTGTTTGTTGTTGGGCTCGCACGCACACAGGAATTCAACGAACTCAACACACCGTTGAGCGAGACGAAGCGAATGCTTGCCCAATTAGCGAAAGCAAGATGGGGCGAGAGCGCCAGGCGGAGCAGCGATAAAGGCACTGCGCTGCGAGAAAGTTGCGGGACCCGTCCGCAGAGCGCACCATCGTCTTCAGCGGAGCACACACATCAGCTAGGTGTGCTCTTCCGTACGTAACGGTTGCGGATTTTCACTGGATTTCCATTTCCACATAGCCAGCACACAGGAAAATTCCCACACACTCGCACAGCGAAAAAAGTGCACAAAACTCGTGGAAAACTCGGGGGAAAATCGGTGAAAACTTGCGAAAAAACACTCGGTTAATTCCCTGATTGTGCGTTTGAAAATTTGAAAAGTCTGAAGTGCGGGCCAAAAAAAAAGAAATATCGAATGGAAAAGCAGGCAGCAGCAGCAGTAGAAGTAGTGTGAAAATCGAGTGTGCAAAATTTTGCAGCTTCAAAAATGTATGGTACATAAAATTTCTCTCTCCAAAAATCGCGAGTGTATGTGTGCGCGTGAAAATTACGTTGTCATATGTGCCAAGTGCTGAATTTTCCAGGCCTGACTTTCCCAGAAAGCGAGCTTTAACAAATTAACTCCTTCGAGTGATTAGCAATGAAAAAAAAGACAAGGCCACACGCACACCACCCAGATACTTATATGCATATATTCATATACATATGTATATATCATATATACCATATATATACATCTATGTATGGTGGCAAGGAATCAAGCCGCGCCAGCAAAAGAAAGAAAGAAAAAAATTCTCTATCTATTGCGATTTGCTCATGCGGCCCGAAAAGAGCGAAGCGCGCAGCATTGGGTGGGAAAAGTGGGTGGCAAGTCCCGAAGAGGAGGAGCGGGTGACGGAGTGGGCTGGGTGGGCGCCACCACGGCCCCAGTGGGTGCGAAGTACGGCTGCTTTGTCTACAGTTGTAGAGTGTGTGTGTATACACAGCCTCTGAAATCTATATATCTTGCTTTTTTTGGCCCCCCATTAGCATCCATAATTTTCAGTTTTTTTCTTTGGTTTGCCTATTTCTCCCAGCCCAAAACAAAACAATAATTTCCCGTAAGAAAAAGCAAAGCCGCAAAGTTTTCATCACTCCTCCCCCACCGACCTTCCCCTTCATTCATCGCATTTGTTGCAAAAATATTTCTCGTTGTGATTTATCCTTAAACTTGGCCACTTTCGTTGAACCGCTCCGTCGTGGTGGAGTTGAGTTCGTGGTGATGTATTTGTCTGTGTGTGTATGTGGTGGGTTGAGAAGTGCGCATGTCGCCAGGACATCGCCTGGTGGCCAGGATATATGGACACGGGAAACGGGTCCTGGACATTCCACGTCGTCAGGCTGGCTCCACACTCACAGTTGCGGCACAAATAATAGTACTGCTCCAAGTCCAAGTTCAAAACTCTTTTTGGTCAAGTTCTGGCAACAACTTGATTTCATGAATGATTTTCAGTTATTATATGCAGCTTTTATTTATACCTTTAGGGTAATAAATACCTAGGTCTTAGGTACAGTAAAGCATTTTCAATCTGCCTTCATTAAATCTTTATAACCAAGAAATTAGCTATAGGACTTGCCGTAGATCCGCATCTAACATCTTTCAATTTTGAAACATAGCTCCACATAGTTTATAGTTGAAACCAAAATTCAGTTATAGAAATATAATTAAATTTAGCCAGCTAAGCACATTAAACCGTCTTAATGCCATGGAAAATCAATGTTGAAAACATGTTAAGTGATACACACTAAATAAAGACCAAGATCCTTGCGCTTGAGGGCTATTATGGCGACCTTAACTTTTCGTATACACACAATGTGGATTTGTATGCTTTCCGTTAGCTATCGTTTATTGTCATCAAGTTGAAAACTTCAAGTGTCGTTACCTTTGTTTCCGTCTATTATTAGGACCTGTATGATATAATATTTGACTGGATTGTCCTTGGCCATCCCCGCTGGCTGGTGGGCGGCTTATTTTTTTGGGAGGAGGGAGGATTGGAGGTTGGTTTGGTTGGGAAAGTGGATAACGGTGGTAATTGGTTCATCACAGAACATGTTGCATACTTGAGGGCGACGCGGCTATGGAAATTAATAGTATCGCGTTGGGGAAAATGAAGCAATGCAATTTTGTTCTTGCTCTCTCATTCTCACTCTCCGCCTTTCGAGCTCCATCTCGCTCTTTCTCTTTTCCCCAGCGGTACACGCTGTTGATATCATATTTTTGCCACTTCTATTATTATATTGATGTCTACTACTTTTTTATGGTGCTCCAAGAATACTGGGAACTTTTTTAGCCAACTCACCACGCATGACGCGTGCTTCCTCTCTCGCGCAGGCCCCCACTCTCTCTCGCTGTTCCCTCTGGAAACTCCCGCTCTTGTGGATTTTATTATCGGGAAACGTTTTCCTTTCCTTTTTTTTTGGCTCTTCTGTTTTTTTTTTTTTTTTTTTTTTGGGGGGTGCGGCGCCCACGTATCAGCGCAGGAAAGCGGAAAGTGGAAAAGCAAAGGAAAGAGCGAAGTCGAAGAAAAACATTTTCCGAGCTGCTGCTGCTGCTGCTGCGGCCATTCGGTTTTGGTAGTAGTAAAGTGAAGACCGCCCGCCGAGTGAAGTGTGCCTACGTGTGTGTCCGTGCTTGTGTGCAGTGCTATATACAAAAATACAACAAATACATACATATATATTCTATGGAAATGGCACACATAAATGCAGAATATTTATAATTATGAGTTATCAATTTTTTTTTGTCTAGTGCAGCGCCAGAAATTGTAAATAATTAACAGTAAAAAACTCACCACCAAAGAAAGTTATAAACGAAAACGCTTAACCAAAACCAAAGATGCATAAATCTAAAGAAATATGATACATAGCCAATATGTATATAGAAACTAGTAAAGATTAATCAAGTTAAAAGCGAGGAATAACACCGATCCCGGCAAGCAAATGTCCGGATAAGGGAGCCGCTACCTGACCAATGGATGAAAATGCAGCCGTCGTCGCCGTCACTTTCGCCGTCGTCACTATCGCATCGCTTTTGTCAGCAGCAACAGGAAAAGTCGGAAAAGCACCAGAAGCACCAACAGCAGCAGGATCAGAAGGAGCAGTCCAAGCTGGCCGGATTCTTGCCCTGCCACGCCCACGCCAATCGAACGTCCTCGGTCGGTACGGCAGCGCTGCCACAGCTGGCGTCCACGCCCGCACCGGCAGCAGCGGCCTAAGTTGCCAAACCGAAAGAATCCCACTTCGAAATAGCCCATCTAAGCAGCAGCAGCAACAACAACAGCAACAGATATTGCAACTGCAACATATATTGCAACTGCAGCAGCCACAAATATTGCAGATTTAACTGCAACAGAGCGAGTGCACCAGCAGCAACTGAAATTGCAGCTGCCACAGCAACGTCAAGCACAAAGCAACAGCTACGCATAAAGCAGCACAAAAGGGTCGCAGGATAAACCGGAAGCGGAAGGACAGGAAGAGGGACGGGCAGCGGACACAGGCAAACAAAATGGCGGATGGTGGGCATTCATTCGTGAAGAAGACATTTCATAAGCCAACATACTGTCACCACTGCTCGGATCTGCTCTGGGGCCTCATCCAGCAGGGATATATCTGCGAAGGTGAGTTACAAAATATTTTTGATACTTCTTTCTAGATCACAAACAGCCATATTTGATAAGTGGATAGCTTAGAAATTCAACTTGAATTCGAAAATAAATTTTTCCAGACTTTAAACGATCATTATTCTACACCACATTATACTAGGAAGAGAGATTCAATGTTGAAAATATAGAAACTTCCTGGTACCACAGCTAGTTTTCCTTCCCCTTTCTAATAAAAACACATATTTTCTGAAAAATTAACCAGAGCATTCTTCGATTCTTCTGAATTGGTGTTTGTCTATCAGTTCTCGGTTCAGTCTCAATGGCCGCAATAGAAATAAGTTGTAATTAATGAGCACTAAACAGCACCGAGAAAAGCCAACACGCAAATCATCGAACATCTCCTCAACGGCAGCGGCAGATGTAAAAATACATTTCGTCTAGTTTTGAAAATACTTTTTAAATTGCCATAAACTTGGAATGGAAATGCGGCCGCCGATGGGGAGGTTATAAAAACAAAGACTTGGACAAGCGTTACAGGAAAACAGCAATGCAGGCAGAAAAATATCTTTGAAGATTATGAAAAGGGATTAAAGGTATTAATATTAATGTTATCATATCTTACGAAAGCACGAAGGGTTTAGGAAAAGATGAGAAATAAAAATAAACATTTTTCTGGGAAACGTATTAAACACAAAAGATAAAATGCATAATCATAACGGAAGCCAAAGCAATTGAAAAGTTTCTGGCTTTATAATTTTCGTATTCCTCAAAAAAGAGGAAATAAGCTTTCCCCCTGTGCAGAATGATCGGCAGACCCAACGTCATCGCCACATGACCAATAGGTCATCTATAGTTTGTATAGATTGTAGTTGGTTCCGACAGGGGCAGCATCCACATCGAGTGTATACTATATAGGCTATAGTATGGTATAGGGGCGGCATCATCGGGCTATTTGCGGCCGATAAGTGTGCGCGTTTGAACTTTTCCAAATTGTGCGGCTGTTGGCCGTGTCTGCCGTGACGTGAGCGGAGCGCCAACGACGTCATAGACAGCTCCAATTCGCTGTGTATATATAAATATATATACAGATATATGTTCGGCTAAATCTATATCAGTATGTATGTGCCATTGCCATGGAAATCTATAAAACAGAGCACATCACTCGCCCAGAGCAATTTAAGCCAAAGCAAAACCGATTCGGATCGAAAAGAATCGCGAGGCAGGAACGAAAATTCGGATTCGGAATCCACAAAAATTGAGGCATCTGACTCTCCCAATGGGAAGCGTGTTAAGCGCCTCGCATCATGATGAATCTTCTTGATTCTTCGCCTTTCCTCTGTTTATTTGTGTAATTTTCCTCATTGGATTTGTGGCTCTGGTTGTTGCTATAATTATAATTATCGCGAATCACGCTTGCCATTTTATGCGGCCTCAGTGTTTATAGTTTTTTTGCAGCCACTTCGGAAATTTCTATTTCATCCTTTCCTACTATTTGCACTAAAATATGCAAAACTTTGGAATAATTTGGAATAAAAGTAGGGAATAGATCTTCAAGTTCACTCTTTCAAAAATTAAATCCAAAAATTGTTTTCTAAAATAACAAACTATGCAACTGATTGATCTTTTAAAGCGTAATGATTTCCACTTGAAGTACTTATAATAAAAATAGAGATTTCAAAAAATTTGAAAATAAAATAAAATATATTTTGAGATTCCCTCCTACTCAGAAGAAACTCAAAAGCCTGTTTACATCTTTTTGGTCTTCTTCAGCGAACCATGGCTTGTTGCTCTGTTCACTTTAATGGCCACTGAGAGAGATCATAAAAGATATCTCTGAATGAACAACAACGAGATTCCATAAATGCACTCATTCGTTTATTCAACCATTTAGCTGGCGAATTTATTGCCCGTTCGGCAGTCGAAAACATCCCGAGTTTTCGAGTTGTTTTCTTTGCACTTGCCTATGACATTTTCAGTGCATTTTGGCACTGTGTTAATGGCGGGCAAAACATCCGATATTTATATTAAGCAGGCATGAATACATACATATATGTAAATATTGCATATACAGCATGATGAGTGCGGAAAATATGTAAAGTGTGTTGCATACCCCCGGGGGCATGGCTCCCTGGCTGCTCATCACGCATACGCCGCGTTAAACAAATGGAAATAGTGCAGAATCGTCTCTGAAGTGGGCAGATGATTCAAACTACCGTCATAATTGAGTTCCATATTTAATTGGACCCTGGATGGAGCTGGAGCTGCAGTTGCCCACGCAGTTACCCAGAAAAAGACCAGAAATAGAGCTCAGGCTCTCTGATTCTCGAAAGTAGGTCAAATGCGAAATGCACTCTCGTACACTGTGCAAAACATACGTACACATACACACACACATACACGAAACGCAGGCCGCAGGCGAATTTTCAATTGGTTTTCCAAGTGAAGCAGAGGAGAAGGAGGAGGAGGTGCGGATTGCAACAAGAGCAGCAGGTGCGCACCCAAATCAAATTGGATGCATGACCTGCGGGAAGGGTGTGGGGCCTGGTATATCTACAAGCCGGTAACAGTGCCCCTGAACCGTCCACCTCAATGCAACCCCAAAAAGCCAACCCAAAGCAACCCCACACCCCACTCCCCACCGATCCGGATCCGAATCTGAATCCGAATGAGGTGCCCCTGCCGATAGCAGCGAAGGGCTAAAAGTGCGTCATCAATGGCCGCCATGGAAAATGACGACGATGCCAGCGGAACCAAAAACCGAGTGGGGTGAGGGTTTGTGGCGTTTTTTGGCTTGGTGGGGGTGATGAATGGAAGGGGGATTTGCCTTGTTAATTGCCTCGTTGTCGACGCTGTTCATTCATAACCAAAGTGAATGGAGAACAAGGAGAGCACCAACAAAGGGTAGTCTTTCAAAACGATCTTATAATACACTATGGCATGTTTTTTTCATTTCATAAAATGTGTAAAATTGAATACAAATTTTTAACAATGGAAAATATAGTATAATATACGAAAATTTTCTGAGGAATATACAGAATTTGTAAACTACAAATCAAGATACCATGTTTATTAAGTAGAACATATTTAGTAAAGGGTATCAAAAGACAATGATCTTCTATGTAATATTTATCCAAACAGAATACCTCTGAAATTGCTATATCCCCTCTTCAGATAGAGTACAATAAAACAGACTTTCGGGGTCGTCAGTTTGGCTGGCACAGCGGACTTTGTTGGTGGGAGGAGGAGGATCCGAAAGAGCGATAAAGAGGGAGGGCACTGCTGACGTTGCAGGCCAGCCGGAAAAAATCTGCAGTCGAAAGCGCTTCCGACGTTAATGAAATCAAGCCAAGTCCGATTAAATGTCAGTTAAGCAGGGCAGAAGAATCATGGCATACATATGTATAGAGAATGGTATGAGGGTTAAAAAAGGTATCTAATAAAACTGCGTATCGAATTATGTTAGAATGTGAGAATATTTTCCTCTCTCTTTCTTGAAGGTGTCTAAAAATATTTTGCAATTTGCAAGTGAAATAGAAACTGCATTTATTTCATTTTCATTTCAATCAGGAAAAGAGATTGCTATGAAATTGAATTTGTTTTTATGAAATTGCCTGTCCTTGCGGTGAGTTGAAATAAGTGGGCTAGAAAAAGTGATGCAAAATTTCTTAGATACAGTTTGAGATCTCAAAGGTAATGAAAACTTCAAAAGTTATTATATGACAGAATAAAAAGTATATAAAATAATTTTTAATATTTAGTGAGCTAAGTCAGTTCTTTAAGAATGTAAAAACATTTTCATTTAGATTAGAAGTTTCATACATTATTTCTAGACTTGACATCCTATATTCTCTCCTTGTAGAGACATTTTGTTGGATATGATTTATGCGTGTTTGATATGCGTCATCTAACTGTCGCTTTTCGAATGTGTTTATGTGTATGCCTATTTATTATTAAGCATGTCCAGCTATTTTTAATTCAACGGAGTTCTTCTTCTTCTGTCTATCTTCCTGCTTTCGACATTTAGATATATATGTGTGTGTATTTCGGCTACACCTCAATTGAATTGTATAACTCTCCTTTGGGCAAATATCAATTTTAATTGTGCTTCCTCTTCACGCACTACGCATGTCAACTTGTGCGTATTCAATTGTCCCTAGCCTCCAACTCCCTCTGCTTCTTCCTCTTCATCTTCTTCTTCTTCTTCTTTTTCTACTTGTTCGTCTTCTGTTTCGTCCTTTTCCTTCGTTTATGTATTGGTGTGTGCTTTAAATGTGGCTTTATGCTTTATGCTGCTACTTCTTGTTCTTCTTCTTGGTTCTCCTTTGTTATTCTTGGTTTTATTGCCTTCGGCCAAGAGGGAAAGGAAAACGAAGCGAGGCGAAAAGTAAAAGTGTGTTGAGTTTTCAACCCAAAATTTCCCCACACACACAAACACATACTCACGCGCATACATAGAGAGACAAGGAAAGCATAAAGAAAAGCATTTCGAAAATTTCCCCATGCGTTGGCTTCGCTGTTTGTCTGCTTATGCTTATCTACACGAAAAAAAGAAAAGAGAAATAGGGAAAGAGAAAGAGAGAGAGAGCAAGAACGAGAGAAAGCACACACAAATTTGCTGGTATACATAATGCAGGCATGCAACAAAGTGGAAAATACCTAAAAAAAAATACACAGATTTCAACCGCTGACCCACAGGGCGTATACATGCTCAGCTGTTGCTTCTGCAATTCCACCACCCAAACCACCCACCACGCATCGCACGTGCAACAAAACAACAACAACAAAAGAGTGCAGAAAACTGAAAAAGGGAAAAAATCTGAAGTCAAAGCGAGATGGCTAGCTAGCCGAGTGAACAACAGTTATGTTTTGCATTTGTAACTGCAACGGCAGAAGCAGCAGCAGCAGCAGCGAGCGTCACGTTTGTCCTTCTCCATCTCTCTTATTTCGCCCTGCTTGCACTGCTCGACGACTGCCCGCTGTTTTATTTATAAAACGGGCCGAAAAACTAAAGCACATTCACGAGTTCATTCATGACGTCAGCACTGCGCCTCAGGTCAGCGGCCTAGTTTTCTGCTTTCTTCTCTCTACCAAATAAACCACCCAGCCCGCCCCGTGCCACTCCCACTCTGAACACACACACAAAGATAATTATGCATTTACACACATATGCACATACCTACATGCGAACGCAGCAAGTGTTTGTTTGTTTGTGTACGACGCCCCGACTTTTTGTCTATGTGTAAATACAACTTTTACGGCTGGCTAAAAATAAAACTATGATATCTATGTTAAGTTTGGTGCACACAAAATGCAAGCATATGTACATATGAACCGTATATATGTTTGTATAAGAGGGGGAAGATGATGCGTTCATTGCAAGATTAGAGTTTCCTTTTTTAGCTGGCATTAAACTATACCAGTATGCCCTCAATCAAGCAGAGTGTTCTTATCAGATTTCATAGAGAAATGACATTTTAGAAATCTATACTTACCTATAATAAATTGCCATTCCATACAGCTACCATTATCTGAATTCGTAAAAGAGTATAGAATATCAGTACAAATATAATCCCCTTTTCTTTCTCTGCATCAGGACTTCTCTTTTCGCCCAGGTGGCGAGGGAAAGGCACAGCCAGAGAGTGGGTTGAGCCATCCCAAGAGTGAGAGAGGGAGATAAGCACTCGGGCTTTGTGCGTGCAGTTATCCTTGTGCTGCCTCTTGTCCTCCCAAATCCCCCTTAGTTCCATTACCTTGGCCACTTAGCTCAGAGCTTGCCACTTGCGTCCTCCGTCTGCAACGCGCCCCCCTTTGGTTGGCCCTGCGGGAACTTCAATGAATGTGCCGTCGTCCGTGAACTCGGCAACTATGAATGGCATGCAGGCTGCCAATGACGCGGTGACTTTGCGGTTGCACGCAGGGTTGGAGCGGGCAGAGGCCCAGGGGGCCCATTTAGAACCCAATTCTCTCACGAGACTCGAAACTATCTCACCGGAAACCATTTTTATAAGAATTTTGTTATATTGTTAAGAGAAATCAATATGGTCATAATGTCAAAGAAGCCTATCGATATTTTTTAAAGAATTTATTATCTTCTTCTGATGTTAAAAGAAAACGACACCTTTAAATATATCCTTTAGTCTTTTATATTAAAAAAAAAACAATATTATTTCCTGATTTCCAAACAATATGATAGACTTTTTCCAACCTTTTTTAACTATTAGGAAATATTACGTATACGCAATGGCACATTTGACTGCTCCATTTAGATAGGCATTTGGTATTGTGATCTCATTGAAATAATTTCTGAACTTCTGCCAACACATTGCATAACCACATCTCTTTCTCTACTCCTCCACTTTCAGTTTGCAACTTTATCATTCACGAACGATGTGTCAGCAGCGTGGTAACGCCCTGTTCCGGCATCGCTCCATGTATTATAAAGGTACGTAGCCAGCAGTGGAACTCGCATTCACAATTCAGAACGAATATAGCTGTCATGTGTCATTCTACACAGAATCCCGTTGCCCATTGTTGGTCCGAGCCAACTCATCACAAGAGAAAATTCTGCACAGTCTGCCGTAAGCGATTGGATGAAACGCCAGCGGTGCATTGTTTAGGTAAGTGACAGTTCATATATATGTATGCATCAGTCCCCTGTCCTTCTAGCCCCTGATAATGGGATTCGCAGCAGTCGTTTTCCGTGTCAGTCACTTCTGTTCACCTGCGATCCATTGTTCAAAACATCATGCACATATTGTATCAAATGGACACATATATTGACCTTTTAGCGTAAAAGTTTTTATGTCACTAAGAAGGGAAATTGGTATTTGAGAGTACCAAAAGTTAGTGTTGGAAATGCTTGAAATTTAAAATTGCAATTCATAAGATTTTTGCTTTTATTTGTATCTGCAAGAGCCTGCAGAAAAGTATGCTAAGTTTTCCGTCATGAACCTATAGTTCAGGAAAATCTTGAGTGCATATTTATCATATAGTTTTCTGAAACGATTTCCTTTCCTAATTTATAACCCATCCTAATAATCTTAAAAAATTTCCCCACAGTCTGCGAATATTTCGCGCATATTGAGTGCCAAGATTTTGCCGTGCCCGATTGCACCGAGAATGCCACGTATGTGCCGGGCAAGGAGCTGCTTAATGTGAAGCATCAGGTGAGTACATTACACTAGCCCAATCATGATCAGTAGCATGATGTATACATCCAAATAGCATCACTGGCGAGAAGGCAATCTTCCATCAACGTCCAAATGCGCTTACTGCAAGAAAACCTGTTGGTCCTCGGAATGTCTCACTGGTAAGTTCTCCACTTTATAGCTTTATATTATTATTATTAATATTGATAATATTATTAACTAGGCTATCGCTGCGAGTGGTGTGGCATGACGACCCATGCCGGATGTCGCATGTACCTGCCAACCGAATGTAATTTTGGTATTCTACAACCTATCTACTTACCTCCGCACTCAGTCTCGATTCCGCGCACCGAGGTGCCCATCGAGGCCATTATCGGCGTCCAGGTCAAATCGAAGACTTCGCTCGTGCGCGACTACTCGTGTCGTAAGTACATAGTCCTGACCTAAGAGGATACTCTGGAACACCAGATATTCATGGTCATATAAAAAGAACCTCCTAATCAGCCAGACTCTACTCTGAGTGAGAGTATTTAGCAGATATCTAGAATGCAGCTATTCTCTCTATTATAAATGGGTAGGGCATTCTAGATATATTTTTCTCTCAGTGTAAGCTGACTCACTGACCTTCTTTAGCGATGTAGCGATACTCACCCAACCCCCAAAAAAGTTGCTATCGATGTTGTGTTGTGTGCACACTCCGATCACTGAAAACAAGAACTCCAACGATCAGATATCACATCGCTCCAGCTCATCCAGCTCATTCAGATCATGGCAGACCACCCACTCTATCACTCCACCAATCCCACTGATGATTTTCCTCGATTTTCCCTATACTTTTTTGATTTTTGATTTATTTTTCGTTGTGTTTTTTCTTTTCTTTTCTCTCTTTTGGGTTTTATGGAAAATATTTCCATTTTCGGTTGATTGATGATGTGTCTCTCTATATGTGTGTGTTGGGCGCCACCGGCAGCCAGTCCGGATTTGAGCTGCCCGATTCCGGGTGCCGGATCGGGTTCACTGGCGGGTCTTGGCCTGAAGGAGCTGCTTGAGCTCCACAGGCAAAGGCGCGAGCAATCGAAACAACATTTTCTCCTTTCCACGCCGCCCACACCCACCTCCTGTGGCTCCATCTCGCTCTGTCACTCACCTACGCCTTCTTCGCTGACAGTCGGCGAGACGAGCAACGAGGCGGATCAGGATCAGGATCAGGATCAGCCAGATGATGAGCCCGAGGAGGAGAACACGGAGCAAGACAGCGCCCTGCAGCTGACCACCTCCACGTCAAATGTGATTGGCAACCTGCAAAAGTCACCCTCCGCCAATTCCTCGTTGCACTTGCTCTACACGAATCTCTTCCGAAAACTGGGCCAGGGCAAGCGGCGGCGGAAAAGGGGCTCTGGCGGTGGCATCTCGCCAAGCGAGGACGAGGACGATGTGGACGGCGGTGTCTGTGATATAAGCGGTGGTGATCTTAGCGATGACTATGACCACTGTGACGTCGCCCTGCGACGGCGATCCCTTCGCAGCCGGCAGCCTCGAGATGTCAGCGAGACGGACTATCACGGGGATGCCGAGGCGGAGGCAGAGGGTGAGACCGCGCCACGGGAAAGCTGCTACGAAACTTCAGATACGGGTGGAGAACTGACCAACACTGACGACCTCGATAGTAGCCTCAACCTAATCAGCAACCTTAGCTATAATAGTAGTAATAACAGCAACGCCTCCAATGCCCCAGGAGGAGGAGCTGCACCCGCCGCTAGAATCATCTCCACAACCACCACTGCCCCGGGAAAGTCCGGACATGCCTTGAGCGTCCAGGGCGGACGCCAGCAACCAAAGACTGGGGCTCTAGCCCAAATCAAGCCCAAGCCCAAACCCATACTCATGCCCAAACACAAGGCGCAGGGCAAAGGCGGCTCTCTCAGCTCTCCGCTGTCCAACTCCAACTCCAGCGACTGCTCCTCGGCCTCGCCATCAGCCCCGGCCACGCTGCTGCAGCTGTCGCCGGTGGGCAGGAGCAAGTCCTTTCAGGAGTCGGCAGCTATAACGGCCGTCTCGCGATACAAGAAATACGGACGCGGCCTCTTTCAGCGTCGACGCTCGAAGAGATCGCCCAAGAATGCGATCGGAGCGGGAGGCAAGAGCAATTACAGCCTGGACAGGCTGTCACAAAATATCGAGATCACCATTCAGGACGAGGATGGCAATTTCCACCCGTATGACGACAACTTCCACATGCTAGCACGGCCATTGGACGCTACCGATGTGGACGATGATGTGGGCTTTGAAGATCTCCTAGACGACCGACCAAGCGGGGCGAGTGATGACCTAGCATTTGCCGGCGATATCAGTGACGGCGGAGCCAGCAGTCGATCAAGGGCCAGTGACGCCAGCGATGGCCATGTCCTGGGCCGATTGCTCCGCCAGGTGCGGCAGGGACTCACCGTCGGCTGGCGTAAACCGCGCTACCAGAAGCGCAGAGGTGACTAGCCAACCGTACTCCTTTCACTTCTCTCTTTGTCTTTGTCTCAGTCCCTGCTAACAGAAAGGGCCCAGGATATGTGGTCTGGGTTTCGACTGGTCCTCAGTTTGCGCTAACCCCCTCTGTTTTGGATTTGGTTTTGGTTACCCCGTTCCTTTTTCGTTGAACCACCAAGCCACATCCCACTAATCGCTAACCATCGAACCACTAATCATCCGCACCATTCCGCCCCACATTTGCAATGCCACTAATCATTAACACCGACATAACCGCATGAAAAATACTCGGAAAAATATGTATTCAACGGATCAGATCTATATAATCTTAGATCGGATTTAGTAAAGCTTATTCTAGATTAATTTGAGATTATCACAGTATTATATAATTTTAAAACACACAAATTTCCTTTGCGATATGTAATTATATTTATGCATATTTTTTCGAGCTTAGCTAGATATCTAACACCAGGCCTAGGCCGCTTTCGTTGCTACTAATCCATGCCTGTTCCATTAAGGATCTGGCCAGTTACTGATCAAATTTTTTGTAACCCCACAGCACGTAGCATATCCGAGGAGTTCAGCAGCGGCGATACACCCCGTTTCAAGGACGAGGAATCGGCCAGCAAGACCGAATCGGGACATGGACCCAGTAGTGGTGGTGCAGGGGGAGGCGTTAGTGGCGGAGCAGGAGGCTCATCCGCAGCTGGAGCTTCGGCAGCGGCTGCCGGTGGTTCCTCCGGGCACTATAGGCCTGATTCCGGCTCTGGACATAAGTCAGATAAGTCGGAGAAGGATCGCGAGAAGAAGGAGAAGGAGCGCGAGGAAAAGGATATAGGTGCGACTTAAGTCTGGTTTTAAAATAGAAAGTCCCTCTTAAACTTGAATCCCGTATTCCACAGAGATGATCAAGGTGTTCGATGGCAACAACTCATTCCGACGCCAACAGTACCGGGTGATCATCGTGCAGCGAACTTATACGTTGGAGCAGCTGCTGACCACTGCGCTGCGGGCATTCCACATCACACGAGATCCGCAGGCCTTCTACCTGACCGACCTGTACGCACCCGCCGGCATGGAAGACACTCCGATGCTGGATCCCACGCCCGTGCTCAATCTGACGCACCTGGAGGGCAAGCGACCGGCCATTTACCTACGGTTCCACGACCGCGACCGTGGCCATGTGCGCGTCTACCCCGGCAAGCTGCAGTGCTCGATGCTGGAGGATCCCTATGTCAGTGTTCCTGTAGATAATAGCACAGTTATTAAGGATTTGATACGCGATGCCCTGGACAAGTTTGGTCTGCAGGATAACCAGATACAGGACTATAGGTGGGTGAAAAACTTGGAAATACTTAACATTCCATATAACTTACCTTTATCTACGTTCCCAGGTGCTCGGAAGTGCTGCTCGATCGCGGCGTGACCGAACGCATTTTGTCGTGGAACGAAAGGCCCTGGGATATTATGAAGCAGCTGGGCAAGGACTCCATTCGCCAAATGGAGCTCATGCGGTTCTACATGCAGCACAAGCAGGATCCCCACGGTCCAAATATCGCCCTATTCGTGGGTAATCTACCCACCGGTCTCTCGCAGCGCAACTACGAGCAGATCCTCAACAAGTACGTAACCGACGAGAACAAGTTCATCAGCATTGGACCTATCTATTACGAGTACGGCTCCGTGGTGCTAACCTTCGAGGACTCCATGAAGGCGGTAAGTTTTCAAGAAGTAGAGAAGCTCCCAAAAACTTATGTGCGGATGCCTCTTCTAGGTTCGCGCCTTCTACAATCTCCGCGAGACCATCATCGAGGACAAAAAACTACTGGTTTTGCTCCTGCCGAACATTGAGCCAAGCATGGTGCCCTCGGATGTGAGGCCATTGCTGGTCTTTGTCAATGTCAAGTCGGGTGGCTGTCAGGGACTGGAGCTGATCTCAAGCTTCAGGAAATTGTTGAATCCCTACCAAGTCTTTGATCTGGACAATGGTGGTCCTCTGCCTGGGTGAGTCCTATTTTATGAGCTATTTATATATTTCTTACTAACTTTAATAATATTTTCCCGCCTCAGTTTGTACGTATTCCGGCAAATAACCAACTACAAGATTCTGGTTTGCGGCGGAGATGGCACCATTGGATGGGTGTTGCAGTGCTTGGACAATGTAGGCCAGGACTCGGAGTGCTCTAGCCCACCTTGCGCCATAGTTCCCCTAGGAACTGGTAAGTAGAGATCAATACATTTATTAATCTATGCATATAATATATAAAAATTAAACTAATTAATTATATTAACCAACTCCAAACTCCTTTAGGCAACGATTTGGCTCGCGTTTTGTGCTGGGGCTCCGGTTACACCGGCGGTGAAGATCCGCTAAATCTGCTGCGCGACGTCATCGAGGCGGAGGAGATACGACTGGACCGCTGGACGGTTGTCTTCCATCCGGAGGACAAGCCCGAAGAGCCGGCCATGAAGGCGCCCTCGCAAACAACCGGTAAGAAGAAGAAGGCACACCAAGCACACCTATCGCAATCGCAACAAACCAATCAGCATCATCAATTACCGGCTCTGACATCGAGTGATATATCAGGTCATTTGGTGTTTTCAAAACTTCGTTCGTGTGTTCTTTCTCTACGTTACATAATCGTAAACCCGCCTAGTGTCTAACCCCACAGATTCCAACTCGATACCGATACCCTGAATCCCTGTACCCTTCACCATGCCCCAAACTTTTCATTTATGTTGTAATTAAATCTGTGCTTTGTCCTAATCCCAATCCGGCTGTAATATTTCGCTGGTTCTATGAAAAAACCATAAATACGATTTTTAAAACTGTACAAATATAGCATTTGTAGATATATCCTATAAAAATTATATTTAAATTCAAAATTTAAAATAATTTTAATTACCAAATCCACAGAACCACTTGTTGTGGCAAGTAATTTATTAAAAAGAAACCTCACTCTACAAGATACCCCTCAATCCCTATTATATAAAACACAAACCCAGTTTGGTACCTGATGACAAATGCTGTTTAGTTTCGATGTGTAAAGATTTTCCTGAAAGGATTTGCATGTCCAAGACTCTAGAAGAGGTAAGGTAACCACCGATAAGTCCAGACACCGAAAGGTCCTAACAGAACTTGGGTAAATTAAGCAGTCGATATGATCCAACTTGATGTTGTCAGTTAAATATTTGGTGTCCTGTGTCCGTGTGTTATCCAAATCCTTCTAGCCGATTGAATCTAACAGTTCTTGGTGTTCCATCCAGGTGGTGCCCAAAACGAGGACAACTCGCAGATCTTCGTGATGAACAACTACTTTGGCATTGGCATAGATGCGGATCTCTGCCTGGACTTCCACAATGCACGTGAAGAGAATCCCAATCAGTTCAACTCGCGTCTGCGCAACAAGGGCTACTACGTGAAGATGGGCCTCCGCAAGATTGTGGGTCGCAAGGCTGTCAAGGATCTGCAGAAGGAGCTACGACTGGAGGTCGATGGCAAGATTGTTGATCTGCCACCAGTCGATGGCATTATCATCTTGAATATTTTAAGGTGAGTTAAGAGTTTCTTTCCTGGAAACAGAAACAGAAACTAAATACATTTTTCTATAACCCCAGCTGGGGCAGCGGTGCCAATCCCTGGGGTCCCGACAAGGACGACCAGTTCTCTACGCCCAACCACTACGATGGAATGCTGGAGGTGGTCGGTGTTACTGGCGTGGTCCACTTGGGTCAAATCCAATCCGGAATTCGTACAGCTATGCGCATAGCTCAGGTAAGCATTACAGCTACTCATTTCAGTTTGGAAATCATATGATTATTAAATACATTTTTATTTCAGGGTGGTCACATCAAGATACACTTGAATACTGATATGCCCGTACAGGTGGATGGTGAACCCTGGATCCAGAGTCCCGGCGATGTCGTTGTCCTTAAGTCAGCCCTTAAGGTAAGTGGTTCTTTTGGATTTTAATGATTACCTGCATGTATCTGCTGTTCCTTTGTTCTATGGCATGTTTGCTTCTTAAAACTACCAACATTTCATGTATAAATTAAACATAAGCCACAAAATCAGTTCATATTTATAAAAAAAACTGCTTTTTCAACCTTTGTTGTTTAATATTTCGAGGACAACACCTTTAATTCACCCACTTGTTGATTTTATTTCAATTTCTACAACCTCTTAGAAAAAATACCCAAGTAAAAATTTACAGAACATACATGACAGTTTAAATTTAGAATAAAGTAATACTTGGGCACCGCCGAAAGAACAGAAATTAGGACTTACTTTTAGGAATGCCTGTTGTTTTGTGTTCATAGTTTAATAAAGATGAAAAGTAATTGTTAAAAATAAAAACAAGATGACAATCGGTTCAATAGAAGGTAAAGGTTTTAGAACTTACTTTTGGGGAGTGATTTTATTTGTATCTCTCATATTGTACTGATAGCCGGCATACATACCATAGCAAACTTCTTGAATAAATTCCAATTTAAACAACATAAAGCTCAAAAAAGTTACTAAATCTAAACCGATTGTCATCAAGTTAAGTAATGAATTAACATTTGGTCTGAGTGTGCGTTGGATATGCGTGTTTTGTATGTTAAATTTGTAATTTGTCCCCTGGTAAATCCCGCCCGATGTGTCGTAATTAATTTAATAGAGCACACACCACTTGAAACAACCCGAGCCACCCCCTAACCATGTAAAATAGCCACGTTTTTTCTGCATTTTTCATTTGTTGATGGCAGCTCTAAAAAAAATTACAAAATATAAATGAAAAACTAATGAAATCGGCAAAAGAAAAACTATGTAGAGTTCTAAAATGTTTCTCTGTTTGATGTGCGTGTGCCTGTGTGTATGTCGGATTTGACAATTGTGTGTGTTTTACGCTATATATATTTAGGCCACCATGCTGAAGAAAACGAAGAGTAAGCGCCGCCTCACGGAGCCGCATATCTCGCCGGCGGTTCTGAGTCTTTCAGTGGCTCAACAGGGATCGGGATCGGGAACGGTATCGATATCAGGATCCCCACAGTCCCAGTCGCAGCAGCAACTGCAGCAACAGCAGCAGCAGCAACAACAACAGCAGCAGCAGCAGCTGGCCGAGAACGGGGAAAAGGAGTCTTCGATGGCTCTACCTGCCGGCTTCGGCAGCACCTAGAGCTTGGCTACCGGCCTGCGATATTGGTTCTCCTGTTTCAACCCATAAAACCAGATAGTCAGATAACTCTATAACCCTTTCGAAAAGTAAACCATAAACAGATCCGCAGAGATAATGGCCAAATTGTAATCGCAAATCGAATATTTAAAAACAAGAGCAAAACTCCGATGCGCAAAGCAAATAAAACTTTATCTTCCAAAAGCGAGAAATAGCATTAACAAGCCAAAACAAAAAAGAAAAGAAAAAGAAAGTAAAATCTAAAGAATAGCTGTAAATAAAAGTTGGTGCTGTCGAGCTCTAAATACTTTGAACCACCACCCAAGAACACACACCACCCACCAACCAAACCACCCAATGCACAAGAAGAACTGTGACCACCGCTATTGAACTTGAACTTAGCTAACTGAAGCCACCACTATCCACCTCCACACCAAAGACCGAACACACCATACACACTAATACACCACACCGCAAGTCACAGCGCCTAGAAGTTGTCTACAAATACTTTATTACTTTTAATATGATAATTTTTTTTTATTTTCCTCTGAAGGAACTTGATCGAATTTGTTTCCATTTCCGTTTCCGTTCCGTTATCAAATGCAAGCTTTCGTAATCCATCATTCAGTATCGAAATATGTATAACCGAAACCATTTAGTTGATTGAGTTCCGTTGCATTTTGCCTGATTTCTCAGCTAGCTTTTGAAGCACTTATAAACGAATCTAAGCTAAGGCAAACGAAATTAAATTCCTTTATGTTAACGCTCTATTTTCTTACTCTCTTTTTCTCTCCAAATGAAAATACACAAAATCACACGAATACCGAAACAAATGCTAAACCAAAATGAACTCTATCAAAACGAATATTTTAATTAATTAATGCACCGGACGCTTTACCTTTCAAATTTTCTCCATATATATATCTCTCTCTATATGTTAAACCGTTAAAAAATGAAAAATCAAAATGATTACCGTTGACCGCAGGCCACCATGTTGAAAAAGAACAAGCTGAAAATGAAACGAAGGAATACGGAACCAACGATGATGGTGGCCGGCTCGGCCGCTCCCCCGCTGTCCTTGGCCCTGCCGCCCAGTGTGGGTGAGGTGGGCGTGGCTGGGGAGGGAGCCGAGGGCGACGGCGGTACGAACAACACGGATTTCTGAATATGGTACAGCGAGCGTCTGATTTAACGTGCTAATTCCAGCGCAGAACCAAACAGCACCCAACACCCAACAGACACCCACCCACGATAAGCCCACCCGATCCTCCCCACCCAACAGCAGCAGCAGAAAATGAAGCAAAAGGAGCAGGAGCAGAAGCCAGAAGCCACTAGCCATCTCAGCAGTCCATAGAAAACACTAAACACCAAAACCAAAGAGCAGGCAACTCAAAAATCAAAAGCTGTAATCAAAATTACTTGTATAAAAGAGTCCAGTCCACAATATTAGATCGATCGATCGATTAGTTGATCAGTTTACCAGCTCAGCTAAAAACCCGGCCGCCTTTCCACGTCTGAAATAAGTACGTTAAACTCAAACAGCTCGAACACCAACTCTGTCCGCCCGCCAGTGTTAGAAGACTCTAGAAAGCTTCAAAATGCGTAACGGGCAGGCAGAAAACTAACCTAATTCAAATGTTAAAACAAAAACAAAAAACAATAGAGGGTATTGTAGTGTAAAGAAGTGATTTAATTCCATAAAAAACACTCAGCAATAGTCTGGCCAAGTTGTATCAAATTCAAGTTCAATTATGTTCCTTCTCGTTTTGTTCCTATGTAAGCAACAGCAGAAACCGATTAGTGATACCGTTAAACAGAGAGAAGCGCAAGCAGTAGTAAAAACAACAAACAGGGAGAATGAAACAAAAAAACCAAAAACACAAAAAACAAAGAAAAGAAACGTAAAGCTAAAGCTAGAAAAACCCAAGAAACAAAACAAAAAGTACAAAATTGTTGAAAATTGTTTGTTATTACTAAATGAAATTGCGTAAAAACCAACTAAGCAAACCCAAATTACGACAAAAGAAGAAGAAAGAGAAAAGCTATTACCAACTAGTTAATCAATGTTGTGTTCCAGTGGACCCAGTGTTCCTGCGAATCAACAAAGAAGAAAAGAAAACACCCAGCCAGGTCAAGAATTAAGCGTACAGCAGATGCGGGAAAATTTATACGAAACTTTTTTTAAAATGTTACGGATCGATTCGATAATGAAACTTTGGAGTGCGGAAAAAGCTGCAAATTGCATAGTTGGCTATAACTACTAATTGGGACGAACAAATTGGAAACCACAGGCGGGCCTAGCTTGACCTGTGTGCGCCATTGAATTAAAATGGAAAACTAACCTTTGGATTGTGCAATTGGTATGAATTTTCTCCGCTGCTGTGCGTCAAAGAAGAAAATATAAGTGAAACCACGAGAAATAGGAAAATGCATTTTCGAGCGTAGGCAACGGCATCGCAAGTATTTCACCTGCATTTGTCTAAAACAAGAAACAAAAAAAAAAAGAAAAAACAACTTATTTTGGATGTCAAATCCTAGAGGAATGAGAGGAAAGAGGAGGAGATACAAAATCCGAAAACTACAATTTCAACTTTAAAGCGCTTATAAAGAAAACAATTTTTGAAAGTTTTATAACATTAATTTTACATTACGTCTTATGTGAACGACACGCCACACCACACTACAAGGTAATAGTATGCTATTACTAGTGCCCGTACCAGGAACAGTTGAGGATCGAGGGTCAGGGAAGGATCGAGTGCGGATCCCTTGCCCTAGCGGCTATTCGCCTGCGCACTTGGTCCATCCCTGGCACACTACACAAAGTGACGACGTGGCCCAGTTGGGTGCGAGAATAGCCGGATCCGGTTAAATGCCCGGATAAAACCATTAAGAGCGGGGCGCACTCGGCTGTTGGTCCGCCGCCCACACAAGGTCACACGACGGGACACACGACCACAAACAGACCAGAGTTTTTCCCGGAAGCTGTCAGACACGCACTGCCATGGAAAGGTCACGGAAATCGCTTGGCAGTGTTCACCAAAATCCAAATCCAAGCCCTCTCTGCTGGCCCCGCCAACGGATCCGGATACGGATTTGCTGGTGGGGTGTGTGGCAGGGCGGGAGTTTGAGCTTAACACACATACACCAAACAGAACACCACCCTTTGCGTTCGGCAAATCACCTCCGGCTGCGATTAAGGGGCTCAGTGCCAGGGGTTAATCGGAGCACACTCGACCGATTTCCGTGACATACGTCTCTGCCATTTATGGCAGAGATCGGAGGACACGCCCGGCGCAACCAGCCGTTGGCTATGCAATGGATTGAACGAAACATGCGCCAGAGCCAATTTTTATATTTGACCATTAAAACCTATGATTTTGCTTTACAATTCGACCTACTATCATCCCAAATTGCGTAGCCATCGGCGTCCTTGGCGACGTGGCGTCGTCATCCGGCCCATCCTCCAGGATGCCAAATCCAAAATTGGCATTAGCTGGATCGATTAGCCCCCAGCAAATTGAATCGCAGCCCGCAGGAGATTTGGTTTTAATCGCCTCATTTCGTACAAAGAAAAACCGCAACAAAAAAACACTGCACATCGTTTTTTACACCCTTGCGTTATGTTTTTTGAATGTATTTAAAAAAAAAAAAAAATAAATGAAAAACAAAATATGAAAACACACAAAACACAGAAAGAAAACAAAAAATAGGATGTAAGTTTAAATAATATGCTATTCAAAGAAATCCAAAACATGATTACCCATAAAACAAAAAAAAAAAAAAAACTAAAAATACTAATTATAGTACATACATTGATGTAGTGTTAATTGTAAGAACCCAGAAATTGTTTCATGAATGCCAGAAAAACAGAAAATACCGAAAACCAAACTCCAAGCAGTCGTAGATGCAGATACAGTATCGATGAGATTCAGCTGCGAAAAGCCCGTAAATGTACAAGTAACTATTTTTCTCTATACCAAAAAAAAGTAAATCTCCACCATTTTTGCTCCACATTTAAGAAACAAAACTCGGTGCAGGCAAAGATTGAATTTAGACGCAAAAAATACAGCGATCAGGGGCTATAAAATGCCAAGCGATCAAGAAATTTTTAATTGAATTGTAACAGACTACGCAAGCAAATACGGAATTTAATATTAAATGTACAATAGCGTCGCTTTAAAGTCTATAAGAACATTTTGTTGCAATGCAAACGTGAAATCCAAACCCAAATCCGTTTGACATTACGACAGATTCGAATGACATCAACAACAAGAAAAACACACACAACACAGAAGATAACTGCAAAATAAATGTAACTGACATAACATATTGTTTTGATTCTATAATCTTACAAGCTTGGGTTTGATGTGGGAGGTTCCCGGCTTTTGATAAGTAAGTATTTTACCCGGAAATAGTTATCAACATTAGAAATGCGGAACTTTCTCGATGCTTAGTTTTTATGCCTTCCTTTTTTAAAATTATAAATGTATTATTTCAAGTCTGACAGTTAGATTTATATTAATAATTTTAATTTACTATATTTGTAACACGGGATATTCAATTAAATACATACATATATACAATACCATATCACGCAAATTGTCTTAAATCATAGGACTAATATCTTTAGTTTCGCGCTTTTGGCTACATCGATATAGTGTGCTGCCGAGTTTCCGCCTCGATGATAAGGACGAGGATCAAATGACACACAATGATTATAACGCACATGATGAGAAATACATAGAGAATTATAAACTGCTGGCTGGTCACAAACGTTAACTATTTATTCTGCTCAGAATCGGATGAAGCGTTGGACACGATCGGGGGGGTTGACCGGCCATCGTACTGTTGCTGATTCATCAAACGCTGGCGCTCCAAATACATGGAAACCTTGATGTTGCGCACCTGGTGGTTGTCGATAAGTTTTAGAAGAGCGATTACGCCGATGCCCACAGAAATAGCGAAAGAGCCCCAGGCGCCAAACTGAAAGGGATTAAGATAAGAAATTAGTCGGTAGAAAAGTCAAGGCACATATAGTTTTGTGCGTGTTGTCTATTTCTATCATCTTACTTGAGTGGTTCCCATTTCAATATAGAATCCAGAAGTGTTTATTTTCTCCGTATCGCCGCGGATGATGTTCTGACCTGCGGAAATAGCGCAGGACGGGAACCTCTCAGTCATGCCATCGCACCAGACGATGAAACCCAGGGTAATGAATATAGCCGACAAAATGGACATAGCCAGCATCCAGATGCCCAAGACCACATCAATGAATAGAGCTAAAAACGAGGCCTCCTCCTTCATGCGTGCGTATCTATATGAAAAAGAATGAAGCTTTCTAGAGAACTGTATTCTATGTAATCCCCCTTTCTCAAACACCTGTATATCTGCACCACCGAAACGATAAGCAGAAAGATACCAGTAATCAGAGGAAAATTGCAGAAACCATTGGAGGCCCACTGGACATCAAACATTCCATCCTCCTCCCGCCATTTTCCAGTTGTGAAGAGAAGACAGTGTCCACTGTGGAAAAACAAGGTGCTCAATAATTTAAAGGGGTCCACAGGGAAAACTGCGCACTTCCGTACCAGAACTGGTCGAGGTTTATAAACAATGGCACGACGATGCACAATGACAGGATGAACAAGATGACATGACCAGCGATCTGGCTGAGCTGTAGCACATTGGTCAAGGCCATTTTGTGTTTTAAACTAAAAATTAAACTCAACAATATCCAGGGAAACGCAGCAATGCACTTTATCGATAAGACATGTTATCGATAATTGTTATTTTAATAATCCAGATGCATTGGTATGCGCTCTTATCGATATATACACTCTGGCCCTGAATTTCTCGTAAACTCATCTCTAGTTCGCCTGAACTCGTAAAAAAAGTGTAAAATTTGTTTACATTGAAAAAAGGTAAAATATAGTACTTAGTGGGTACTTGCAGTACTCTCTGGTTCCTAGATAAGCCAGCCAGAACAAAGGGCCACATGCATGTGTGGGGCGTGTCCCGAAGACAACGCGGGGGTGGGGGAATAGCCAGGGCGAACAAAGAGCAATTAATGCGATAGGAGGAGGGGGCTTTCTCCTACGATTTTCCCCACTTCCCCGACTTTTCTTTTAGAGGTCAGTTGTGAAACGAAAGGTGAAGATCACTCGGGCGAATGTGCTTGGAAATCCACTCAAACGCAGCTACCTTTTTGCATATATTCTCTATCCAAATGATCGTTTGCAGACCCAGAAGCGGACCAGCGGACACAGTTCAATGAAGTGCTTATGAGCTAACTAGCAGCAGGACGGCAGCCAAGGAACACAGGGACGAGGCCTGGATCAGCAAGCACGGAGCCAGGAATCACAGGCTAGAGGTTAGCGCAGATTGGAGGGAAGCAGGTGACCTAGTTTACCAAGCAGTAGGTGAGCTAAGACCTTGGGTTTCAAACCCAACAATATTACTAAAACTGACGACCGCTGATTTGCAGAAAAAGATTAGAGGACTGGCGGCGTTTCTGTGGCAACTCCTATTGGGGCTGTTCTGTTGTGTTAATTGAACTAAGAGCATCAACGTGCACTGCCATTAGCTATAACCTTAATATACCTAACTAACGTAATTAGTGTACTTGACCTAACCCGGAGCAGCATGTCCAACTCCCACTACAACAACTACCAGCAGCAGCCGCACTCCAGCAACGGAGATTCGGAGTACCAGCACCAGCAGATGGTCCATCAGCCGCAGAGGTTCTCTAATGGCCATGGGATGAAAAGTGTAGCTGTGCCGGACATGTGCCTCTTCTGCTTTGAGGTGCTTGACTGTGAGCTGAACAATGTTGATGGGCCATCGGTGCCGGTGTTCAGCAACGATGCTTATCCCCTGTTTGTCACCTGGAAGATTGGACGGGACAAGAGGCTTCGTGGGTGCATTGGTACTTTCAGTGCAATGGAACTGCACAATGGACTGCGTGAGTACGCCTTGACCAGCGCCTTTAAGGACTCCAGATTTGCACCCATCTCCAGGGATGAGTTGCCGCGGCTGACTGTATCGGTGTCTATTCTACAAAACTTCGAGGAGGCCCAGAGTCATCTGGACTGGCAGTTGGGAGTCCATGGCATCCGCATCGAGTTTCTTACAGAACGCGGGTGCAAGCGTACTGCCACTTATTTGCCGCAGGTGGCCACCGAACAGGGCTGGGACCAGTTGCAGACAATTGACTCACTCCTACGTAAGGGAGGCTATCGGGCTGCCATTACCCAGGAAACTAGGAAGTCCATTAAGCTTACACGCTACCGCTCGCAAGAGATCCAGATGCACTACAAGGAGTACCGCGAGCACCAGGAACGTCGTGCCCAATTCGGAAAAGTGCAGTGCTAACAATTGGACAGGCCGGCGGCGAGACGATGATCCTGGCTGAGGGCAGGCTTACTGGCCGTCGTCCTCCTGCTGCTGCTAGCCTTTGAGTTCGGCCCAGCTTGGCGGCCGCTCGCTTAATCCGTGTTATGAGTTCTTACATCTCCGACATCAATTTTAAGCCCTCGAAAATTCTCCGACACGGGCATGAGATGTACGCCTTTTTATTAAATATACAATTTAATGCTTGATATACTTAAGCGGCAAATCCGTAAGCAATTTCGAATGAAAAAAAGCGAAAAGTTAATAAATGTTAGGTTGAAACCCTTTGTAATCGGATTACTTTGATCGATGTTGTAGCCGCGGCCTTGCTGGTTTCTCTTTTAAATCAAACACACAAATACTAAAAACAAGCATATATATAGGGATATATATTACCGAATCAATACAATACAAAAATGCAGATATATAATTCAAGTAAAATGTTCAGCAATTATATTAATAGATTTAACAACTAAACCAATTACATTACTAATTCTAATTCTATGCGCATTAAATAAAGGTCGACCCCATCCGAGTCGCACAAGACAATGCAAAATATCGTCCGTCTTTCCTCTTGGGAATCGTGGAAGCGAAATGTTGTTTACACCTCAATGTTTTGGCATTACATGTATTTAATGTATATTGTTTATTGTTCCATTATGCTGTGCGTTGTTACATGGGTTTGTACTTCTAAATCTAGTCGATAATATCGATATATGTTTGGGCTTTACGTATGGAGTAATCTCAACAGGTTGCTAAGAAAAATCTGCCTCTTGGATATATTGCTACAAAAAAGCTGCGCTACGCAGCAAGGCTAATCAAGTGGTTTAACAACTAAGCTAGTAACAGAGCAAGTTAATCTATGGCTAAAGCGGTGAGCAATCGCTCAATTAGTATAATTACTGGCGTATGGTATAAATGTATATATTCAATATATGGTCAATAGATTTCATTGATTGCAATAAAGTATGAGGCTCGTTTTACAATAAGCAGGCCAATAATAATAGATGTATTTGTTTTGTATTCCACAACAAATTCCATCGCTTTGCAGCATACATGTAAGTCTAAATAACTTTCAATTTATATGGCAGTACAAACAACTTAATGTAGCGCCAATTTCCGAGCAGTAAATCATACAGATTTCAGTTAGCTAAACCAAAAACAATTTACGTATATTTCCGTCAGCGTGTGATTCACATCCTTGTCCATCCCAATCGAGTATCAGTCTCAATGCTTGCACAGAAACTGCTCTAAGCACTGGCACTAGGTGGCCGATAAGGCGTTCCACTCAAATCGCGGATTCTTCGAGTGGGTCACCGGCAGGCACTCGGGCTCCACCAGCTTCCAGACGCCGTCCACTTGTTCCACTGTGGCCAGGCTACAATAAGGGATCTTGTGAATCACCTGGCGTAGTTCGTTCGTGCTTCGTGGTACTCCACCAGTCAGCTGCCGGGAGCAAGTGTCCAGTGTTGTGGCATGCGCCACAACCAAAATATTGCCAGCTAAAAACAAAAAATAGTGATGAGAACATATTTCTAAACGTGATATTGTAATTTTTACTTGTTTGCTCCAACAGCTGCAGGATAACGTCGTGGTTTCGTTCATAAAACTGTTCGGTGGACTCCTTGAGGCGAACGGTTAGATCCGACGAAGGCTGCACAGGCTCATAATCCAGATCAACGTCATAATTGGCCTCGATTAGCTCATTCTTAGTCAGCCAGTCGGGAACGCCACTGGGATACCAAGCCATCCATTCAAATAGGCCCGGCTCCAGCTTGATCTTGTGCTTGCTTGTAAGCTTAAGCCCCTCCAGTGCACTAGTGCAAGTCTGGATGCACCGATATGAGGGCGAACAGTAGACGTGATCAATCTGGACTTGGGCCTCAAACAAAGCCTGACCAATGAGACTGGCTTGATAGACACCAACATTCGTCAGCGGCGAGTCATTCTGCCAACCCTCGGGACTGTTTTTCCGACGAGGCAACGTCTTGGGCATGTTCAGATCCTTCCTCATGTAGTTTCCAAACTCATCGAAGCAGTAGGGAATCCATGTCCCGAAAGTAAAGTCCACCCTTTCACCATGGCGCATGATATAGATCTTACGGTTCTTGGCATGCGAGGCATCCAGAGTACTGGGTTGTAACGAGTGATCCGAGTGCACGCTGAGAGTGTCGTCTGGACACGGTGGTTGTGCTGCCGGTGGTTCCACCAAAATCTCATCCACTGGCTGTTTAGACACTGAGGTGGAGCTGGAAGACATATTGGTTGTGATTTCGATCGTGGGCGTATTCGGGTTGTGCTGATGGTTCAAGTTGTGGCTGTTGAGCAGCTGCACTGAAGGAAGTTCCAGGCAGGGCTTCAAGGTCTGTCGCAAATATTTTTCCACGCTCTGCTCGGATTCCTCAAACGATGACCCCTCAATTATCTCGGGATGTGCTGTGTCTGTTGAGGAATGAAAAGAAATGACATATAAGTAAGAAATTACTTTGTATATAAATATAAAGAAATGTACACTATTCGCTTAATTGTTTGAAAATTAATTACATTTAGATTAATATTATCAATATGGTGTAAACATTTTTTAGGACCGTTATCGGGCTTCAGGAACTTTATAATTGATAATGCAACTCACGCTGACGTTCTTCGGGTTCCGTCGATATACTACGTCCGTCCACAATGTCCAAGTCCTCGGCTGAAGTCAGGGAGGAAGCGACGCTCTTGGAAAGCTGCACCACCCGATGAAGGGTCCAGGCGTCCGATTCGGCAGTGCGTTCGGTGTAATTGACGGGCAGGTGCCCTGTGCTCCCGGTCAACCAGGATATGCCTTCTGCCCAACCGTCACTGGAACTGTCCACTACTTCAGTGTTCAAGTAGATATAGTCGCCGATACGAAGCTCTAATTCATCCGTCTCGTGCGGATTGTGTGGATATACAACCTTCTGGACCTAAAAATAATATAAAACGGAGTTAGAATTCACACAGGACTTGTGGTGAGTAGCTCTAACTTGTTTAGTGGCGAGTCGAGGATCGCGTGAATAGAGCCGCAACTCCCAATTGGATGCGCAGCCGGCGTCTAAAGTCTCCACGAGTGCTTTCAGTGCATTGAACTGTGCCTGCGGGAACTGGTAGGCAAGCGTCAGGTGCAGGCTCTTTACGTGTGGCTCGAGTGAGATGGCTACGGGTATTCAGAAGCTATTAGTGACCGATCGCTAGGCGGGACAAACGATTACTGAATAGAAAAGAAGACGGTGCTGCTTATATGCCTTTGTATCTAGCACGGTGAGTCGTTTTTCTGATAAGAAACCATAGTTTGAGGTTTTTGGGCAATACCAAGCGTTAAAAGCTTATCATCTATTTGTGTTTCAAGATTGGATTTTTGGCAATTCAATTTAAGTGCAAATAAAATCAAGAAAAATGTTTAATAAGAAAATAAACGCTACTTAGATTTATCAGCTTTGAAATAAATTATAAATACCTATTAATTAAAATACATACCAAGCAAATTACCTTTAATAGTTAGTGTTACTCTCACGAAAACAAAAGAAATCGACCCACCGTGCTATCAACAGCATTTACTGCTAATAACAATAAACTACAATTAGCAGCGTCATGCCAAATTTGTCCAATAGTGTAAATAGATTAGTAAGTTATCTACCAGTGCGAGTAAGGCATGCATTGAGTTGAAATTGAAATGAGAAAGTGGGTGCTTAGGTGAGTCAGATGAGATTTACGCAAACTAATATCGCTAACTATTGGCTTACATCGACTGCTGCGCGGAATGCAGCGGGTGCCCGAGGAGACAGCTCCACACCAGGGGAAGCAGGCCACAATAGCGTCCAACTGCTCATAGGTATCGCTAATGACTGTGCAGCATTACCCAGATTATCCAGATATCCCAGGATTAGTGTGCAGGGAGAGAGTAGAACAAACGTAACCGTGTAAGCCACTCCGAAAAATGGAAACCATCAACCGAATCGAATTGAACAGAACGTGAGAAAAGATAAACCAAAACAACCCAAAGAGAGTGCAACCAACAAAAGGGAAGTTCGTACTTGAGTTGGACACCTCCTTGACGTATTGCAAGGCCAGCCGTTTCAAATAGTTGGCATCCTCCTCGGCCACGAAGAAGCCCATGAAGTTCTGACTCATGTAGGGCTCCAACTTGAGAGGGCGATCCAGCAAGGCGCCCGTCATGTCCACTACCTGTTTAAGAGCCTTCGAAAGCTGCAGGGAGCACTCATCGGGAGCCTATAAAATGTTTTCAAGGAGTAAATATTGTTAAAATAATCCCATCCTCGCTCACCTTAAAAAAAGAGACCAGGGTTATGTGGGGCACATAGTTATGAGCTCCGTTCCAGCCGCACATTTGGCGGGACTTGGCCCAGAACTCCTCCAGCTGCTGCAGAAATGGACCCGTGGGACAGGCATATATTATGTATTCCCTGGGAGAGCATTCGTCTAAGGTGGCATCGTTGACATGAGCCAGCAGCCAATCCGAAGCAATCTGAACTCCTCGATTGCCTGTGGAAGCCAGAGCTTTCTCCCTGTGTAGATGCAAGCAAAAAATCAATACTCAACTTCTCTGGAGCTGCAAGTCTGATTGTGGGTCACCCCTCAAACCCATAGCCTCGATATCTTTTAGCGATTTGGATCATGTGGTGACCTCCAATAGACTTTAAAACAAAAAACCTACGCCCTGTGCCTGGGAAAGCCCATTTGAAGTAATGTTTGGAGCGGCGTCAAATGCTGCTTCGAGATACAGATCCTCGTGGGCGTCTGACTCTTGCGTGGCGGAAGCGTGGCCATGACGATTATAGCCTCCTCTGTTAGGCCTGGTTACCAGCGTTTGGCAGATTTTAATTTTTTCTAGTCTTTAAATGTTTTTCAGTTATAATTTCAACAAAAATAGGATAATTGTGTTCGATAACGATAACGACGACGATAGACCAAAGGAATGACAAGTCCTATCGATAGTCTTATCGCCATCGATATTAGTACCATCGATAAATAGTACTGACCATTAGAGATGAGAGCGATTCTCCTGGCGAGACAACAACAAAATTCACTGCGTAATTAATTAAATATTTTAGTAAATTCGAGGAGCACCACAAAGGAAGAGCTCATCAATCGTTCAATAGTGTTCAAAGTAAGAATAAAATCATACGAATTAAGTGTAAAGTGAAAGCGCAGCGATAAAAAGACTGTTACGCAGCAGCCAAAAAGTGCATGGAAAATGCCATTGGAGCCCCACATCAAACATACACATGAACACACATACACAAAAAAAAACGTACACACAAAGACCAACGCACACCGACGCAATTAGTGGTGTGGTGTAGTGGTGGAGCACAAAAACAAGTTGTTCATGGACTTAGAAGGGGGCGGGGGTAGTTATCTGTCAAACGAGAAACCAATTTCGCACTATTTTCGTTTGTCGTTAGTTACTCCCCCTGCCATTGAGGATATAAGGGAAATGGGCGTTTTCCCTGCTACTTTTCCTGGTAATCCAGAATTGAATTTTTTTTGCTGAGTGACCTCGTCTTTGTCTGTGCTCTGTGCGCACTTTCTCCGCTGCGCCAGCTAATAAGCAGTGATCACGCTTTATCGCCCCAATGCGGGTTGCTTCCCTCCCCTCCTGCCATCCTGTTATCACAGTCCAGCGATCATACATTGCGGCCCGTTCAGCATGACTCATTCGATTTGTTTATCACCCAGCACAGCATAGCACCAATATTCGTCATATTGTCTGTTATTATAAACATTTTACAACAGTCCCTAGCTTCATCTTCCTACGTGTAGATAACACGAAATTTTTCGATTTCAATTAGTTTTATTTACTTAAGTCGATATGCAGATGCGAATAGTAGTTTATAGGGGTGCACTGTTCTTGGGGTAAAAGTTCCTTACATTCCCTAGGAAAAATTTTTGCCCATTTAATCGAATTAGGGAAAACCGAAATGTTATTTTTAACATCCAATCAATACCATTTTCTTTCCTTCAGCGCCAGAAGTCGAAAGAGAGACCCCCGAGTAAGCCAACCACATATTACATCGAAATGTCTGGCCGCAAGAAATCCCTACTGAAAGTCATCATACTGGGTGACAGCAGTGTGGGCAAAACCTCGCTGATGAATCAATATGTAAACAAACGATTTTCCAACCAATACAAAGCCACGATCGGAGCTGATTTCTGCACGAAAGAGGTGGTGGTCAACGACCGAGTTGTCACAATGCAGGTAAGCCGTAAGCTTTTGAAAAACCTTTCTGAAAAATCTAAGTACGGTTTTGATGACAGATCTGGGACACTGCTGGTCAGGAACGCTTCCAGTCGCTTGGAGTAGCCTTTTACCGCGGCGCTGACTGCTGCGTTCTTGTCTACGATGTGACAGCACCTAATTCGTTCAAGAATCTCGACTCATGGCGCGACGAGTTCCTTATACAGGCCAGTCCACGTGATCCCGAGAACTTCCCCTTCGTGGTGCTCGGCAATAAGGTGGACCTGGACAACCGCCAAGTGTCAACGCGTCGGGCGCAGCAGTGGTGCCAATCTAAGAACGACATACCCTACTACGAGACGTCCGCCAAGGAGGGCATCAACGTGGAAATGGCGTTTCAGGTTATAGCCAAGAATGCGCTGGAGTTAGAGGCGGAGGTAAGTAGTCCTCTTTGAACTTATTTTTTTCCAAGCTAATTTCTTTATTTCGCACAGGCTGAGGTTATCAATGATTTCCCCGATCAGATCACCTTGGGTTCGCAAAATAATCGTCCTGGCAATCCTGACAACTGTCAGTGCTAATGTAACAAGAACGCAAAATGGATAATTACACAATCTATATTATTAAATAATATTTCCAACATAATAATGAACATGAGAAGCAAGCAACACAAAGGACGACGGAGGAGAGTGTTCTATGATTAAGTAAAACAATTTCAGCAAAACAGCATAGTAATTAATTAATTGATAGGATGCAAAGTTCAGATTCAGATCAACATCAGCAGACTCTATTCGGGCCTCTGGCAAAGGCTTTACCAATATACCCAACTTCCTAAAACCTAAGTAACCGTTCAATGAATAAGTATGCTCTGTATACTCGTATTTAAAAAATCCATGTTTCTGACCGCCCGCCCGCCTATCTCCCTAGTACTATTTTTGCCACTGTATTAGTCAAATTTTGCACGCAACCGCTGCTGGCTTTTGCAACAGAACAGCAACATCAGAGTATCTTCGAAACAAACAAAAAATCTTGTGATTGTAAATTTAATAAAAATAAAACTTTTTAATGTAATTATCGACATAATTTCCTGCACCATCGAATTGGCTACTCGATCGTAATTGGCTCAGATCCACAAAACACCCACTTGCAAAAACATTTGAGCGTGAATTTTGTTTAGTTATAACGTTACTCGATATATCCTATAACTATTAATAGTATTCCATGTAAAATTGCTCCTTGTTTTTTGGTAATACATATATGTAAATTGCTTATATTTGGTATGTACTTTATTCCACTGATTAATTTTATGAATTCTCATAATCTTTTGTTTAATCTAAAAATAAACAATGAACAATTTACAATAAAACTCAAATAAGCTAAAATGATTGTTTTTTTTTTATTATTTTGTACCACTGTACAACATTCGAGAGTATATATGCAACTTTGTGGGTATAGCATATCATTTATCGATAATACTTTGCTGTCTATTGACATTTCTCTGCAAAAACAGCTGTGGCTGTTGTCTAGTCAAGTTTAATTGTGTATTTGATCATATTAAAATGTCCCATATTTCACCTGTGGCCCCACCTCCTCCACCTCCACCGATGTTGGTCAGTCGTGAGACAACTGCTCCAGCAAAAGAACCTCCAGTGGTAGTCAATATCACCACCGGTGAGTGCAGTTGGGCCTGGGAGTATCCGGAGTTACAGAAAGGTTGCTACCTTAGTCGAGTATGCGAGAATGTTTCTCCTAAACACTGTCAATATTACTCCCTAAACAGCATTGTGCAGGTGAGTTAAGAAAAGGAGTACTTATTTTTTAGTTTTAATACAAAATTACCTAAGGTTGGTCCCACTTGTGGCTTAGTGGCCTTGAGCATGTTGCTCGGTGGTCATCCCACCGCAGATGAGCTTCTAAAGGATGCTATTGCACTGGAATACACAATAAATGGAGAGTTTTTTAGTGCTCAGTATTTGTATGAGCTCGCCCGTAAACATATGACCGGACCTGTTGTAAGTCAGTTACATGTCGGTCCTCTCGACTGTAAAAAAGTCAAGGAACTGTTAAAGGCTGGAGGCTGCCTACTAGTGCCGTATCCTTTTTCAAAAATTTTTTCGTTATCTAAATTTAAACCTGGATTAGGTTCGGTTATTTCCCGCATTAAGACCAGTTGTCGCCTAACAGCGCAGTTAACGGCTAACAGCACGCTGTTAGCAGCCAGTGTTGTAAAATTCCCGCTTGTAGAGTGTTAAATATTGTAAACAGGCGTTTTTGGGGTTTGCGAGATATTATTATTCCTTGTGTCTTTGTTGAAAAGAAGTGCAAAGATTTAAATAAAATGGCCGACGAAGCAGAGCAGGTACGTATAAGCTTTATGATTCAAAAGATAATTCGTTATTCACGTACTTCCAGCTCAGCCAGGTGATTTTGCCGGTGAAGGAGCCCCTGGATCTCATCCGATTGAGTTTGGATGAAAAGGTGTACGTAAAGATGCGCAACGAAAGGGAACTACGAGGACGTCTGCATGTAAGTTATTTACTTCACCTATTAGATAATCCTTCAAAAACAGGATGTTTTCAGGCCTTTGATCAGCATTTAAACATGGTGCTGGGCGATGCGGAGGAGACGGTAACCACTGTGGAGATCGACGAGGAGACCTATGAGGAGGTCTACAAGACCGCCAAGCGTACCATTCCCATGCTATTCGTTAGAGGCGATGGAGTTATCCTGGTTTCACCACCCATGCGGGTGGGCTAGTCTCAAGTCTCGTTCAGTTTTAAGTCCAATCACCTGCATTTATACAAGATGTATCTGTATAGATTAATAAATTCTTTAAAACGAAATCATGTCTTTATCAACCTTAAAATTTTAAACTAATACCTTTTACATATTTAAATAGTTTTATCAAAGTACCTAAGGGTTTCCTTAAATCAATTAAAACGTATATTTAACAAGTTATGATGCCGATGTAAACCATGCACCATGCTTAAAGTCCGGACACCGAGCTCATTGGGCTTTGATTGTGGGCTATCTGGTCGACGTACAGGATAGGGTGAGTGGATATGTGTCTTATATCTAATATAACGTATTACCTTTCTGCAGTACTATGTCTTGGCTCGCCATGGAAAGACGCGTAATCTAGCCGTTTGGCCACTGGACATGCTTAGCCAGAGCAATGGTAATTTAGTGCAGTTTGCACAGCCTAAGGGCTACCCGGATAATGACTTTTTGCAACCACCGGGAGGAATCGGTGGATCCCTTGGTCTCAAAGAGCGCTCGATTCTAGTCAACGGCTTGCCTCAACAGGTCATTCATGTTCACTGCCCTTAGATATATCGTTATATACACAATTTCAATAAAAAGTCTTTACTATTTCGTATTTAACTTTAATATATTTAATAGTACAATTATAAATTACACGCCTTATAATATTTCACTTCGCAACGCAATCAACGCACCTCGAATACCTATCCGTCTTTCAGTTCAAACAGGGAAAAACACGCAGTTTTCGTATTTAATCGGTTCGCAACTACTACGGGGACACGAATGCGATTTTAAGGGGCAGAGAATATAATATACAATAATGATATATCGAACTGTCTCCTGCTAGTGCCTGCTGTATATATGTAGATTTATGTATACATGTATAAATTTACTCCTTTTTCAACATCCGCTAATACGACTGGGCTGCCTTGAAATTTCAAAAATCACAACGATAAGAGTAGTTACATATGGTTTTGTATATGGTAGATTAGATAGGTATACTATATATAGTATATGTATTGTATATAATTTCACACACAGATATTTTTCTGATTTAGGTAGTACATAGACGACGGGTTTGGTTAATATGTCAAATTACTCTTTGTTTGTCAAGTAGTTTTAGCATGCTGCAGCATAACATTTAGATACTTTTGTTAGTTGGCCAGATGGGAGCAACGATTTTGAGATCATGGGGCCTAATGCTCCCGAATGCTTGGTAACTGCCGGTTAGAGAATATATATATATATATAAATGTATGTGTATGTATGCTAGTACATGCCAACAGGCAAGAGCAACGTGTCCATAGAAATCTTGAAACGGTAACTATAAAGTTTGGTTTTAGTTCTAGACCATCTTGTACAGAATATTTTGATACGCGTTGTTCATCTCTGACGAGTTTTATAATTACTTTAAGCATATCATTAAACTAGTAGTGTCTACTTGTCTGTATGTGTCTGATTGCGGGTCGAAAGTATCTGATAAATTCACAAGTTGCGTGCGGTAATTAACTTAAATGAACGTTACAGGCTAACGGTTTATTAACTAAAAATTTACAAATACTAATTATAAATAAATTATCATTCTTTTCAGTTGTATAATATTTATTGCCGCGCAAGTGACTGTCTCCCTTGCTCCAAGCACGTTTCAGTTTTTGTGTCTGTATATCTGTGTTTTTTGTGGGAGTTGGGGGTGTGCCGTGTGAGGTCGGGGGTTAAAATGACTAGGATAATTCAGCACAGGACATAGGTGTGCAGCCGATAAGCGCAATGGGAAAGTTCTTGACGTGTGTTTGCCATTGCGACGATACCTGGAAGAACTTGACTCCCGTCCACTCGGTGCCATCGATGTACACTGCAAAAAAATGTTGGAAATTAGTGAGACTTCTAAGTAAGCCAGAGTTGAGACCTCTTACCTCGCAGGGGCACTGGATGCGATTGCTTCGGTGAGCAAATTAGACGGGCCACGCCCTCTACACATTGCTCCTTCTCGAGATCACGCTCCTTATCCTTCTTCTTGCCCAAGCGCATTACTAAAATAGAAAAACAATGAGATAAGCCGCAGCTCTAGTCCCTAGCCAAGTTCAACTCACTTTGCTTTTGCTTTTTCTCCTTGGTGGCAAAACTAACAGTCAGTCCATTGAACATATCACCCAATTGCTGTGCATGCTGTGGCAGGCGCCACACCTGCAGGTTCCTAAACGTACTCTTAATGCTATTCTTGCCGCCGGCGTCACTTCCCTTGGACAGTCCGCTTTTGGACTCCTTGACGTGACCATCGCCCGGCCTCACCAGGGGCCAGTAGTCAACCTGCAGCTCCACTGCCTCCGCTGCGGCCAGAGCGCCACTGAAAGTTTGCTGTTGCAGCGACGACGGCGTACTCAACGATTCACTGGTATTCCGCTCCCGATGCGAGGACGCGGACGACGGTGGCGTTTGCAGAGGAGGTGATATGCGTCCCATGCTTTGCTGCTGGGGTGGCGAACCAGATACCACGCCATGTACATTCGGCGAGCTCTGGCTACCAATTGGGATAGCTGAGCTTGATCCAGATCCAGAACCCAGTCCACTACTGGCCACATTGGAGCCTGCTGTATTCTCCTCGAGATCCAGCGAGGCCTGGGAGTCCAGATAACCAATACGAACATCCTGTAGATTAAATACAGTGATATAGTTACAGTGATAAGTTTAGAGAAATGGATTTTACTTACACTAACAAACGGCACAAATATCTGGCAGGAATCCTCATCCTTGTAGTTAACCATGGCCTCGGCAATGGGTATCTGGGTGCAGGGTCCTGCCGCAAGTAGGTAGCGCTGGATACGCTGCACCAACTCCGCGATGTCCGACTTGGCGACGCCAGCCGCATCCGCAAGATTTGTTGTCAGGGCGGTGGCATTCACAGTGGTCACCGCACTAACAGCTGCCGCTGTGGCTGCCGCCCGTTCACACAGCTGCGCCCAGTTGTCCGAACCAAACATAACCGCATATGCCTGATCCATTTGGCTAAGGTGACGGGCCACATTGCCGCAGCTGCCGCCGACGGGGACCAGGTAGAATCGCAGGTGATTGAGCCAATCCGGAGGACGCACTCCCATCAGTTCCACGTAGTGCCGCAGGGTGGCTCCCTGCAGCCAATCTCCACCAATCAGCAACACCTTGACGGTGTGTGGTGGCTTGGCGTTTGAGTTGCAACTAAAACAGGCAGTAAAATTTATGAAGTATTCATATCTGATAATAGAACGTGAACACTTACTACTTTTGGATCTTGGCCATGAGCGCCTGCAGCACCGCCTTGACCTCGGCAGTGTTCTGCGGCACGAAGGCCGGTTTAAAGGAGTTGGCAAAAAGCGTGACCAATTTGGCCAGCAGCGCGCTGCCGCCCAACGCCTCCGGCGGACTGATGATGGTCACCACCTCTGGTATGGCGCTGTCCTCGCCGGCAAACACGCGACTCAACTGGTCGAGAAGCAGCTTGCGTGGTTCTACGTTGGTAGGCGAGAGGCAAGTCTCTAGCACGGATCTAGGCTCGGCACTCAGGCTCAAGGTGTGCTTCCTTTTGCCGCCACCCGAAGCGTTAATGGCACTGGCACTGTTGCCTCCACTTCCTGTGATTCCCGGAGTATTGCTGGAAGTGCGGAACAAACGTGATCGCTTTTCCGTCTGGGCAGGAGTGACCACACTGCCACTTCCCAAACTGGCGGCCACCGAGCTTACTGGGGTTAACTGTTGCTGCTGCATATGCTGCAGGCGCATGTAGTCTTTGTCCCTGGGTGGACTGTTCTGGGGATCTGAATTCTGGCCATCCGTATAGCCAGCATTGCCCTCATTGCCGGAGCTGTCATTACCCCCGCGATCTGTGAGGAGCATAGAAGAGATAAGGAGCAGGTTAATAAAAGGTGATTTGGTAATACATCAAGTTAAGGGCAAGGGCAAACATAATGGTGGTGGTCTATCGAAATGTGAAAAAGAAAAATCACGTTTTTTAGAAACTATTCAATCAGAGTCTAGCATATGTTTTTGAAAGATTTTTTAACTTTTCCGTAGACTCAACCATTATGATGACCCCAAGTGAAGGAAGGGGTCCGGTGAGGGGGCGGTGTGTGAAACTGGGGACACGAGACATGCGGAGACTAAACAAGACAAGATAAACAGAATCGTGAGACAGAATGGCGGCCACAAATAGTTGGTCCCGAAATAGAACGCCCCTGCAAAGAGTTACCCAGTCCAAGGAGCACCGTGTAAATAAATAATAAAACGCGGACCGAAAATATAATTAAAGCTTTCTTTATTTTATGACCATGAATGGTAGGGTGGGCTAAGAGTGGGGGAAGTGGCCATATTTTTCCGAGTCAGAAATTTCCGGCTCGTCGTGCTTGAATTTTCAAAGCCATGCGCCGGCCGATTAATCAAAAAAACGCACGACACGTAAATAAAGTGAAAGTAAAAAAAGGAAAAAAGGGGAAAATTTGAGGGAAGCAAACAAATCCAAGACTTTTTTTATCAAGTGAAGGTGGGGCGGAAATGGTGGCCTGGGGCTGTGATTAAGGGTGTTGTTTTCAAGGGTCTGACGTCTATGTCGGTGGCTAATTGGAAAACGGCTTCAAGTGCGTCGAAGGTTCAATTGTCATGCCACAGACTCACACACACGCACACACATGTTGAGGACGTTGGCTTTCATATGAGGCAAAAGGTGAGGATGTTTATTTTAAGGCCCCACGAACATGCACCACAACTATACTAAAAAGAAACGATCAATGGAATTGACGCACAAATCAAAGACTCCCCGTAATCGTAATCCCACTCGCCCAACATTTTGAGGCATGCAAAGGTGCAGAGCGGTGGTGGTGCAACAAATAAAGCATACGAACAACGAACGAAGCATACATTTACATTTCCAGTGTACTTGTGGCAGTGTGTTACTGTGTGTCACTGTATGCGTGTGTGGGCTCTGTGCGTGAGTGTGGGGCAAGGCAGGGAATTTGGGGGATACGCCGCCTCCTTCAAATATTGAAAAAGGTAATTTTAATCTTTAAAATAGCTTCTTTTTGTGAGAGCAAAGCTTTGTTTTATTTAAACATTTGATTTATTTCTATTTTTAATAAATAGATATGCATGGAATATAAGACTGTTAACTCTTTTACTCTTTATTATTCACTAAGATAAGTATAATCCTTTTAGAAAGCAGAATCTCACGGAATTTGGTACTTATAAAAAAAATCAAAAGAAAATTTAAATTTATTTTGTCATAATATGGTTTTAGGAAGCTTTTATTCGAACAGATGTTTTCGATTTCTTACTACTGCATTTTTGAATATTTTCAGGATGGCGTAAACCCTCAAGATTTCGGATGGGAAATTCATCTGATGGGTAGATTGGTATCATATATATACAAACTGGGCACGGATTGCAGTATGCTATACATATTCTTAGTCTCATTTCAAAGGTATCTGGTGTGATATGCGAGGTGGTAGTGTATATAGTATTTCTATAATTTTGATTCAGGGATATTTGGGGATAAATATTTTTCGTTTTTCGATTTTGCTGTAATGTACACAGACCTGGTGTTGTTGCCGAATTGTTATTGTTTGTTAAATGAATGCATTTTTGGTTTTTGTTATTTTCAAGATTGTAAGATGAATTGGTCAATTGGTCGCTCTTATCCGATGATCGGCGCTCAGAGTTGCCTGCAAGAGAGATTTGTTCAAGCCATGCAAAATGTATCTTTTGTTTTTGTTTGTTGTTTGTTTTTGGAGTTTTTGTTGTTGTTGCTTAAGTATACAGTTTTTAAATAGTATATAGTTAAAGCTAAGCCTTACTTGACTTAAATCTATATTGAAACACAATTTGAAAGTTAGTTCAGCAAAAGCTACGAAAAAAAGTTATTGTTGCGCTGCTGTTTTACGCCCGGAAAAATGTGCAAGGCCGCGCCCACTTTATTCTGTGGGCGGCAGTGACAGTAACGGTCAACAAGACAATTAACTGTCTCCCGCCCCTCCACCATTTTCCCGGGCGAAACAATTTGTCCTGCTCAACTGTGCGTGTATGTGTGTGTTGGTGTCGGTATGCTGTGTTGTGTTTTGCGTTTTAGTGTGTTTGTGACATTCCTTTCCGCAACTTTTCTTTATTTTTCGTGTTTTTTAACCTTGACCCAAACTGTTGACAATGGAAAATCGCCGACAAGCGGACAAGCAAAAAGCACTAAAAAAATAGATAAAAAAAAACCGACACCCTAAAACAAATATAAGCAAAGAATTCGACGCATAATTTCCGGGAAAATAATAATAAAAATAGACAGTGATTTGAATTCACTGGAAAACAAAATATATATTTCATATTAAAGAGATCTAAAATGATGTTAAACTTTATAGGTACCCTGAAATATCTAATCCAATTATCTACTTTAAAAGAAATCAATCGAAAATTAATAAGAAAGTTAAACTTAAACTTTTAAGTCGCATATTTAGTAATTTGTGTTTGATAAAAAGGCCGCTGATAGCCTGAATTTTTGTGTGTTTCAATTTAAGGAAACATAGTAACGTAAGGCAAACGCAACGCAACGTAACGCAACTCCCACAAACTCATACGTAACGCAACGCAACGCATTAGAAAGCCAAAGAAAATTCATAGAGCAAAAGTCATTTAGTTAAACTCCAGTTAAATATAGCACATCAACAAAAATGCAAAACCCAAATGACCCGCCTTTAACAACTTCCGGAATGCGTACTCACCAGCAGTTCCTATTCCGGGTCCAGAACCACCGCCCAGCAATTGATTCAGATCTCCGCCGTTGCCAGTGATGTTATCGTGCAGCATTATCCGCGAATTGGTAAAGAACGGACGTAACGATGGCTTCGGCGTGGATCCCACCGATATGCTGTCCATGTCCGGTCCGGAATCGTCGCCCTCGCAACAGGACAGCGACTCCAGTTCCTGGAAGAGTGCATCCAAATCTCGTTCTCCGCGCAGTGCAGCCGTTCCCCGGTGACCGGACTCTCCTTCCAGCTCCTCGCTCACCTTGAACCTCTTCAAGAGCGCCACTATCTTCTGCTTGAAGTTCCGCTGCTGCAGCGAAATCGTCTAAATGGGGGAGATGGGTATGTAAATTGTTATTAATATTAAGTTTATATTACATAAGTCATAAACTATTTACGAAACATATTAATTTCACAAAAAACTAAAAGATAAAGTTTACTTTAAGCTAAAATAAAAATCCAAACAGGAAATAAAATCTGTAAGATCAAGATAACGTGAAAACAAGCTCTTTTCGAAATACAAAACAACGTTAAAGCTTAACAAAATTGTTCTCTCTGCTCCTCCCCCTTCCCTTTTAAGTACCTCTTAATAGCCGCTGGCTAAATCTAAAGTTGCTTATAGGCCATTAAACAAAATCTCAAGGACTGCGACAGCGATGACGACTGGAGAGGAGCCGTTAAAATTTATGCATCGTTCTTTTTTAATTGCTCCTCTCTCATCGGTTTCTTTTTGTTTGTTTTATTTTTCAGCCTTTTTGTTGTTGTTGTTTTGTTTGGGACTGTCATTAGGCGTGTTTTTTATCTACGGCAGGCATTCAAAATGATCCTGCGATAAAAAGCCAGCAACAGCAACAGCAAAAAAAGCAGAAGCCATGACAATAAAAGCCGCAGGCTAATTTTACACCTGTGCTGCGGATGTTGGCCAGGTGCGTGGAACGGCAAGAAGAGAACGAGGACGAGGACGTGGATAAAGTCCATAATTGGCCCAAACAGCTGAGCCGAGTCAAAGCCTTACGCTGTTTAAATATTTAAGCGGCAGCTTAAGAAAATTGTCTCTGTTGTGATTAGTACCCATACTTCCAAAGGGAAAAACCCCCATAAATAAGGCATGGATTTTCTAATAATAATGGGAATAGAAAAAGGCCTAAAGGGGGTTTAGCTTAAGCGGGAAAGTAAAGTAGCATTAGTCTTTTTTGAATCAAGAAAATATTGATATTTATTTATATTCTATTGTTTAGAAAACCCTTGATCTAATCCAACTTCGATCTATTGTCATGCGGAAATTGTGTGGCTTCCTTTTTTAGATCGCAACCCACACAAACAGTATGTCAATCCGTGGCCCCGATATAGCCCTGAGATATAGTCATAGGTTCGAAAGTATGCCACCGGGCGAATCTAAGCAAATTGAGTCGAGTAAGCGACACGCCAAGGCCGCCGCCCCAACAATTGTCAACTATTTGCCACAGAAATTCTTGGCCACCCCGTTTGGGGCATGCCCGAACATAAGTTTATATATCTGTATAAGAGTATATATATATCGTATACTATAGGGATACATTTTTGATACATATTTCATTTGATTTGCCCGCCGGCTGTGGGTCTTTGTTTGGTTCAGTTTGTGTATCTTGTATCTGCTGCCTGCGGATCTGGGTTAGCAGCAAGGAACTGACAATATTTCGCAATTGGCAAATGCCAAAACAAGAATGAGGAGGTAACAGCAAGGTACTAACAATGTAAGACAAGGCTAAGCATAGTTTCGATGGCTAGAGTGGGCTAAATGCGAATAATATGGAAATGTCTTATAGATTGGCTTATGCTAATTTCTGGGAAATTCCTCAAAAGGCAGTTGTTAGCTGAAGAAACAAGGAAATCATGATAGATCATTAATACTCTATCATAGCTAGTATTCATTTTAGTTAATGAATCCAGAAGCTATTTACATAGTATATGGGGAATATTTAAGCATAAACACTTTATCAAACTTTGCATTCTTTAGTCTCTGATTAAAAGGTTCAAAACCAAAACAAAAACTCAACCACTTTCCTTTTGTTTTGACTTTTTAGCTCGTTTAATGAATGGTGTCTGCCCCTCTCTACTTCTATATGTGCGAATGTGTGCTTGTAATCTATATAGATAGCCACTAAGTGATATTTATTCACTTTGCATAATGAATTTTAGAGCCCCCCGAATAGAAGACCCCCAGACTGCTGACGTGTTGCCACGCAATTATATCGAGCGGTAATGAAAATACTTTTGGGTAAGAGACACAATTTTTTTTTGGTTTTTGGGTGCCACGCGGAACAGCTGGGCGGGATTACACGATTTTGTTTGATTGACTCACCCGGCTAAACTTGGCCCGTGACGAGCTCTTGTCCTTCATCTCGAATTCACTATCGCTATCTACGACTACGCCGGGATGATGGTGCTGGATGCTGCCGGGATGGTGACCGACTAGGGCGCAGTCCTCGATACCGGAGCGTTGCAGCTTGTTGCGATATTTGCGCATATCATGCTTGGCCGGATGGTTGTAGTCCCGCGGATCCTTGGGATCGTAGCCCCGGATCAGGCCCAGTTCGTTGGCCTCGTCGTTGAATTCGCCTGAACTGAACTCGGCCTCCTCGTCCTCGTCGGAATACTCAGCAACGCGATCTGCGGAACAAGATTACCATATAAATATATTATATCTGTATATAAGTATCTTTTGGATAAGTAATGGCAAACTCGTATCTCTGTATAAAACTAAGATAAACGCTTTTTGCGTTGTTATAAACTGTTGCAGTTTACGACAGGCTTGTTTTGTACAATACAAATGGGTTAAGTGCCGAGCCGAAACCGTTAAAAACCTATTTCGTTTTTAAATATTCCTTTACACATTCTCATTTAATTGCTATTGATGTATTCATCTACTATTGTATCACACGTTATTTAAACAGTTTAACAACAAAAACTTTTTTTCTCTTTAAACAGATTAACAAAGTTTTGCTTTACTTTAAAAAGATCATTTTTATATCTCTCTCTCTATATTTATATAGTATTTTTGTTGTATATTTTATATTAATCATCACCAATAACGGTAAACATTTCACTACCTTTTTACAGTTAACTGCGTTTTTCATCAATTTGAAGATTAAACGAAAGGCACGTCGTTTTTTCCTTGTTTTGTTTCGTAAATTAATCACAGATATCACGGTTGACTGTCTTTTTAACAGTTTTTGTTGTTTTTTGTTTTGGCTTTAACTACGCCCGATTTATCTGTTCATCTCCCGTATTATTGTTATTATTATTATTATTATTTTTGTACTTTCTTTCCGGCGCTTCTTTCTCTTCTTCGAGTGGCGAGTGTGTGAACCGCTGAGCGTTTGTCAGTGAAATGAATGAATTGCTCGGAGCTCGGCACGTTTTGTGCACTTGCGATGAGTAAGAGAGAGAGCGCGGGAGAGTGGGGCCAGTGGGAGAGGAAGAGTGGGGTGCTGTGCTGCCACTTTGACTTGTTTAAGGCTAAATATAGATCAATCATATATACTGTTTATATGAGATATTGGAAAGGAACATATTCTTGTAGACATACAAAAGATGAGTAATTAGAACTAAAGACTAAATAATGGGATTAGCAATAGATCTTAGCTTTTTTATCTATTACTTTAAAATCTAGCTCTTTTTACTTTGAAATTCTGCCAGCACTAGTGCAATGACAGTGGGAGAGAGCGGGCGCTGACAGCAACAACAACACCTGCGAGCAACGAGAGAGATGAGCTACTCGCGCACCAAGAGAAATTACTCAAATCAATATGGAGCAATTGAGGGAGACAAACAAACGTGCGCTTCGATATATTCCATTATATCGGAGCACACAGGCCGTCACACGTGGGCTTATCTATATATGGGTCGCTGTTCGATATTACTAAACAAGTGTCAAAAGCTCACTGCATGGGAAATGCTCATTAAAGCTATTTTTACGCCTCGATTCGGGCAATTGAACTAAAATGTTAGGTATGAAGTGGGTGTAAAGTGGGAATAAAACGAGGGGAAGGGCTTCCCAATGGGATTTACTTAGGGAGAGCAAGATGGCACCTACTCAATCAGCTCATCGATTATATATCCAAATGCATACTGAATATAGGGAATCGAATTTAATTTTAGGCCACTTAAAAATTTAATGATCTAGTGTGAAAAATCTTTATCTTTTAGGTACAAAATATGAATGTGTTTCTGTACATTGTCTGAAGGTACTTCATAGAATATTAAGTGCTTATTATAATGATCAGGTACTTGAAGTTCTGAAATTTAAAATTTACGCAGCAATTCCTGTTGATCTAGAATTATGGAGCATGTACTTTTTGTTGATCGTGTGAACTAGTTTATTTAGAGTATAAAAAAAGAGCTTTTCTCACACTCGCTCATATCGGGCAAGTACATTGTTTGCGATAAGATTTGTGTCATCGCCTTCTGATGTCACTTGTTGCACTCCGATTCCCATTCTGATTCCGATTCCCACTCCCATTTCATACAATTTCCACTTCATTTTCGAAAACCGGCTACCACTTCCACTCCCGTTTTCAGTTCATTTCAATTACGATTCTCATCTGTTTTTATACCCAGTAATCAAAGATTTCAAGGGTGTTCTGCACTTGTGGATTTTATTATTATTTAATTTATGTATGCAGGAACAAGTTCTAATAAATTTTATAGAAATATTTCTATGATATCAACGCTTATCAATTCTTGGTAATCGATAAAATGGGCTTAGCACTCTTGTTCTTAAAAATAAAGCATTTTTATTAGTCAAGCCCATGTACAAAATCTTATCTAATATTATACTTCAAGTTTTCTTTGCTTGGAAACTAAAAGAAACGTGCCTACCCTCTAATCTGACAAAGAGATAGAAGTAAATGTTTTCTAAAGTAAAACTCTTCCATGATCTTTTATTTATCAGCCAACTATATAGCCTATTCTGTGCTATATCTAAAGGATCCCATCTCTTATAAACTGTTTAAGAGGTATTTTAATATTCGAGGTTCTTTAACTACACCGCTGCTACTTGTTTTGTTTGTTTATTTGGTCGCATGTTGCGCCGTCGTTATCATTTAGCCAAAGCTATTCACCGGCCGGTTTCTGTAGTCTGTTGTCTACGCGAGAACCGAAAGAGAAAGAGGGTAAATAGGTGGGTGTGGGCCGTGGACTGTGGGTGTATAGTTGGCGGTACGTCTCGGAGACTCTCGTATCTGGGTATCCATCGCGTGCTAGGCGGTGCTAGTGGATGAGCTATGAGCTATTCTCTTCAGTCTGTTTTGATAGTGTGGGTGCAGAGCAAACTCCGGTTAAGTGTAACTTTTGACAGCCTCAGAGCCCGTTAAGTGATAAGTACAGGGAATGATTAAAAAGCGGGCACAGAAAGGTACTGAATGGTGGAACTCTACGGGGGATAGAGTGGCTTGGGAAAAACTGCTGGCAGCGATGATTAATTGGGCCAAAGCAGAAGCTGCATTCCAGCTTATTGACTATTATACGGATCCCCATATTTATCTTTGCCCGCTTTGCGTGTTGGTTAAAAAAAAAAAAGGAGAAGAAGAAAATGGAAGTTTCCTTCTTGAGGGCAATTATTTTGTTTGTCTTCGTTGTTGCAATTACGCAGACAAGTTAATGACGTCTCTCCCTGGCATTGTTTTACTGTTTTCCATTCTTTCAGTTTCTATTCCTTTATAATTGCATGCAATTCTTAAACACTTTAATGACCTTTTCCCTGTCTGGGGACTTTGGCCACGCTTCCAGGAAGGCAAGTGAATATAATGCACACACTTTGGTTCAAGGAATTTCCACGAAAAGTGTTTTCCACATGGGAGAAGCAAGGCAAGACAAGTAAACAAAGGCCAAGCAAGAGAGACAATAACAGCAGACAAAGTGTTGCCGAAAGCTATGGAAGATGTGTCATGGGCAAAGCCCTCGTTTCAGCACAGTCCACCTCAGTCTCCATTAACACCACCCTCCCAACCTCCCTCAGAAACATTGGGATTCTTATTCCCAGTGCTACCCTCACCACAACGCACATTCACATCCCACGCTTTGTTGGTGCCACGCTGCGTATGAGTAATGAAAACCGTATTGAAAAGCGACGAGCGACATTGATTTAGTGTCTGTGCTCTCTATATCCATGCAGGAGGTCGGATAAACCACAACAACAACAGCTACCTATAGTAACAACAAAAACTGAATTCAATTTGAAACAATTTTCCGACTTTTAGATACTTCGTGTTAAAGTAAAACCATGAAAGTTCTATATTTTACCACAAATTTTCTACAGTTTCGACTTTCTATACAGAATTTCTGAACATTAGCTAGGTCAGCTGAAAATATTAAAATAAATATATTATTGCAAAAACACAATACACCCTTGAACCGAGAATCAAGAGCCGGGTAAACAAGCCAAGAGGAATAGCAAACTGGCACAAAAAGGCAATACATTGGTTTGACCTTGGCCAGCACACGAATCTTGTCATTAGATGACAGCCAATGGGGTGGTGGTGTGAGGCGTAGGAGGAGGTTGTTGCCTGCAGAAGATGATAACAAGAGGGGAAAATAACAACAGCAGCAGCAGCAGCAGCGTGGAAGTGAACAATGTGGATACTCTCGACATAATTTACGCATTTCGCCATTAACCACTCAATGGTTAGGGTGCACACTATATATATATATATATATATATATCTGTAGGGGTGGCTCTACGGTCATTAGAGGCGCAAAACAGCCTCCCTATCGTGCCACCTTTTTGCCCGCCCATTCCCCTCGTTCCATGTCACTTCTGCAGAGCGTTTATCTCTGGCACTCAAGGACAAATGACTTAATTCCTGTCGTTGTGGAAACGGCACAGAAAAAAAAAAGCTGTCGGAGCTGTCATCAGCAGAAGCTTCATAAGAACGAGAATACGATGAAGACCGGGATGCAGCAGTAGCAGTAGCAGCCGCAGGCTGAGCAGGACGTGGGCGTGGCATTACCCTCTACATAAATTATAAGTCCTTAATCGATGGAATAGGGACACACAGATGGGACCAGGAATCACAAGTTTTTTGATTGATTTCCTTTTGGTCTTGAGAGTTATTTATGGATTTCATTAAGTGAACAACCAAGGGCTAGAAAGATGAAGAAGATGATTAGAGTTCATTTTAAGCAATCCAATTGGTTGGGATTTAATAAATATTTAACGACAGAAGAGGAAACCTCTAGGAAAGGTATAAAAACTTAAGAACTTATTATTTTCATTTTTAATTCCATTGAATTCTCAACTGTGTTTAAAAGCCGCTAAAGCTTTCACCGCTCTTGGTGTTATTACCATTGAAAATTAATGAACCAAACACTCCGATTAAAAAACTAATAAAACTTTTATGAGTACTTAACGAGTAGTACATGTACATATCTATTTAAACGTTTTCTCTTGGTCCTTTCAAATTTCCGTAAACTAGGCTACTGTGTTACCAACTTACACAGGGCTCTTGTTTTTTTGGTTTGCAGCCGTCCCCTTGCCACAGTTTTATGCCATCGTTATGGCCATGGAAAATTCATCATCCCAATACCCCTCTTAAAAATCCACCCACCAAAACAAGTTCCGCTGGTCTCGCAGCTCGTTCAAGGAGCGTCCGACTGCTAATGGTGCCCGACTCGGCCTGGCACCTGCGGGCATGGATGCGAACGGGTGCGCGGCACTTTGGGAGTGTATGTCGGAGTGGGTGGGTCTGGGACTGGACTGGGCGGAACGGGGCGAGGTGTGCTGCTGGTTGGGGCATATTCAACAAGCAGCGACAGCAACAACAACAGCAAACAGCCCTGCGGCAATCAGGCACACACCTACACCCACACCACACGTTAAAAATATAATATTACTTCCATATTGTCAACAAAGATGGCTCCAAATTTTGTTATTTACTTGAATAAATCTGAGTAGAAATGATGAAAAGAATCAACCCCAGGCTATTGAACTTGGAATAAAAGGTTGCCTTCGAGGACTTAAGTTGCAAAAATGTAAATGACCAAGAATACCTACGAAAAACTAGGATTTAAAGATTATTTTCAAAGACATTTTCCCCCAGTGCACTTTTCCCCTCTACCAGCGACGACCTCTTCACCCCCGGCAACAAGAACAAGAACAGAATGCCATCAGCAGCGCTTTTTGGAGGCCGGATCGCATAAAGAGAAAATCAATACACCAAATTGAGGTTGAGGCAAAAAGGTTTTCCTCGCATTGCCCATGCTCTCTGTTCTGCTTTTGAATTCCATTTTTGCAAATTAGAAAGCGAGACCCAAAGTAATTTAACAGAGCTGTCTGTATCTATATCTACTAACCCTTCCCCTTCTGGGCTATAACTAAGTTCATTTAGCTCGGGTTCAAGTGCTGACCCTCACTATATGGGACTGACTGTCACTGCCAACGGAATGGTTTGAAAACAGGAGCCAAATTCTAGGGCCTTGGCCCATTGCCAAGTGGCCAGCGACAGGCGAACTTCTGATGGCCACCAGCTCATCGTGTTGGGGATATCCCCAGTTCCCAATCCTCGGGGTGTGCCAAAGAGAATACTGGCAAAGGCATGATTTATGACCAATGGAGTTGATTTACAGTCGTTGAGTTGGAAGGGAAAGTAAGTTTGGGTGTATGAAACCAAAAGTGGGTATGGAGTCTGTTCTAGTTATAATATTTTGTTAGTTTAAACTTTGAAGAAATACCCTAGGAAGAGTCATACCCCTTGCTAGGGTATACCAATTTAATGCTTTTATCCAACTAGTTTGACAGCCACCATGCCACCGATCAGTTTGCCATTAGAAACTGCAAAAGTTTGGACCGGAAAAGAAAAACAACAAAAAATCACGTTGCAAAGATTCAATTTTGCATGTCATACATATTTCATCAGCCGGGCCAGGTTAGAGGTGAGCAGCACACGGGGGTTGACCTTTACCTTGGCCCTGACCGAATGACGTGAGAACACTGCAAATCTCTCTATATACCCCATCATCCCCTCAAGGAGGACGGCTCAACAGCTTAACTACTGCCACACAGGAGCAGCCCTCGGTGCCCTTTTCCATTCATCCATCGCATCTTAAATGGCCACTCCTTGGCCCCCCCAACCACTTTAATTTGATTTTATTTTCGTAGGGCCCAGCAGAGCAGATGTTGCCGATGGGAAACCGCATGGTAAATGAGTTTTCCACTAGCTCAACGCTATTTTCATAATTGAATTTCCTCTCGACGCATAGAGCTCGCTCTTTTCGGTTCGCACGCCATTCTCTTGTCAAACAGAAATAGCTGAAAAATAATTTCAATTAGATTGCCATGGATGAGGCCACTGTTGCCATGTTGCCATGTGGGGCCGCCTTTTCACAGCCCCAGCCGTGGGGAGAATTCATGGCATAGATTCTTGAAATGCGTGTCTCTGACGTCACTTCTAGCCACCTAACCCTGCCCTGTCCGCCCCCTTTCACATTGTTTCACAAGCAATTACCATAAACATCAGCTCAAATTTGAAGCATCATCTGATCTCGGGACAGCCACTCATCCGTCATGGAGTGAAGCAGAGTTGGTGCTTCAATCTCCTGCCTCCCCCACACCGCCACCACCTTGGGTCATTAATTGCCCAGTTTGCGTCATTAGCACTTCTCTAATCTTGACTGGGCATGGGCCTGGGCCTGCGACTGGGACTCGTGGGTCCATTTATTTGTGTTTTATGGATTTGGCAATAAATTCTTTAGCACGCTTCGGTTCAGGGAATGCTCATGGAAGTGTAGAGTCCGGTGTAGACACGGGACATGGTCGACATGGGACACTAAAAACCACAACTATAAACTATACATAATCTTGCCTATCAGATAGATGTATTTATAGCAGTTAAGACTGCTCCCTAGTGATAGGTGTATCCTTAGAATACTAGCCAACTCACCTGCCAGCAGGACGCTGTTGTTGTTCTTATTGTCATGGTCAACTGGAATGGAAGAGACTCTTTCGGCACGGAGACAGGCCACCACAGTGCCCGGTCGGCCATTCTTCCCGGAAGCGGTTAGCTCGATGATCATGTCCATCGATTTCTGGAGCACTGCGTCCATGCGGATGATGCCCTCGGCCAGCGTTTTGTAGCCCAAAATGGTGCGTGATTTGTATTTCTTGCGGCGTTGCAGCAAAATAACCAGTCTGAAGATGACAGAAAGATATATATCAGAAAATATATCAGATATTTTATATAGATCAATACCCACCTATTGCCATCTCTCTTGATAAAGTGCGGATACTGCAGGCTGAAGTGCAAGTCCAGCTCGGTTTCCGTCAAGGGCACAGCCACGCCCAGTCCGCCACCAGTTCCTGCACTGCCCGGAGTACCGGCACCCACGCCCGACATCGGAGAGTTGCCCTGCAGGGAAGCGGATGAGGTTAGGGCAGAGCCGTTGATGGGTATCTCGTGGCTGCGCAGCGTCCTCTTGGAGCTCTGCATCTTCACCGCTAGCGACAACGAGGTGGTGTCACCCGGCAGTGGGGTCAAGATGGACAGACGTGTTATTGTCAGCGAGCAGAGTCTGGAAAATGGGAGGGAAAACATCTTGGGTTAGTTTAAAATCAAAAAAGTTAAAGGGGGAAGGAGTTGTTTTTAGCAAGAGGTTATTGGATTTGCAAAAGATACTTCTGAAAGGGTTGGATATGGATTTTAAAATATAGTTTTTCGATATTAAGTAAGTTAGCATTAGCTATCTTCTTACTCAAAATAGACTACAAACTGTAAAAGATAAAACCGAAAGAGCTTCATTCTATAAAATCTTTGATGATACCTTTTTCATGAGCAAATTTATGAGCTCAATCAATCTTAGATTCCCATCAACATTTACGTCCATTTAGTAAGCAAAAAAGAAACGAGAGAGAGAGAAAATGGAAATGAAAAACCTCGTTAAATGCATTTCCAATGCACTGAACAATCGATCATCGAAATCTAAGCAAGAAAACAATTTCACGCCAAGAGATTTTTCGTTGCAAGAGGCCGGGAAAGCGAGGCAGAAAAATCAAAAGTAAAATGCAATCAAGTAGAAAACAAAAGTTGTATAATGGAAAATGAAATAAAATAGAGGCGAAATGAAAATGCAGGAAAAGCGCATGCATGCGCCGAATGTCCGATGAAAACTGGAGAGAGACTGGAAAGACATTAAAATTAAAGTTTTCTCTTGTGCGATTTTAAAAAGAAAATTCTCTCTCTAGCCTCCCCTTGCTCCCTCTCTCTCTCTCTCTCTCTCTCTTAATTTTCAGCAAAGTCAGATGTAATGGCCATTATAATCGCTTATAACTAAGCCATAATGGAAATTGGATTTCAGTTTTTCATTTTCCTTTTTTGCAATGTCACAAGCAAACCGACGAATATAATTTTTTTCAACGTTTTTGGCAGCACAAGACAAAGTCCAGACTGTGTGTGTATGTATGGGTATTTATAATTTATTTCCTGATTAATTTCTGCTCCGTAATGCCCCCTCAGAGAAAGAGATTACGCACTCCGGACATCTTTTGTTGGAACTGCTCACTCATCTGGTCAAATCAGCGGGAATGGACTGAACAGAGTTGGGTGGAGTTGGGTGATCTTGGAGCACGGGTGCATCATTATTATCATCAACGAGAGGTATATAGTATGTATGTACGAGATGATATCCGGCTTGGTGGGGTGTGAAAGATATGCAAATGGAGCTGACTAAGCAGACAGCCGGATGACTCGACTTTCGCGGGGCGAGGCTGCGGACAATGGACAATGGACAGCGATGCAGATGGTGGTCTGGGATTGGGTCGAAACTATGCCCAGCCATTGATTGCCAGACAATGGCAACCGCTTATTGAGTTCCCTTGACCAGCCATCAAACATGCAGAGTAAATAATTTTAAATAAACAATTTGAGAAGCATTTAAAATGATTTCATATGAGAAAACCTCGCCTTATTCAAATATTTTATTAACTTAAAAATATTACTGAACATTCAGCATTTTCTTCCTGTGTAACTGCAAATATGAAAGCTCTTGGCCTGGAATGTGCAGAGGGGCCAAGTTCGGGTGCGTAGCCGTCGACATCGCGCAATTAATTTCTTAATTAATAATTCAAAGCATTCGTTTTGTTGCCTCATGCAAATTTCATTAACGGGGGTTTGGGTACGGCGGTTTACTAGGTGACAAGACGAGGACAGCTTTCATAAGGCAACTCAGACAGACAGTTCACGCAATCTAAAAACTTCAATGAACTGTTTATGGCGTTACAGAAATAAAACGCAAAATGATTAACAAGTTGCAAATATATAAATTAACCATAAAGAAAAGATATTGATAAAACCTTGATAAGGGTTAAAAAATATTGCAGCATTAAGCAGGCAAAGAATATTGGTCATAATGAATACGTTTATTTTAATGTTTAAAAACTCATCATGAAATAATTTTTCAATAAACCTATAATATCAAATCCCATTAGCATTAACTACACAAGTTCCTAGAACATCCTCGTATATATTTCCGTATTTAGACAACACTTCCCAAAGTGTCATAAATAAATCATCAACCTTATCACGTAGATCACTCGGAATATCATTTATAATTACCAAATGTGATCAGCATTAGGAATGAGTCTTTCAGTGACTAACACGACTGTCGACTCAACTCTCCCCCGATTGAATCGATCAGATCGGAACCCCCATATCTCCCCCCGAAAGAGCAATACCATCCAATCAATTTGATTTGCATGCACTTGACATGGCATGTTCGCATTGTTTGTTAAAAATAAGTTGACATTTTATTGTTGTTCTCGTGTCGTCGTCTTGGGGGTATATTTTTAAATGTTTATAAGAAATCGAGGGGCGCGTTTCGCCTGTACTCGCTGCCTTTACATTATTTGATTTTTATTTCTGCCTTTGCCAAAGTTTGTTTGTTATTTGTTTTCGTCTGGGCAATGTCATTGACTGGTCGAGTTTTTGAAAAAGCAAACAAAGCTTCGCTTTCAGGTTTAAAGTTGTGGGTTCTTACCTTCCTTCCTTTTTTTTTGTTCGTTTACCAATTTGGCATTACGTTTTCGGCCATTATTTTCTTTGGTTTTCGATTGTCATGGTTTTTTTCATCTTTTCTTCATGAACCTTTTTTTTTTGTGCTCTGGTCATGAATGACACACGTCGAATGCTGCCGGAAAGCATTTTCTTATATATTTTTTTTTCGCTTTTATTCGCGTCTTTATCTGCCTGAGTGTCTGCCCCTGAACCGCCAACCTCCCCCGACTAACCAATCTTTTCTTTCCAGTTCATCGTACCCCAAGTCGCGAACAATGTTTTCTTTGTTGCGAAGGAGCTTTGATAAATGACCAATTGAGGTAGCGGACAGCGGACAGCGGAGAACGGACACTGGGCATCCATATGAATTATGGCCTAGGGGATTGATTGGCTGATCCAATGGATAATGTATTCCTCTTCTATAGAGTAAAGCCTAGAAAAGCTACATAAAAAAAAATCACCTTGATAACTAGTCTTAATTGCAAATCAGACCAATTACCCGGTTAAGCACTCGACAAGCGCCGTGGTATTAATTACTTAATCATCAACTATGAGTATAAATAGTACGCGATAGCGGTTGTGTACTTGATAAGCTCTTTAACACCCCCTGCACCCACATTTTATGGCACAAATAAAAGCACAAAAAAAAAGAAGGAGACTGGAAATTGAAACTGATTAGGGAGGAAAAAGCATAGGATGGAAATGCAAAGGCAAAATAGGCGAAATGAAAATGCTACATAAAAACAAATTGAGTCCGCAAATCGCCTCAATCAAGCTGAAAGCTGAAAGAGACGGAAACTGTGTCACTGGCGCAAGATTCCAGAGGCAGAGATGATCTTCTCCGCCGGTCCAGAGTCTCAATAAAGCTAAATATTTTGCTTGACATATTCGAGTGCCTCGGCTGAAATGTGAATTTATTTATGTTGATGAATGACGGCTCTTTGTCTCAGCAATTTATATATACTACCATCTAAAATTCGAGACTACAGACAGACTTTTAAAGAAATTATATAATATCATAATGAAACACCATTCTGTTTTAAGACAATGTGGCAAAAAGATTAAGTATGAAGTTAACATAACAAGTTAATTACTGGTAACTTAACCAGCATTCCCTCAGTTTAATATGTGGGAATGTGTGCCCTCTATAATTCCCTGCAATGTGATCAGCAAGTAGCACCTTTGACATCAATTCCGGCAATAAAACGACACTGCTCGCAAAAACGTTGCCCCAGGTTGCGTGATCGCGTTCATCACCCTCGCTCATCTCTCTTTTATTGCTGGGTGAGCTCTATATATAGTACATATTTCATATTTGCCAGTATGCGCTTTCTCGTTGATTAGCTGTTGTAAGTTGTGAGTTTGCCGTGAGGCGGCTGTTAACACCCCGGACAAATGGCGGACAGATAGACGGGAAGCCCGGCCTGTAACTGGCTATTTTGTTAACATGCTAATTTGCAGTTTTGTTTCCGCTGTTAAGTTATCCGTAGATTCGCGTGTAGCAGTTAGCAGTCCGTGTGAATGACGATGGCCCATGATGATGCTATGTGCCCAGCCATGATTCACAATGTAGTCAATATATAGTCAACTCTCGGCGGGGGCGACTACTCGTGGCTTGTTTAACTGCCGCCGGCGAGCCGTATGCAAATTGCACTTTGCATTTCCTGCAGCGACGACAAGTGTCTGTCTTTCGTAGACAACAAAGACTTGACCATATTACGGATCAAGCAGCCGTTGACAAAGAACGAGAGACCTGGCTGGATGATAGCTGCCCGTTCAGGGACAGCAATCCTCCCTCCTCCCCATGTCCAGATGTCAAGCTGGGAAAGAGCTCGACAAATCAGCAAATAGCTGTCATAAGATTATAACCACAAGTGGGTAAACCAGTATGGGGCCATGGGTCGAATGAGTTATACCTATGAGTGATACACGGCGTATGAGTGATGCAAGTTTAAAGAGGCAGAAACAATGAAAGAATTGTTATGCGTCAAATGATATTGCATCATACTTTCTAAGAAAGCAGAAAGCTACAAAAGAGGTGCAAAAATTATGAAATTTTTCAAAGAATCAGTGAACAACCTTTAAGATATTTCTTTTCCCTTTCAGCCAATACACCTAATCAATATCTAAAATCAAACCAAAAAAAACACTAGATAGCACGTGGAACTCTTTTAGTCACTCATTAATTAGGGAATCCCTAGAAAAAACACACCCAAAAAGGCCGCCAGGGTATTGCCAAAACCAAAACCCAAGCCCAAACCCAGACAAACATCAAATGCGGCCATCATCTAAGCTAGTTTATGTCATTTTGTCGCGACTTATGGGCAACTTTTACGGTTTCATTTAAGCGTGTTTTATTCGTTGTCCTTTATATTATTTTTTTCCTTGTATTTTCTTTTTTTTATTTTTGCATTTCCATTTCGCTGGGGAGCCGTTCGGTTGAGTTTTAGCAAGGATTGCGAGCATGAGTCACGGACGCAGGGTCTGGTTTTTGAGCCGCTGGTTAAATGAATTTAAGGCACG